CCCGCCCCCCCCCGCTGCACTGCCGTTTAAAAAAATCATTTCTTCACGCCTTGCGTTCTCTAGGCAATTCCGCCCAAAATTAGGAAATGAACAAAGAACACGTTGACAAAGCTTCCGTTCGGAAGCAAAATAACCTTAAATACTCCATGCCATTGCTCTCTGAATGTATTAACTAAAAACTTTCTGAGCTTTTAATTCTTCGAATGAAAGAAAGTGAACCATTACCTCAATTTTCCACTCATCCTTGACGAAATCACTGACTGGATGAATAATTACTATTGTTTGATGTTCAATGGTTTCAGCTGCTTAGGACAGAGTCTAGTCTGGCGGCCGTCGCTGGATGGAATGATGTTGCTGCGTGTTAACGAAGACACGCTGCGAGCTGCATGATAAAATTAAATACAAAATGGAATCTAATGGTCCTTGATCGCGTCATAAATAGAATGAGATAACAGCAGCCAATCACAGATGATTATGAAACATTACCACTTCCCCTAAATGCTGTATTCTCATTAAAAAATATGGAGTTTGTTTCACCTGAAATTTTAATAAATGCATTCCTGATGCTCCACTGGGGCATAATATGGGGGAGGGTAGGGTGAAACGGACACTTTTGACTTCTTTTGAAATATTCATGACGTGTTGAATTGTTCATGAAATGGAATAATTTTATTTTTCATTTGAAAAACAATGATTCCTCTTTGTGATGAGCTTAGACTGAGCTCAATTGATAAATCTGTTTCTGAGTTATGAATATTTTTCAAACAGTCAAAAGTGTCCATTTTACCTTACCCTTCCCTAGGTAATTCATACAGCTACGTTTTGGTTTTACGCTGTTCATCAAATAAATGTGCATTGTGTACCAGCAACGAGTAGCGTGTGAACTTAATTTATTATGAAATGTGAGAATTTCCTCTAGGTGACACGAGGCATTTAAAAATCTCCAAGGACTTTGACTATTTCTTCTCCTTTTCCAGATTTGAAGGGTCAACAGGCCAATTTCTGGACGATTTCTATTTACTTCCATTGAATATTCCATAAATAATCAAATGAAAATTGTACTGATGAGGGGAGGTTGGGGTAAAACGGACACTTGACTTTCTTTCAAATGTTAATGAGAGGTTGAAATGTTGATGAAATTTAATATTTTTTTTTCAATACAAAGAACAATTATTTCCCTTTGTGACAAGCCTCAACTGAGCTCAATTGATAAATTTGTTTCTGAGTTATGAATAATTTTAAAAAAGTCTAGTGTCCATTTTACCCCACCCTCCCCTACTTCATTTTTCAAAAATATTACTCGTGTATAATCATGTGATCAATTATTTTTTCTACTGATCGACGTTTAGTGAATAAAAAAAATATGGCCCAGTCGTCCAGAAATTGGGGCTTTCGACTGCATTGAACTATTTCTTAGGCCCGGCTGCGCCAAGCCCTGTTATCCAAGTAAACCCCAGGGTAAAATTTATCCTCGGAGTCAATTATATCATAGGATTCATAATTTTTCAATATTTGACCCGGAGAATAATTTTTTATTTATACTGTAGCCCCATTTGAATTAACGCTGATTTAACCTTGGGATTAAATTTTATTTTTTGTTCCTGGGATAAATTTAAGATACTCTCCGGGTAAAATAATCCATCGAACATCCAAATTTCCTTTTTTTCTTATCTGACGTTTTCGTTACCCGGAGCTGGTGCAGGGCCTTAATTTAATTATTCTTTGTTCTGTTATTTTCACTTCAGATAATTTTTTTCTGCTAATTAAAACATTCTTGAAGGTATGGAAGCCATCATATTCCCATTTAGAATTTCCCTTAACCGTCCAGCAATAGATTTCATGCTATTCATGTAGCTCAGCACAATACGTGATGAATAAACTTGTTTTATGCTGCTACATGAGTGATGAATACCACTAATTATTTGGCATCACCACTAAATGACACGTTCTTTCGGCCTTTTTCAGACGTGATACATGAAACCGTTCATTTTATTGCGTCAGTCACGAATTTATGTTCTGCGCGTTGATATTCATTGTGTGAACACACAAAAACTATTTGAATGTCAATATACGTGCATTCGTATTTGAATACCTGAATTACTCTTTGACCGGATAATTTTGTACATTTTAGTTACATAACGCGCGACATATTTGTTACATAGAAAAAAGGTGCGACGAATATTGACATCAAAAGCATAAATTGCATCATGAAATTAGAGTTCCTCATTATTAAGAAGATAAGACTCTTGATGATCACAATTTTTTTCATCAAAACAATCCCACATTTTTCCGGTTTCGTTAGCGAAGTCTCAGATTTAGCTGATTTTTTTTTAATCCATTTTTTTGTTTTGCATGTTCCTCGATGAATTGTTTAGATTTTGAATTATAATGGATTTTTTAATTTTATGTATTGCTATCATGCACTTACCATTAAAGAAACAAGACAAAAGAAGAGGGAAATTCACACGAGGCAAGAGAAAAGAAGATCCGGAACAAGAGAAAAATAATAAATCAAAAAGTTCGTCAAAAACTCTCAAGTCGCCAATAATACAAGGCCAGTTTCTTAAATAACTAATAATAATAACTAATAATAATCTTTCTTAAATAAATAATATTGTGAAGAATTATGTACTCCTCGATTACCTCGTGCAACACTGGATGCACAATTTACAAACGAGGAAAACTCAACTTATTAATCTCACGGAATTGAAAAAATAAAATTGTCGAGGGGCACAAGAGACCGCAAGACAAGACACGAATTTTTTTTCTCTTGCCAATTGGAAGAAGACAGGACAAAAGAAAAATCCTAAAATTGCAAGATAAATACGTAATTCTTGTCTTCTCTCGCAGCATCACTACTTACCATCATGTCTAAGCGATGTGGGTTCTCAAAACACCAACCTTATTCTCTCATGACCTGTTTTTTTTATCTCAATACTAGACCATATTAAAAAAACAACAACAAATACCCCTTTCATGCCTCTACATCCCCAAAAAAACAATGAATGAAGAATACCATTCCCCTAAAACATTTCGCTAGTTTCTGAATTTTCATTATTAAAGCATACACGCCACATCAAGAAACTCTAGAACAATTCAGTAGCGAAGTGGCAAAACGCTACAAGTCAATTTTGACTATTGGCCAGTTTTCTATGAATATCTCGGAATCTAAGGGAGATAGAAAAATTTTTGTAATAACCTTTTTTGTAGAGCCGATTGAGAGCTACAACAAAGGTAATTACGAAAATTTCGCTATCTCCCTTAGATTCGGAAATATTCCTCAAAAACTCAACTGGGAGATGAGTCGACTTGAACCGTTTTACCACTTCGCTACTGAATTCATGGGCGATAAATTTTTTAAAAACACCTTCTGTCTTCCGACTATCTTCAGCATTATCGTAGGGATCGATAAATAATAAACAACCATTCGTCGATTCATCTCTTCTTCAATTTCTTCTTTATTGAATTCATCGAGGACAAAAAATACAAACGTTCAACATTTAAATCCTCCGCAGTCGATAATCTGTGTTGAAACATAGAATCCTTCACCTTTACGTTGACGACTGTAGCAATTGAAATATGTAGATATTTGATAATTGGGACAATCGATATTCATTACAATGTCAGTGCCGCAATTATTGAGTGCATGAGATCGAGAACGATTTCAAACTTTTTTCATTTCATTCCATCAGAAATTGAATATTCATGAAATTTTTCATTATCAGACAATTTGATTTCCGACGAAATATTGCCTCCCATAAGCTAATATGAATACGCAATATTCACTATACACTGGCATCGAATGTCATAAGAACTACAACTACATCCGTAAATAGAGAAAGTATAAAGGAACAAGATGAAAATGAATAAATGAGGGAATTAATAATTATAAACATAAAAATCATTACATCATTTCAGAGTTATTTCTCCGACAAAATTCTTTGTATTTCGTAATTCCATCAAGTTGATTAATCCTAAGTATTAATAAAAGTTACATTATTATGAGAGGTAAATTTGAAATAATTGATGAATTCCTTCATCGTCGGACCGTCATTTCATTGGCTTTCTTTATCCCGAGTCATTTTCTATATAATCATAATGATCAGAGCTTTCATGATAGTCATCTAATAATATTAAGAATAATAATAATCCATAATAATAATGAGGACAATAATAATATTAATTCTACTACTAATAATAATAATGATAATAATCATAAGCATAATGATGAAAAAATTTTTTTTCGGGCTTTTACGGCATTGAAGACAAATTTTCACGTTGAATTTTCCTTGATATATTGTAAAAAAAAAGGGCCACCATTTTCATTGGTTGAATATCATTTCAAATGACAATAATTACATGCATGACGATTGCGAATGTAAAAACCCGAAAAAATTTGAAAAACGGGCCGGAAAGTGTACCACATAATCGAAAATCCATGTTTTTTTTTCCTAGCGATCATCATTGCTGTCTCACATATTTTAAATGCGAGAAGAATGTACCGTGCATTGATGTAAAAGTAACAATAAGACGAGTGGAAAACATGAATTTTCAGTGAATGCTTTTAATTTCCAAATACCATGTGTAATCGTCGTTCGTAGTCGTCCAAAATTCTCTTGTGAAAGCTACTCACTCCACATGCGAAATGTTTAAATATTGATACAATTAAGAGGCAATGGAACTTGAGGGGCATCGGAGTAGACCCTGGATTCCAAGTTTATTCGTCGTCAGAGGACTAGTTGGCAAAACCCAAATTCTTACTCTGTAGATACCACGATTATTGATGATGTAAGAATTTGGGTTTTGCTGAGTAGTCGTCTGACGACGAAAAAACTTGGAATCCAATTTCTAAAAATTGTTTTTGCCAAATATCCAGTTACTTGAGAGGAGTATTTATTTTTTCAATTCATTTCTCCATTCCAGTTATTCTCAGGCAATCCTCACTGGGTTTCAATTATGTCGGTAGTAGGTTTCAAAGATGATCATGTTAGTTATGGCCTTGAGTGAACATGAAAAAATTGATCGAACTTCTCTCTAGAAAATGAGAAATTTAGGAAAAATGAGGAATTATTAGAGGAGTTCATCCAAGTTCATGTGAAGTAGTCTTAGGCTTCCTCTAGAGCAACATGATTCTTATAATGGAAACCTAAACAGACTCCCCTGGAAGTGACTCGACTGGAGAAACACAATTTTGAAAAAATCAGTTCTCCTCAAGTAAATGATATTTAGCAGAAATTTTTTTTTCTCAGTGCGGTAAGTTCCATTGCCTCTTAAACTCTCCTTTTCTAAAACAGAACCTTCCTCACTCTCGATCACTTAAACCACTGGGCATGTGCAATCGGTGCAAGAGGATGCGCAGTGGTGTCACGAGTGAATCGACTCAATTCACAATTCCTTTTATTTTTCAAGGTAAAAAACGGGGAAAAACTGAGTAAAAAAACTACCAGAATGCGGAAACTATTTCGCGCCATGAATTCTCAGCTAGAATCGGATGAAAAAATGTGAAAAATAGCTAGAACAAACTCGCTCATTACCTAGGAACCAGAAATGTGCAATCTCGTTATTTTCACGTCCCGAATGTAGTCGTTAGAATACGAGAAAGTATTCGTTCCTCGATACTCGTTACTCGTAACTTTTTTTCAATTGATGATTGAAATAAAAAATAGGTTAAATAACGAGGAGAATCAATCGAGGAAGTGGCGGGGTTAAACTGGGAGAATGTAATCACAATTTAACATTTGATTTAATAAAATATTCTAGAGGATGAACTGGGAGTTTGCATTGAGGAACAGGCTAAGATAGAAATTCACAAAAAATACCGATTCCGTAAAGTGAATTCTGTAGAGTGAAAAAATTTTTAAAGCCGTCTTTCAGATTTTTCCACATCTTTTCGCTGAGAATTCATCGGCACAAAGTTTTCCCCGCATTTCAGTAGTCACGTTACTCCCGAGACACTTAAAAACACTGAAAGACATTTTAGAAAAGCAGAGTCCCGATGTATATGATGGAGAAATGTATCATTGAATTTAAAGTCATTTTGAATGAATAAATTCGCATTCATAATTATGAAACGTTTGCGTTCAATTTTCTCAAGTGTTTGTCCCACGGGATACCCGACGGGCTTGCTGCTTCCGACGACGACCAAAGACGACCCGAAATACTCACTTATGACAATATTTCGACGTTCCGATCTATCCTGTACTTATTTCCGTCATGTATTGATCCGAATGAGTGACACATGTTTGTGTTTTCCGTAGTGACCCGGCGAGCGACGAGGGAGCAACGAAGACGAACGATCAACGATCCGGCGAATCCGACGCGACGACGAGGGTTTTTTAATATTTTGTTTTTCATATTATCCGCCTCGGTTTGCATTTTTTGGGATTAATATGGTGCGAACCGGCGCGACGGCGATGGTCCACGGATTCCCGGTCTGTTAACGGAGAAACAGGATTTTATTTAGACGTATAGAAACATATTTTCATGTATTACAAATCACTTTTGTTCTCATATAAAAATAGTGGAGTTTCTATCTGGTTTTTTGGTGATAATATATATGTCTATATATATATATTTGGCTCAAATATCCCAGGCAATTTCCGGCAGTAGTTTACAGGAGGTAGAAGAACACCTACTCAATATTTTTATCACAGACTTTCACCACAGTTCAATTTAAAATTTGTTAGATAATCACTTTTTTCAGTACTGATATCTTGAGCATTGATAATTCAGTTATTCGAATATCATAAAAGCCATGCTTTTGAAATGAAAAAATATACATGAAATATTCATATTACAATGTACGAATTATGTTGTTTCGACTGAAAATAAATTGGAAAATAATTATTTTATTGTTTTATTAACAAATAGAACGACAGAAGCTGGAGAATTTGCCTTGATTCAAAGGGAGAATAATTTCAACAAATACATTAGGAAATTTGAAATAAAAAAAGTTTAACCAAATCGTGAGAATTGGTAAAATAAAAACGCAAATTCAAAGTCGACTCTTCTCCACGTCGAACCTGATCCGGAACCTAGGAGGGTAAGCTGCCCAGTTGCTGAACGAGCTACTTTTGAATGGGAAATTACAAAAAAAAAATCGGAAATGCGAATGGTTGATTTAAATTTTGATTAATTGTTGTGATTCGTAATCCCTGAATGGAGATTTTTTTTTGATCAATTGCTGAAAAATAAATGTCCATCTACTGGGCAGTTTATCCTATCTCCTTGAAATAATTTTGAATTGATTTTTGACAATCCAAACCAATGCGTTATGTATCGTTAACATAGAGTGAAAAGGACTTGAATTTTCCGGTACTTTTTAGAGTGGAGGGGTCGTAGCTCTAAAAAGACTGCGGAGTTTTGACATCATTGAGGAGCTTTACGACACTGAAAGAAAAACGACAAAGTTCTCACTTGTGCCGAGAAAATATTTTTGTTGGCCCAAACAAGACTTATTTGATAACGTTTTTGTTTTTCTCTCAACGTATGAAAAAGACAGTCATCCACTTGTGACAGTTTCAAATCATTGACAACATAATTTTTACTCAAGGGGAGACTGTGAGCTTCAAGTCACGGGCTATTGGAAAATGAGATTTCTCACACATTGAAGATGGATTATATATATCTAAAAACGAATAATTAGTGCAAAAAATTGTGTTGTTCGTTTACCCCGCAATCGCTTAAAATTCTAAAAATAGTCCAGGGCCTCCAATTTTTTAGCTAGTTTTTTTCGAAATTTTTGAAAAAATGTGGACAATAACAATTACGAATTATTTTTTTATAATTCAAATCCTACACAATTGACATTGGAAAATCGAATTCATGAAAAAAATAACAGTTACGACCTTCTCGCTCTACTGCAACGATACATTCGAGTAATTGACTCATTGTAACAGCTGAATGTAAATTGAATAATCCTCATGGAGTAGAAAAATATTGTCAATCAAGCGGCACCGAGAAAACGCGACGTTGAGAAAAGTTGAGCATGGGAAAACGATGAAGCATATATTGAACTCAAAAAATTAGAACAAAATATGGGGCTCTTGATTCAAAAGGTTATTTGGTGCTTTTTTAAACTTTTTTTTTTCAACTACTTACCGACGCTCCTCAAAAGAATCTCGGCTGAAGTCCTCGTACATGCCTCTACTATAAACAGCGTTATAATAAATAATCGATTCTAACAATAGAAATTCCAACTTTTCATCAGTTTGTATTTGAAAACTTGCTTTAATAATCATAATTGACAAAATGAAAATGAAAAATATTTTTTAAAAATTGTAACGAATGATTGATGACTTGAAATGCCAAAGAATCACTGAACCCCAATCAGTCGATAAAAAAAAACAGTCGCGGATAAATCGTTAATTTGACTTATCATGTCTTTTCACAGTGCCGCTTTTCGTTGTAATATTCGCAAATTTGTCCGTAAAAATAAAACAAACAATATAATTTTCTCTTTCAAGTCAAAAAATATGAAACAATGTCTTGATTTCTCTAACAATGAATAAGGATCAATTACAATATTAAATTTATGATTTTTCTCAAATGAGGGAGCTATACACGAAAATAGAAAAAACTCTGAGATCAAGGACAAGTTGCTTAATTGAGTTAAGAATAGGAAAGATATTAAGAATATTTTGCTCTTGAAGGAACATGAAAAATTATATTTGAATAAAAAAATGAAGAAAAAAAATTGTCAATCAAGCATAATATTCTTGATCCAAAAATTGTCTTTCAATGTGTAAATAATGCTTCAAGTAGTTCATATTTGAAGAGAAAACTCACCTAAAACGTCCGTTATTGCCACTGGGTGGTGAAGAACGTCTGCTGAACATTCCGTAATCATTTCCCCTTGAAAATCCACTGTCTCTCATGGTGCCCATTCCTAAAGTTGGCATGGGTGGCATTGGGTCTCGTCTCGTGGGTAGTGGTGGCATTGACATTGGAGGGAAGTCACGGCCAAGCATGGAACTGTCCATGTCACGGGGTCCAGACATTCCAGTGAACCGCCTCTCATACAAATCTCGGGTGTCATCGAAACCTCGTCTGTCGTAGTAACTGTCGTAATCCTAGATATTCGTTATGATGAGTTGACAAAAATGTTTTTTAATGGGACTTCGTTCACCCCGCGTCTGTGCAAGTGTAGCCTTTTTGCTTCCGAATGAAAGAATTGTAATTAAAGTTCAAATTTATGTTTTGGATTTTTCGTGTTATAAATTTTTTTTTTTCGATCGTTCGCTAATGAATCGATGGAATTGAATCTTTTTTCCTCAAACGTATTGTTGAGCCGTATCAATCGCCATTAATTAAAATTCTATTAATTTATTAATTTTTCTAATTTTTCAAAAAAAAATTTTTATTTACGATAACTAAAAAAAATGTTCTAAATTGACTGAATGGTGGCTTAAAAAATTTGTTTGGAGGTCCTTTTGATCGAGTTCGAAGATTATTATTATTATTTCAAAATTTAAATTTTTGAAAACTGCTTCATTAGGCAATATGGACACCTGATAAATCCGTGTAAGATGGACTAAAATGGACGCTCAAAAAATTTTCAATAATCGACTTTCACAAAATTTGAATTGAAAATTTTGAATTGAAAATTGCTTCTTGGTAAAGTCCACAACCGAAAAATTATTCAAGAGTGGGATAAAATGGACAGCGGAAAAAGTTGGTCCTATTCAACTTTTAATCAAGAAAATTTTCAACAGACATTTTCCAAGAGAATCGTGTCGATATCTTTTTATAGAGAGAGTAAATACATGCAGAGAGAGAGAGAGTAAATACATGCAGACAAATCATGAAATTTGACTCACCCCAAATCCTCTCCCTCCCATGAGCCTGTCTCTAAGGAATGGTGGTGGTGGTGGTGGTGGATAAGGATCCCGCCCGAACATTCTGTCCCTGAAACCGTTCCTATCAGGTCCTCCACCCATTCCCCCCTTGGGGCATTCCTTAGACCAATGTCCACCTCGTCCACACCTGTAGCACTGTTCGGGATCACCCATTCCAGGCCTCTGTCTCACTCTGCTCGTCGATATCTGGACTTTCATCGGCTGTCCGTCGACGATCTGACCATTCAATTCTTTAATAGCATCATTCACGTCACCCGTTGCTTCCAGGTGAACGAATCCGTAATTCCGTACGATGTCACACTCGACGACGGTTCCATACTTGGCGAAGAGCTCGCGTACTTGCGGTGCTTTTGTGTTGTCAGTTAAGTTACCCACGAAAATTTTCGTGGTTGGTGTATTCGGGCCCTTACGACTCTTCGCTGCTTCACATTTAATTGGCTGGCCATGAACTGAATGGCCATTCAAGTTCTGGATTGCGTTCCTGCCAGCTTCCTCATTCTCCATGTGCTGAAAGAAAATTTAGAAAACAATCGTTCGACATTTTCTCGATGATTGAAGCTCAATGTCTTGTACATAAGTATTTCGAATAGTCATTTTCCAAAATATGATCGTTCCAAGAACTGAATAATAAATCAGTCATTCATTTTTTGGCCCGAGGATATCCAAGTACTTTGGCTATTCTTTCTCATTTGACCCCAAGTTTCCGGACATTTCAGAATGACTTTATTCATTTATTTTTTTATTTATTCGAACTTTGCAGGTCTGAATTTGAATCTCGATATTGAACCGGTAGAAAACATTTTAAAAATCTAAAAAAAATTAGAGTTTACCTTCGGAGGACGATTGATGAAATAATTTGAAAATTGCAATTTTTGAAAATTACTTAAGTGACTTAAAACAAAATGTTCCTAAATTTCCAGCCCTTAATATTGATTCATATCAAAGTTATGATTTTTTTAAATTTTCAACGTCAATCATAAAAATCATTTGTTCGAAATCGTAACAAATTCATTAATATTCAGAACTTTGCCAGAAATCAATTTCACGTCTAAAAAAATACGGTTTCCGAAAGTTTAAACAATTTTCATTATTCATTTACAAACAACGAGTGTTTGAAAAAATAATAATTCTGGGGGGAATGTAATTTGAATGACGCTGAATATTCATGATTTTGTCAAAAATTTTCTCGCGCAATTTAATTGACAAATTCGATGATTGAAAACGGTTGAATCTGCAGTCTGGCCTGTAGCAAATGATAAAAGATACTTGGAGATCCTTAAACCCATAAAAATTATACTTCAAACTTTCCACATAAGATGAATATTTTTACTAGAAATAAAAATGACTAATTCTAGCAGTTCTACTCACAACAAACCCGTAGTTCTTCACAACATCGCACTCCACGACTTTCCCATACTTCTCGAACAATGGCTTGATGTCTGCATTAGTTGTTTTATCAGCCAAATTGCCAATGAAGATTTTGAATGTTCCAACGCTACTGAAGCCTGGCATTTTGGTCGTCGTTTAGTGGTACCAAACCTGGAGGGCAATCAACTCTTCTATCTTCATTTCCGACCGATATTAAAATACACCAATAGAATATTCTCAAACCCAGAAAACAATTCAGTAGTGAAGTGATAAACCGGTATAAGTCGATTTTGAAAATTGCCCAGTTTTCAATGAATATCTCGAAATCTAAGGGAAATAGCGAAATTGTTGTCATAACCTTTTTTGTAGCGCAAATTGAGAGCTACAAAAAAGGAAATTACAACAATTTCGCTATTTCCCTTAGATTCCGAGATATTCATTGAAAACTGGCCAATTCAACTTCCGAGATTTTTATTCCAACTGACACAATTCTAAGATTTGATGTAGACAACGGGGTTCCGTCTCCCCTTAAGAAGGAATACGGGAGGGTGGGGTAAAACGGACACTTTACTTTTTTTCAATTATTCATAACTCAGAAACAGATTGATCAATTGAGCTCAGTTTAGGCTCGTCACAAAGCGAAAGAATAGTTCTTTGTACTGAAAAAAAAAATTATTAAATTTTATCAACACTTCAACCCCTCATTAACATAAAAAAAAAGTGTCCGTTTTACCCCAACCTCCCCTACTGGGATCCTCCAATTCCTCCAATAAAGAATATTTTCAAGGAGTCGCCGGTGGGGAGGGGTTGGTGGGGGAATATTCCTGGAGTTTTCTGGAATTTAATTTTTTCAAGGTAATTCCACGTTGGAAAGTATTTCGGCATCATCAGATTGAAGTGGTCATGAAAGAATGGCGGCTCGGCGTGTCCCGCTCCCCCTTCCCCCCGCGCGTATATTACACCGCAGCCATACGCTTCCCTTCGCTCGCACGAGCAGCCATTTTCGTGCCGGAAAACCGGATCGAAAGTTTTTCAGAGAAATCGAAGATCTTTTATCCCTGACGAACTCGGCAACGCGAACCGTTTTTTCATTCTCCAACAATTTGAGAAAAGTTGAGAATTGGTTGAATTGGTTGAAACTAGTTAACTAGGGGGTCACGAAAGTTGAGAATAATAAAATTGATAAAGGATAGAAAGACTTTAACTGGGGAAATAAAAAAGGATCGGAGGAGTGAATGAAAAATCGTCAGAAGCTGATCCCGTGGGTTTTTACATCTTGAAGCCCGACAACGATTTTCTACTTTGAATCACGTTTGCTAACGTCCTGCAATCTTTAATATTCGGAGTGGACTAAAAAAGAGGAAACGTGACGCCACTCCACTGCCCTCAGTATCTATGAGTAGAAATATCGATGAAAGAATAGTAAAATTATGATTTTACTCACCAAATCAGAAAGTCTACACGGAAAACGGAGCTCCCGAACGAACAGAGGCGCCGAATTGATACGATCCGCAGCCACGCTACCGAGATTATGTATAAATGGCGGCACAGAAAATGCCGAAACGTACTTGCCCAACCCAAGCTCTCCACAGAATGCTCACGGAAAACTACTGAGTTACTGACGCCGCCAGCACGCAGTTTGCCTGCCGTACGGCCTGGCAGGGAGCATAAAGACAGGAGAAGGGTAACGGCGAGTTACCAGAAGAGATGCAAAATGACCGTCATTTTTGCAAACGCGTCATATGACCAAAAATTGCGGTCATGTGACGCAGAAATTTCCCAACTAAAAATTATGGTCACAAATTATTTGTAAGCAAATTGATCTGGAATTGGTCAAACTGGCAAATTGTTTTGGAATTGGTCAAAGTGTCTGTCTAAATGCAAAATGACGGTCATAACCAATTTTTAATTTGTGCACGGAGAGAAATATTCAATAAAAATTACGTATCTTTTCCGTAATTCCGGAGCGAAAAGTGGTTGCAGGAATTTTTTTTGGTCACATGACCAAAAATTGCGGTCATGTGACGCAGAAATTTTCCAACTAAAAATTATGGTCACAAATTATTTGTAAGCAAATTGATCTGGAATTGGTCAAACTAGCAAATTGTTTTGGAATTGGTCAAAGTGTCTGTCTAAATGCAAAATGACGGTCATAACCAATTTTTAATTTGTGCACGGAGAGAAATATTCAATAAAAATTACGTATCTTTTCCGTAAAATTCCGGAGCGAAAAGTGGTTGCAGGAATTTTTGCGGTCAAAAATTGCGGTCATGTGACGCAGAAATTTTCCAACTAAAAATTATGGTCACAAATTATTTGTAAGCAAATTGATCTGGAGAATTGGTCAAACAGGAAAATTGTTTTAGAATTGATCAAAGTGCCTGTCTAAATGCAAAATGACGGTCATAACCAATTTTTAATTTGTGCACGGAGAGAACTATTCAATAAAAATTACGTATCTTTTCCGTAAAATTCCGGAGCGAAAAGTGGTTGCAGGAATTTTTTTTTGGTCATATGACCAAAAATTGCGGTCATGTGACGCAGAAATTTTCCAACTAAAAATTATGGTCACAAATTATTTGTAAGCAAATTGATCTGGAATTGGTCAAACTAGCAAATTGTTTTGGAATTGGTCAAAGTGTCTGTCTAAATGGAAAATGACGGTCATAACTAATTTTTAATTTGTGAAAAATACGAAAAAATTACAAGGGTCGTACGAAAAATACGAAAAAATTACAAGCTCGTGGGATTATATCACTCGCCTTCGGCTCGTGATATAAACCTCCCACTCGCTAAAAAACATTTTTTCACGAGTTACGAACAATATTTTTCATCACAATGTGGCGGAAATTGGACTTTTAGGCACGCGGAGCGTGCCGAAAAGTTCACTTTTCGTCACAGCGTGATGAAAAATATTGTTCGACACATGTGAGACGGAAATATTCAGCGCGTGTGATTGGCAGCCCTTGGCTTCGACTCGGGCCGTCAACGTCACACTCGTGAACATTCCGTCTCACTCGCATCGAAATATACAATTTCCCCATTACATAAAGAGAGGATGGGGTAATACGGACCCTTGTAATTTTTTTAATGTCTAACTCATTGAACGGTTGATGAAACGTGATATTTTTTTCCTGGTGAAGAAAAATTCTTCCCCTTTGTGATGAGTCCAGGTTAAGCTCAATCGATAAATTTATTTCTGAGTTACAACCGTTAAAAAAAATCATAAATGGAAGGCGTTTTATCAAGATGAGGAACTGAAAATTGAGAAAGTTTACAACAAGTCATGAATTTTTCTTTTTGTCATTCATCCCCCTCTCAATACTGAATTTCAAACTTTCCCGCCACCACCCAGTGACGCCATTTTCCAAATGAGTAGTAGCAGCGGCACCTGTTCACTCTCCACCGCAAATACACGTCAGAAAATTCTGAAACATTGCCCTCTCGTTAAATCTCCCTAATCTTTGTTGATTCAATGGAAATGCGACGCTTGTGTGTGTCGGGGTCAAAACTACTTACTACGGATAAAATATTAGATGTTGGGCCAAAATATATCGCGGAAAATGCCTGACTAAACGTTCATCAGTGCAAAAATAAGTGAATCGAAGTGAGAGAACAAAAAGTGCAGAAACATCTGTTCAAGTGAATGTGTGTACCGCTGTGTCCCCTTGCCCAACAACACGTCGAACTTAAAACGACAAAAAAACGGTTGGATTACACATGACGACTTGAAAGGTAATATTTCGATATTCAACAAAAATAAATTACAGCAAATGAGTTTCATTTGATTTTTCATTCGACCCGAGACAGATACGGTTTTTATTATCGGAATGAATCGAACTCTCGTTTGTGATGGAGACGAACCAATCGTCCGCAGATTTTTTTTACTAACGTGTTTTGGGCTAAATTGTTGTCCCTCGAATATCTTCAGAACTAGCTTTGTGGAATAAAATCTGGCGTGACAGAGGTGAGCTGTGTGCAGGTGGGAAAAGCATCGGATGAACGCATTGAGGGAAAAACGTTAATTGGGCGCGCAAAAAACGTGCGACGGTAGACTGCATACACAACACCAGGGATATAAAGAATTGTGGCCTCAAGATGGCCGTCGGGATGAAGTGTATTCATTGACACTGCATGTAATATTTTAACAGGTATAAATTGAGTCACGCGTGATTTTGCGTACTCGAATAATTGTTGAGAAGGCGATCAATATTTTTATCGGGGTAAAGGAAATGAAAAACACCCCTTCGGAATTGTTTTCATTATTTTTTTTTCAGTATAACTGATCCGAGCTAACGGAATTATCATAAAAATAGCGCAGTAATTATCTTTCCTATTTTTTTTCATGTTTTTCTCAAACGTACATGACAATCATTTTATTTTTATTTTTTTTGCATTTTGACTTCATTTATGCTGGAATGAAGTATATTGACACTGCATGTAATATTTTAACAGGTATAAATTGAGTGGGTGATTTTCCGGACTCAAATAATTGTTGGAAAGTCGATCAATATTTTTTTTATGATAAAGAAATGGTAAATACTCATTGAGACTTATTTTCATTATTTTTTTCAATGTAACTGATCCCAGCTAACGGAATTATCATAAAAATAGCGCAGTAATTATCTTTCCTAGGTTTTTTTTCATGTTTTTCTCAAACGTACATGACAATAATTTTATTTTATTTTTTTTTTTTGCATTTTGACTTCATTTATGTTGGAATGAAGTATATTGACACTGCATGTAATATTTTAACAGGTATAAATTGACTCACGTGTGATTTTCCGTATTCAAATAATTGTTAAAAAATCGCTCAATATTTTTTTTTATGACAAAAAATTGTAAATACTCCTTCAGACTCATTTTCATTATTGTTTTTTTCAATATAACTGATCCGAGCTAATGGAATTTTCATCAAAATAGTGCAGTAATTATCTTTCCTAGCTTTTTATGTTTTTATGTTTGTCTCTCTCAAAAATACGTGACAGTCATTTTCTTTTTTTTTTTTTTTTTTTGACTTCGCTCATGTTGGAATGAAGTATATTGACACTGCATGTAATATTTTAACAGGTATAAATTGAGTGGGTGATTTTCCGGACTCAAATAATTGTTGGAAAGTCGATCAATATTTTTTTTATGATAAAGAAATGGTAAATACTCATTGAGACTTATTTTCATTATTTTTTTCAATGTAACTGATCCCAGCTAACGGAATTATCATAAAAATAGCGCAGTAATTATCTTTCCTAGTTTATTTTTCATGTTTTTCTCAAACGTACATGACAATCATTTTATTTTTATTTTTTTTGCATTTTGACTTCATTTATGCTGGAATGAAGTATATTGACACTGCATGTAATATTTTAACAGGTATAAATTGAGTGGGTGATTTTCCGGACTCAAATAATTGTTGGAAAGTCGATCAATATTTTTTTTATGATAAAGAAATGGTAAATACTCATTGAGACTTATTTTCATTATTTTTTTCAATGTAACTGATCCCAGCTAACGGAATTATCATAAAAATAGCGCAGTAATTATCTTTCCTAGGTTTTTTTTCATGTTTTTCTCAAACGTACATGACAATAATTTTATTTTTTTTTTTTTTTTTGCATTTTGACTTCATTTATGTTGGAATGAAGTATATTGACACTGCATGTAATATTTTAACAGGTATAAATTGACTCACGTGTGATTTTCCGTATTCAAATAATTGTTAAAAAATCGCTCAATATTTTTTTTTATGACAAAAAATTGTAAATACTCCTTCAGACTCATTTTCATTATTGTTTTTTTCAATATAACTGATCCGAGCTAATGGAATTTTCATCAAAATAGTGCAGTAATTATCTTTCCTAGCTTTTTATGTTTTTATGTTTGTCTCTCTCAAAAATACGTGACAGTCATTTTCTTTTTTTTTTTTTTATTTTGACTTCGCTCATGTTGGAATGAAGTATATTGACACTGCATGTAATATTTTAACAGGTATAAATTGAGTCGCGTGATTTTCCGTACTCAAATAATTGTTAAAAAATCGCTCAATATTTTTTTTATGATAAAAAATTGTAAATACTCCTTCAGACTCATTTTCATTATTGTTTTTTTTCCAATATAACCGATCCAAGCTAGTGGAATTTTCATCAAAATACTACAATAATTATCTTTCCTAGCTTTTTATGTTTTTATGTTTGTCTCTCTCAAAAGTACTTGACAATCTTTTTTTTTTTTTTTTTTTTTTTTTTTTTTTTTTTTTTTTTTTTTTTTTTTTTTTTTTTTTTTTTTTTTTTTTTTTTTTTTTTTTTTTTTTTTTTTTTTTTTTTTTTTTTTTTTTTTTTTTTTTTTTTTTTTTTTTTTTTTTTTTTTTTTTTTTTTTTTTTTTTTTTTTTTTTTTTTTTTTTTTTTTTTTTTTTTTTTTTTTTTTTTTTTTTTTTTTTTTTTTTTTTTTTTTTTTTTTTTTTTTTTTTTTTTTTTTTTTTTTTTTTTTTTTTTTTTTTTTTTTTTTTTTTTTTTTTTTTTTTTTTTTTTTTTTTTTTTTTTTTTTTTTTTTTTTTTTTTTTTTTTTTTTTTTTTTTTTTTTTTTTTTTTTTTTTTTTTTTTTTTTTTTTTTTTTTTTTTTTTTTTTTTTTTTTTTTTTTTTTTTTTTTTTTTTTTTTTTTTTTTTTTTTTTTTTTTTTTTTTTTTTTTTTTTTTTTTTTTTTTTTTTTTTTTTTTTTTTTTTTTTTTTTTTTTTTTTTTTTTTTTTTTTTTTTTTTTTTTTTTTTTTTTTTTTTTTTTTTTCATTTCGCAAAAATAAGAATTCCGTGTATCATATTCAGACAGATGTGAATGTATTCAACAATTTCTTTACCCACCAGCGACATTGTCGTCTTGTTTCGTTATTTTCGAGCCGTCGTTTTAGCATTAAGTCCTATGAATTGATGACAAAGATAATGAGACTGCGTTATTCGTCTTATTTGAGGATATGAAAGTGATTTTCCCTCCCGACGGACACCGGACGGGCGGCGGCGCTCATGCATAGCACGACCAGCTGCCGTTTTTCAGGGTGAATTTGCCCAAGTTCCTCCAGTACCGAACCTCCGTTTAACTAATCGAGAGTTGAATTAATCTCTCGTTTGTTCATGCACGTGTGATCGCAGTGGAGAGTTCAATAATGTTCTATTTCGAGGAAAACAGAGGTTCGGCGCTGAAAGAACTCGACAAACTCACTCATATTGTGGAATGAGGAGGAGAGGTCTGTGTGGTTTTATTAACGAGAGAGGGTGGGAGGGGGGGACGCGACAGTGGGATAAGTAAAGCCGCCGCGAATTGAGAGGAATAGCCGGCTTAAGGTGAAACGGAACCCCTGTGTCGGTATGAACAATTAAAATTGTGTTTTCTCTTACAATTATTAATTTTTATCTATGAAACTACTTTATCGACTCTGTTATTGCATTATTGAGTCAATGAAGTAGTTTAATAAATGAAAAATAATAATTGCAGGAGATAACACAATTCTAAAAGTTCCTATAAACAGGCGTTCCGTTTCACCTTAAGGATATTTACACGAAATTATGGGTTTTCATTTTTACACGGAGAAAATTATTTGGTGAATTTCAATAACTAGTTGTTGAAATTTAACAACTGGCTGGTAATTAATTATACCAATAATAATAATAGTGATAAATAGAATAATTATAAAACTGAAAAATCAATTATTCGAAATAATAATAATTTTTTTCAATAAAATATCTTAATAGTTAAAAAAAAATTAGTTATTAGTTTAAGTTAGTTATTTCTTAATAGTTGATAAAATAGATGAACCTGAAACTAGCAGAACATTCGCCAGCGGAAAATTCAATTTTGACTATTGACCAGTTTTCAATGAATATCTTGGAATCTAAGGGAGATAGCAAAATTTTTGTCATAACCTTTTTTGTAGAGCCGATCGAGAGCTACAACAAATGTGATTACGAAAATTTCGCTATCTCCCTTGGATTCCGAAATATTCCTCAAAAACTCCACTGGGAGATGAGTCGACTTGAACCTTTTTACCACTTCGCTACTGAATTATATCTATAAATGTTTTTCAAGTGCCAAAGAGTTTGCACATTACTTTAAAACATTTGTACATCCCTAGATTTGCCTAAGAAAAATCAGTAGCGAAGTGGTCAAACGGTTTAACTCAATTTGCTCTTTAGTTGAGTTTTCCAGAAATATTTCCGAATTTAAGGGAGATTGCGAAATTTTCATAATAACCTTTTTTGTAGAGCGAATCGAGTGCTACTAAAAAGGTTATGAGAAAAATTGTGCTATCCCCCTTAGATTTCAAGATATTCATTGAAAACTGGCCATAGCCAAAATCGACTTGAACCGTTTGACCACTTCGCTACCGAACTCTTCTGCTGCCGAATCTGTCTCTGGTTTCAGCTTCATATAAAATAGGATATATTTATGTTCTAGGTTGAGCACTATGACCAAAATAAGCGAGAGGATGTAAGTCAAACACTGACATAATGTGAATTTCTTCCTGACAAGCCCTCAGTACATGAAGAGGGTCACAAAAGACATTAGAATTACCTTGAAAGTCTCTCAGAATCCGACAGTTTTCGGTGACTTTTGGAAAAATTCCAAACAGAAGTGATCTCTGATTAACAAGAAACAGTCGTGAAGAAAGATGGGGGAGAGTGCCTCCGCTGACACGTGGTCGCAATGGTTTCTGGACGCAATACGAAAAATTCGCAGTCAGAAACAGCGGCCAAGTGTCGAGCGGATATGCCATGCCATCAGACAGCATCACAACTACCACGAGGAAGAGATCGGTGAACATCTCGAGAAGGCAGTCAAACGTGGTGACGTCCTGAAAATATTCAATAAGGGACAATCGTCGTACAAAGATCCTGGTGGTCTGCAATCCAAACCCTTGAAAGTTAATAAGACAACTGATTTGAGTAAAGTACTTGGGAAAGCTGTGAGGGAATTGGGGGAACGGGATGGCTCTACTCTGAAGAATATTGAAAAATATGTTCGGCAAAGTCATACTGTTGAGGAGAGCGCTGAAGGCGATCTTAGGACTGCGCTCAGATTATCGGCGAAGAGGGCCGTTGATAGGGGCCTTGTCATTCAGGATGGGAGACTATTCAGGCAGCCTGATAGACCTCCGACGAAGAGGGTCGAGTCGGCAACGAATAATGTGACGAATAGCAACGATTCAGCTGCTAGTAAGGTGAGCAAACACTGAGAGAACAGCCAAGTTCTCAAAGAAGTCTTGTCTGAGCCAACAGAATCTTTAGGTGAAAATTAACAAAACAAGTGGAAAATTGCTGTTGTTGCATATGGTACAGCCAGGGATAGCCAAATTTGGAATATTTTATTACGATTACTTTTGGAGCCCTTAAATTGAAAAACATCAATCTTGTAATTTTTTGAGTAATTGAATATCATCAATTCAAATATTCAAGTTTTTGACTATTTTATCAATCCGTAATTTGAGGTAGGAAGATTGACGATTACTTGTGTAATCGAAAAACCCCTTTCAAAAAATTTGTGTTATTCATTTAGTTGTAAATTTACAATTGCATATTACAAATTTTTCGAAGTCGTTTGGAAAAAATTACGTTCAGGGCAATGTAAACATAAATTTTTAACAAACTTGATCGAATTTTGATGGAGCGAGAAGAAACAGGTATAGGATGGGTGCAAGCGTCAAAGAGAAATAAAATTAGTGCGGAGGGAAGAGGTGAAGAGCAAATTGGGCCAAGTATATATGTCCCCTTCATTTCGTTTTATCGTTCTTGTCCATGCCCAGTGACCTCGAAGTATCGGTGAGTGTTCGCGCAGCAATCGCGGTGAGAAAGACGGAGAAACGAATATTGCGAGGTTGCCATAGCCATGCAAAATTTTGCTCAATGTATCGTGGTCTCGAGAATAGGACTTGACCCCGTACTGACCGAATAGATTCACAGGATCAGTGTCGTCGATAGTCTGATTTCAGGATTGTTGGATTACGACAGTTGATCTTTTTGCAATGGGTCGATTTTTCGATCCTCTAATTTTGCTTGGAAATTAGAATGTCATGAAACGTCGAGATATGATGTCTTTAGAGAATGTCTGCGTATACGTCCGTATGTGCGTACAAAATTCTGGGAAGACTTGAAAGATTATTAGAATAACTATAGCCATTGGTTTCATTTTTATTGTAATTGTTGCAAATTTCTAATTTTTCTGAAATTTATCTGATAACAAATTTCTTAGACGGCTTCATCTAATGGGTTTCAAAATCATTTAATCATGCATAAAATATGTTTTTCTAATACAATTTTGTCGAAGTTTCAAGATAATATAGATAGCATCTCTCATTTGATTTATTCAAGAATATTCACAAGAAATCAAACTATCAAATCAATAATGCAAAACTAAATAAATGAGATACGAGAATGCGATAATCAAAGTTCACTTCTGAAGAAATATTAATGATTTACTTCAGATAGATTTCTCAAAATCTGCCGATGGAATTTTGTATTAAGGGCCGGGTGTACTATCTTTCGAACGTTATCTCGATGGTTTTTTTCATCTTTCGTCATCTGAAATTATCAATTAAGTCCTGCATCATGCAGAAGTTTTGAAAAATTATGAATGAATAATAAAAAAGTAGAAGAAATTCTTAATTTTTTTCAAAGAGCATTTTTAATTTATATTCAGAATAAGTTGAATAACAAGAAATTGAAAAATGTAGCTGATTTACGGTGACAAATGGCGGCCTGTCACCCAATATCATGCAGGGGGAACACTGATTTCGTAAATATTTTCCCACATTGCACAGAGACATTTATTACGGAAAAAGCTCTTTGAAAAAAATTATAATATTTTGGAAAAATTTTTAATCACACTTTTATCACATAAAAATGGCAGATGACTACATACCACTGTTTTGAAAATTGAGATACCTAGCTGTCACTTCCCATGAGGAGTTAGTGTCGTGTTATCCAGCATGGAAAATGACAGCTAATAGATAATTTGCCACAGCCAATCAGATATTTGTAATTTCCCCTTTTTTCACCTCATTCTGAATCTCAATTAAAAACGCTCTTTGAAAAAGGTCAGAATTTTTTCTATTTTTTTATCATTCTATCATAATTTTTGGGAATTTCTACATGATGTACCACTCAATTGACAATTTTGTATTACGAAAAATAAAAAAAATCCAGATAAAGTTCGATAGACAGCACCCCCGGGCCTTAATCAAAATGTTTTCTTTGCCATTCTGTTCTCACAGAGAATGCATGTTTTTATTTTTATGTTTGGCCTACCTCGACCTACTGAAGAACACTGTCTGTCCCCTTGAGAAATTGTCCTAAAAAATTACATAATATTATAACTAAATGAAATTTATAAAATTCATCTTGATATTTACAGCTCCCCGCGCCTTTACCAATTTGTCGCGAGTGTCTCGGTACAACGGCAGCAGCTAACAACAACAATACGAAGAAAACAGTAGCGGAAAAGCTTTCAAGGTGCAGTGTGTGTGGTGCAGCACTCCATCACACATGTGCACCAACGGAATTGGCAATTCTTGTGGAGCGTGGGGCAGCATGGTGCTGTGACGACTGTGCAGCAGTTTGTTCCGGTTGCAAACTCGAGCGTGATTCCCAGAATTATTTGGTCAAATGCTCGGGATGCCCAAAATGTTTTCACCCAATGTGTTTGGATCCAGTGCTGGATAAGAAGAGCAAAGCACCGTGGCGGTGTCGACACTGTCAAACATCACATGGGTCGAGTAGAGAGGATGGCAAGCGCGCCGCGAAGCAACAGGACTCGAGTTCACAGGATGAAAGCTCGCCCAGTAGTGCGAGAAGACGTATTAGCAAAATTCGGGAAAATCGAAAGTGAGTTAATGGAATTTAATAAATCTGTTTAGAGTTTAGTAATCTGGAGAAGAGATGAGAAGAAAGAAAAGTTGGTCTTGCACTCTTCAGGTTTATTTACATTTAAGGATTTCCAGGCTCTTTTGGTGTTGGGTACAGATCGCACTGTAGATTGTGAAACTAATATCAATAATCATGACCGCCAAAGCCTCGAAATTAAGATGAACAAATTGCCTTTGGAAATGTGAGAGAAAAATACAAAATTTTTTGTATTAAAAAAAAGTCCGAAAACTTTATCGAAAATTGATCGAAAGGTATCGAAAACTTGTTCACTTGTGTCTCAGGTACGCTTCTGCTAATACTAAAAATCTGAAATTCATGAAAATCCTGAAAAATAGAGAAATCGCCGGGGGAAAGTTCAAATGAATTTGCAAACATTGATGTATGTTGAATTTGAATCAACGTATTGCCATAGTTTTTTTAAGGAAAAGCAAAAATGTCGAAATGCGTAAAAATGGAATTTTAAAACTATTTCTCGATTTTAAACTCTACACCCCATCATTTTTCCCCATGATAAAAAAATTATTTCAAAAATTCAGGTAAAACCTATATTTTTTGTTCCACACTTTTTTTCTTTGAAGACAACTTCTGATATCTATTTTTATTCGAAATCGAAAAAATCTGAAAAAAATTCACAGAGAGTACTTCTGATGAGTATTAAACCACAGATTTTTTTCCGATTTTTTGGAGACCTTGAAAAAAATAGGTGACTGGATTGAGAAAGAATCCGTCATATTCGAGCCATAGACTGAGAGAAAAACAAACACGTTGTCAACCAAATCTTGTTTGGGCCAACAACATCACTAGTTGAAAATTGGCAAAAAAGAATTTATTTAGTTCGAATTTGAAAGTCTCAAACATGAATAATTGTTCTGCTTTCGACAGCAACAAAATATTGGGCCATATTTGCCCAAAGTATGACCATATTTGGCCCAAAAAAATTCTTATTTGATAATTTTCAAAAAACTATTTTACAGTCCCCTCTTGACAGTTCCCTCAACTCAACTCCCCCCGACAAGAAATAAATAACTGTCAGCCTCCCGACATTCGAGTGCATTCCTAAAACCGAATTTATTCTCCAACAGATCGGGAGTATCGCACAAGAGCATATCCCTGAGTCCAAAGAAGAGCTCGCAAAATCCAGAAACATCAACAATTGATCGTGGAACAGTATCACAGGTGGACAGCAGCACGGACGGTAATGCGGGTGTTGTCTTCCCTCGTCAACCACCACCAACCACGAATCCCATATCCTACCAACCAACCGTCCAATCAACCTCATACGCGGGCCAGGGTAGGCATCTGGAGGAGAAGAGTGACCGTATATCAAAGGAAAAGCAAAAATTCTTCCGTTCATCAGCATTCAATGCCATACACACTAAACAAAAACGTTCGCTATCACATGATAAAACTGATGATAAAACTAGGTTAATAACGTCATCAAAACAATTGAGTCCTACTTGTTCGGGGTCTAAAATACTATCAAAAGCATGTCAAAATGCGCGTAAATCCATGAGTAGTAGTAGTAGTAGTAGTTCTAGTAGTAGTAGTAGTAGAAATAGTGAGTCGTCGGGTACAAGTGATAACGACTCATCATCGTCATCATCCGATGAGGATGCCTCTGATTTATCGTCAACTGGTACCAGTGATTCATCGCCCTCGGAGGAGGAGCCAGACTCGAAAATCGATGAAAAATGTCAAACAGTCAAGCAGTCGTCCAGTACCATTGATAAAAATGAAGAATCCCCGTGGGGATTCGCAGCAGCTGCTGCCAAACTCAAGGTCGACGCGCCATTTTTCAGTACCATCAACAATACATTTGGTGGGCCCCTGCCAAAACTCGATATTGGGAGTAAACCAACGTTTGGCCTGCATATACAGCCGGCAGCATCGCCATCGGACAGAAAAAAAATGGACTCTGATAAAGTGAAACCTCGGGCTGGTCAGCTGAAGGGTTTGTTCGATGGGTTGAGCCATTTCTTTGCTGCTGGTACCAGTAGTCGAGCTAGGGCTGGGGATAAACCGTCAAATTATGCGCCTGACAGACGAAAAAAGGGGAGTGGCAGTGATAAAGTCGATGAAATGCATCCAGAGAGCGTTAACAAGACCGACAGGTGTACAAATAATAAATCCATTGAACGGAGAAATAAAGATATTGATTGCCGAGAGGAGGATGATGATGAGGATAAAAATATTGGTGAAAGTGATAAAATGACCCCGAGTAATTTGGTGAAAACCGCTGTTAATTCAAAGAGACATGAATCTAATAAAAGAAAAAAAGATAGTGATGTTAAGTGTGCTGATGATGTCAAGGAGGGGAGGAGGAAAATTGGGGAGGGCTACCCTGTGCCAGCTATCCCAAGTAATCACCATTATCATAATCATGAATCCGATTTCAATCCTGGCCAAAAAATGTCCCAACCACGTGCCTGTAATAGCGCAACCACCACCAACACCACCACGACACCCCGCGCGACACCCTGCTCCATCAGGAAGGGTAAGAGTCTACCCCGACCCGAAAAAAAAAAAAAAAAAAATAGAAGAAAAAACAGAATTCACGAAAAACAGAAAACCGATATCCCAGTACATTTTTTCCTTCATGAACACTTCATTAAACATTTTCTTTTCGTCATTTTTCATTATTTTTCCCTGATGAAAACCCAAAAATTAGAAATAATTTTGATGTTCTTCTGTCAGGGAATCCTTGTTTTTTTTAACATTATTGAGTTATTTTTAATTTATTCATTTTCTCTCACTGTTTAAGTCTTCTTGGAAGTTATTTGTATTTAATTACCAATTAATATGTGAAAAAAAAACACCGTGGATGTGTTGGCGGTGTGGTGTGCGGTTATTGATGAAGGGAAAATGATGATTCAAACAAATGTGTGCGTGTGGCTGACTTCCCACTCCCGCTGCATCCTTTGCTCCCAGTGCTAAGTGATTATGACTTATTTGTTTGTTGATTAATTCACTGCAGAAGTCAGATTTTATGGATTTTATTAATTTTTCATAATTTTTGGAAATTTCATCGTCAGAAAAATATCAGAAAAATTGAGAAAATCATGTGATAATGAAGATTATTGTAATTATTGAATTTCTAACTTCCAGTTATTCAAAATTTTGTGAACAATGAGCAGAAGAATTTTTCTTTTCAATCAATCATTTGCTAGAGCCAAAGCAGATCCAACTCCTTCTCCGAGATCACCACCATTCCTGTCCAGCTTTGCTTTTTGTGTTGCTTCCTGATAGAATGATTTTTATGTTCGCGAAAAATCGTGGTCAATTGCGCCGATTGACAGGGCGTAATTATCAATTTTACCTTTCAATAGAGTCAATGAGAAATCTAACAATTAGTTCATTTCGAATCAGTCTTAACAGTTAATGAGCACCATTTCACTTTCGATTATCCTCCCTCGAATGAGTTGAATAATTACAATTGAATTCTTGTTAACTATTAACTGGGTCATGGAAGTGTTAGATTCATTTCTGTTTGAGCTAGAGATGTGCAGTCTCGTTACTTTCATATCCCAAAAGTAGTCGTTACAATACACTGAGAGAAAAACAAACACGTCAAACAAGTCTTGTTTGCCGAGCAAATGGCTAGTTGAAAATTGCCAAAAAATAATTTGTTTGCTTGGAATTTGAAAGTCTCAGACATGAATAATTGTTCTGCTTTCGACAGCAACGAAATATTTGGCTCAAGAGGCGGATAATTCACACCAGACTGTGCCTTTTCAGGATGAAAATATCTCATATAGAGGAACATTTATCAACAAATATTTTATCCCTAAGTTACAAGAGTGCTGTCATATCATTATTATTGTTTCATTTAAGGGTTCATTTGTTGTCTGTGATTATTAGACAGCCGAAACGAAAAACTACTATCCCTTGTTTCGCATAAAACAGATTTTTCTGGAGCAAAATACGTATGGGAGTATCGAATAACGAAGGACTAGTGCTAAAAATGACATTTATTGCGTCTACAGAGAATGCAATTTTTTTTCAACTACTAAATCTATTTTAGCGACAAAAATTTTTCATTCCGGCGCACTCTCTGCATGTTTGGTACAAAAAAATCCTTTTTGATAAGTTTCAAAAAAGTATTTTCTTGGCACAAGTAAGACCTGTTTCAGAACTCTGTCATTTTTCTCTCAGTATATGAGAAATTATTCGGGGCGGGGTTAAACGGGGATAGTGAAATGATAATTTAATAATGGATTAAAAATAACGACTAGATACTACCCCTACATCTCTAGTTTGAGCAGAACCCTTGGAAGAATTAATCTTTTGCTTGAGATGCAAGAAAAATGTCGACTGTTGAGTTGAATTTCATTTCGTCATTAAAAACTTTGGTTTCATAAATGCACTTTAATACATTGACTGAGGATAAGATGAAACAACAATGAAATTCAAATGATTCCAAATATTCGTTTCAAATATGTTTTTCTTCTTCTTTTTCAGATGAATCGGTTGTCCCTCACACATTGCCACCAGGCGTTACCCAGAAGGACCTAGATCTCTTCAAGGAAGCTAGAGAACAAGCAAATCGTCTAACGGTGGATGATGATCTTGAGAATGAAACAAGTCCAGGTGGTCCAGGAATTATCACAACAACGAGAAATCCAGCAGCTATTGTTTTCGGAAAATACGAAGTTGAAACGTGGTACTCGAGTCCATTCCCTCAAGAATATGCGAGATTACCGAAGCTATTTTTCTGTGAATTTTGTTTGAAATATACGAAGAGTCGAGCCGTTCTTGATAGACATATGGATAAGTGTCAATGGAGGCATCCACCTGCCACTGAAATCTACAGATGCAATGGATTATCAGTATTCGAGGTGAGACAGCTCTTCATTTTAAGCATTTCGATTGTATACGTCTGAAAGCGAATTATTAGTGCAAACAAATTAATTGTTTATTGTTTGTTTACCCCGCAGATGCTTACAAGGCAGGCAAACGAGCAATAAACAATTATTTTCTCGCCCTAATTATTCGTCTTTACGTCACTCCAACCGCCCGTGACTTAAAGCTCACAGTAGTCTCCCCTTAAAACCGTGTTCCACCATTGAAAATATGGCATCAATGTCTTGAATCCTTGACCAAGATTTCCTACATTATATTTCAGATTGACGGCAACGTGAATAAAATATACTGTCAAAATCTCTGCCTCCTGGCGAAGCTGTTTCTCGACCACAAGACTCTGTACTACGACGTCGAGCCATTCCTCTTCTACGCAGTGACAATAAACGACAAGCAGGGTTGTCACCTAGTTGGCTACTTCTCCAAAGAAAAGCACTGTCCAGCCCAGCGTTACAACGTCTCCTGCATCATGACATTACCCCAGTATCAACGACAAGGTTTCGGTAGATTTCTGATAGAATTCAGTTATTTATTATCAAAGGTCGAGGGTATTCCAGGAACACCGGAGAAGCCATTATCGGATCTAGGCCGTGTGTCCTATCACTCTTTCTGGAAAAGTGTTGTGTTAGAGTACCTAGCATTACACAGAAACGTAACTGACTTCAAATTGGGTGACATTACCAGAGAGACAGGTGTCTCAGCCCACGATATTGCCACAGCCCTTCAACTTCTCGCATTCGTACGAATGGTGAATAACGAAGTGTCAATCGTAATCGATTGGTCGATTGTTGACACTCACATGGCGAAGATTAAGAAATCATCGAGAATAACATTGGACCCTGACTGCCTCCGTTGGATCCCTCTCGTCACACAAATACCTAATCCCTATCAATCACCAGATGAGAACGGCGAATCAGCTCCTGATAATTCACCAATGTTAGATCAAAAGCCAGTGGCCAATGTTGTTGAAAAAATTCAACGTGTCAAAATAAAGAGGAGGCCACGGGGTAAGAGGATTGGCGCTCGCCGATCGAATCCCATGAAACAGAGGAGACAGTCGAAAGTACCAAAGCAGAAAGAGGAAAAAATCAACGGTAATGTGGCTGACGAGGTGAGAAAAGTGGTGCCTGATGGTGATAAAAATGTTACACCGAGAAATTCAAGGAGTTGCCAAAAAATTACATCATCAACACCAAGAAGAACTCATGCATCATCCACTTCAAAACGTAAAATACGAACACCAAAGATGTCTGATAATAATCCAGCAGCATCGACACCCTCGCGAAAACGCAAGCTTTCGGATAAGACTGAGGATGACGATAGGAAAGTGAACGATGAGGCCAGTGGAAATGCGAGGAAAAGAACGAGGGAAAATTTGAGGGACAAGAAGGTGGTGAGGGAGAAGGCTGATAAGAGTCCCGAGAGAAAATCAGTCAAGGATATTATCAATGTTGAGAAAAATTTCCCGAAGAAGCAGAGCAAGCTCGATGATATTCTGATGAAGGTGACAGACAGGCGAAATAAGGTTCTTCAATCAAAATTATCGAAGGAGTCGAAGAAATTGTTTAATCATGAGACATCACAGTACAATGGAAAAGAGGGGAGGGATGTGGCTGAGGTGAATGAGAAGGAGGTGCTGCCGTCGAGGAAACGAGGGAAGTTGCTGGCAGTGTCCAAGGTAGAGAAGATAAAATGCACAAGCCCAGTGACGTTAACACCCCCCAGAACTGAAGTACAAAAGTCGAAATCACTGAATAAACAGTTAACAATCACTGAGATGTTTTCGAAGACGGAAACGAGAGAGGACGAGGAGAAGAAGAAGAACTTTATTGAGGAGCACGAGATGGTGACGGCGAGTTCAGGAGAGTATGAGGGTGGCGATGAGGACGAGGGTGAAGAGGAGGAGGAGGACGAGGAGGTGGAGGAGGAGGAGGAAGTGGAGGAGGAAGTAGCCGAAGAGAAGGTGCAACAGGTGGACAGGGAGAGCGAGAAGAGCAACGAAGCGGTGGCTGTGCGGGCAGTGTCTCCTGCTCGTCAGGATTCTCCCGAAAAATCGTGCGAAAAATCCCATGAAACTACTGAAAAGCCTGAGGTGCCTGAAGAATCTGAACCAGAACCAGTTAAAGTAGCAGAGAAAGACGAGGAGGATGTGAATGATCATACTGTCGATTCAGCGTCTGGAAAACTGCCACTGGCAGTGGCTGACTCTCCAGTCAGACCTCGAGTCGAAGCAGTTGAAGAATCCACGAAAGCCCCGGTGCCAAGTGAGGAGATTTCAAAGAGCTCGGAAATCGTGGCATCTCCCCAAGCTGTTTGTTCAGAAACACCACAAGATCCTGGGGAGATTGCCCAGGCTAGCCACGACGAGTGCCTACAGCATCCAATTCCACCGGTGCCCTCCCCCGACGTACCACCGGAGAAATCAAAAATCTCGATCGAGCCCCCCAAGGAATCTCCAGAGTGTCAAAAATCTCCCCTGAAATCCCCACCAGTTCCAATTGAATCATCCACTGAAGAATCGAGTCACCAACTACCAGCAGAGAGACAGCAGAGTCATCGGGATTACCGCGACTCAATTCAGCAATCTCAAATGACAGCAGATGAAAAAGAACATTCACCAGAGAGTGGTAAGACAACGCCACACCTGGATAATCCAGGATCTGTCAAGAGAACTCCACCAAGTCAGCCAGATTTGCCTTCAATGGGTGTTTACACACCAGATAGTACAACAAATTCAGTTCACTCACTGCATTATGGTCAGTGTGATCTTGACGTCTCCCAACTAGGTTTAGAATCACCGACGTCAATAGCCAGTGATCTAGCCTCACAGCACAGTGTAGAGCGTCCACCCAGTGCCCTTCCACCAATGTCAACAAGTGTCTCAACCCCACTCCCCCCAAATCCCCATCAGATTCCCCCACCGTCCTCACTAATGCCGCAGGTGCAGTACGACTGCTCGATGGCTCATGTGCAGATGCATCCGATGCATCAGCCTCTGCAACAGCCGAGGACACCCCAGAGCATTCCCACCCAGTCTCCACAGCCCATACCCCAGTCTCACACGCCTCAGCCCATTCCCCAGCCACATACCCCTCAGCCAATCCCCCAGTCACACACCCCTCAGCCATTGCCACAGCCACACACCCCTCAGCCCATCCAGTCCCACACACCTCAGCCATTACCTCAATCGCACACTCCACAGCCTATGCAGTCCCACACACCTCAACCCCAACCCCAGTCTCAACCTCAGCCTCACCCTCATTCCCACTCTCACCCCTCATCCCAGACCCTATCATCACAAGCCCTCATGGCCCAGCAGAACATCCAGCATCATCACCCCCAGCAATCACCAAACCCACCCCACACCTCAAACTCCAGCAAACGTGGCAATGGACAGACTCACAGATCACGATCTAATCAGCAGAATCGCTCTCACCGAGCCACTCCCCCCTCCTCTCACACTCAAACAAGTGGCAATCACTCAGTGGTATCTCACGGCGCTTCACCCCTGGTCTCGCAGTACCAACAGCCCTCAATGACTGTTCCACCAGTGCCCCACCACTCCCACAGCCACTCTCACTCTCACAATATGGCAGTGATATCCCAGGGAAATTACATGGCGACAGTGGCATCTCAGGCATTCCCCGCTCAAAATACTTACGTCATACAGCACAGAAGTGGCAGAAGTGTGCCGTCAACTCCCTGCACAACTGCCACTAATTTTTACATTCAGACATCGGCGATGCCACACAGTCACACCCCAGCTCCGTCACTGGCTGCTGGCCACAATCAGGGGACTCCCAACAGCTGCAGTTTAGCTAAACTTCAACAATTGACGAATGGCCTCGAGATGATCCCTCCAACTCCACCACCGGCCATGAACCTCACACCACCTCCACCAATTCCTCACACCATGACGCCACCTCAAAACTCAAGACAATTGTCGGCTACACCACCCCAGGTACCCTTAGGCTATCCGAAAAATTATTACAATGTTAATTCTGTACCACCTCCACCTGGCACTCCAGGCCCCACCAGTAGATCCACATCTAGATCGTCGGCCAATGCTAATATGGCATCACTGCAGAATTATGCCTCGGAAACATTGTACAGACAGAGTTTAGATCCTAGTGGCAGCTGTCCACAGATGCAGAGTGCTGCGTCTAGGGTGTCACCTAATGTTGCGTTAAATACAAACCTGATGGCTGCAGCACAATATGGCTACAGAGTTGCACAGCCTGGCACTGGTTACATGAATCAAGCTGCTCAAATTGGAGGCTTCATGAATCAGGCTGGTCAGTTGCCGGTTGGGGTTGTTAATGTACCTGGTGCATACTCGCAAGACCCACATCAGCAAAATCCAGCTGCTGTCTATACCACTTATCATGGGTACATCAATGGGGGCCTCATGCAGCCACTCAACAGCACTATGAGGCCCAGATAAAGTGGCGTTTACCTTTTACTTGAGTAAATAATTTATTGATTAAATTTTTTTTTTGGCGGGGATGCGTCTGGGGTTTTAATAGGGGGCATTTCGGAAGGGGTGAGAATTCTTGACATTTCGAGGTGATTCGAGAAGTTTCTGGAAATTTCGAGGAAATTCAGGGAGTTTCTGGAAATTTCGAGGGAATGCGAGGAATTTCTAGGAAATTTCGAGAGAATTCACAGAGTTTGCAGAAATTTCCAGGGAATGCCAGGAATTTCCAGGAAATTTGAGAGAATTCAAGGAGTTTCTAAGAAAATTCGAGGGAATGCAAAGAATTTCTAGAAATTTCGAGAGAATTCACAGAGTTTCCAGGAATTTCGAGGGAATGCCAGGAATTTCCAGGAAATTTGAGAGAATTCAAGGAGTTTCTAAGAAAATTCGAGGGAATGCAAGGAATTTCTAGAAATTTCGAGAGAATTCACAGAGTTTCCAGAAATTTCGAGGGAAGGCCAGGAATTTCCAGGAAATTGAGAGAATTCAAGGAGTTTCTAAGAAAATTCGAGGGAATGCAAGGAATTTCTAGAAATGTCGAGAGAATTCACAGAGTTTCCAGAAATTTCCAGGGAATGCCAGGAAATTTGAGAGAATTCAAGGAGTTTCTAAGAAAATTCGAGGGAATGCAAGGAATTTCTAGAAATTTCGAGAGAATTCAAAGAGTTTGTAGAAATTCTGAGGGAATGCAAGGAATTTCTAGGAAATTCGAGAGAATTCAAAGAGTTTCCAGAAATTTCTAGGAAATTCGAGAAAGACGGAAAGACCATGGACGTATCCACGTACAAAGAGCTGTATCGAAGATACAGCCGCCGGCAATTTTTTATCGGGCTCGGATGGATATTTCGAAAATTTTATCAAGTCACCAATTTGAATTTCTGAGTAGTGAGAATTTTATCAGTTGTAACGAAGTGAAATGATGCTTGTTTAATCAATCAATTATTTTTGGGAAAGGGCGCGTATTCCCTCCAATATAATATGGGTATTGTATTATAGGTTTTTAAAACTCAATCTTAATCTTGCAATAATGATTTTTATGGGGAGTACTGGAGTGGATGATGCTCGAGGGGCCCTGTACTTTCCATTATTCTTTATGCATTATGGATGGAGGTGACAAAGCTCATGATTTCGTTATGTTGACGTGTTTTTATTATTCTTTGTTTCTTTTATGTCATTCTTTAGCTTTTGAACAGTATACATATTGATAATGGTATGTGTTTATTAAAAAAATCCTGGGGAAACAATACGTAAGAATAATTAATTCTTCATTTTTGAATGTTGATAACACTAGGGGCACATTTTGCAAGGCGTTTTTATCGTTTAATTTATGTATAAAAAGTGAATAATATCGCATAATTCAATCAGGAAATTACCTGAAATATGGAGGAAATAAAGTGTAAAGAATATCTTGAGAGTGAGCCATTGCTAATTAAATACTAATTACAAAAGAAATTGTACATTTGGAGTAATGAGTGATGTGAAAATAAAAGAATGAATCACAGTGGGCTGTATTGCGAAATGTTGTAGTTGTCATTATATTTTTATTATCACTTTCATGGGAGATATCAGAGTTTTGTCGATTAAAAAAATATTTCTTATGCGCGTGAAAGTATAAATAGTTTTAACATATGATATATTATTGTAGATTTTTCTCAGCTTTTCGCACTGTGAAGTATTGTTTCTTTTTCACATAGAAATATTCATGAAATTATTCAAGAATGAAGAACAGTAGTTATGTAAGGATAATTGATTTTTTTTAAGGAACAGTTGGCTGAATAGCAAAAAAACAATAATGATATAATATATATAAATATATATGCATATATCTATTTATGGTACGAGCAGTGGGGAAAACAAAAATTTCGTTACGATAATTGGAGAGAAAAAATTGACAAAGGGTGCATAAAAATCGGAATAACTTATAAGAGAACAGTGAGTAGGCTAATAAACGTAGATAACAATGATCTAAATTACTATTAATTAGTTTCAGATGATCTAAATGAAAAATCGAAAGTCTGTAAGGTTTATTGTGTAAAAATACAACAATATTTATTGTACATAGTTATAAAGAAAATGATGCATAAAAAATTAAGTACTACTAACAAATAAAAATGCAAAAAAATCATTGATAGTTGAAAATATAAATTTTGTGTTTTTTTTTTCTCAGCCCATTACATTCTCAGGCATTCGCGATTTATTTTCGAATGGCTGCCAACAAATGAGGGTCTCCGCATGGGCGAAAAAAACAGTCGAAAAATTGCCCCTTGTTCTACAATAAACCAACCTCCAAAGTATTTTTCATCTGACGTTGGAAATTTTTTCTAGAAATGTAATGAAAATTCTCGAGTAATGCGATAAATATATGTTTCAAAAAAGGACATTGTGACATGGGTAACAGAGGTTCGGTTGCGGGAAGAAATTGTCCGTATCATGAATGCCGAAAGGAACGCCATGGAAAATTCTCTAAAAGGTAAATTCAGTCTCAATAAGACGTCGATTCTCACGAGATAGGGGAGGGCGGGGCGATATGGACATCTGGGGTAAAATGGACACTGAAGAACTTTTCAATAATCGAATTTGAAAAAATTGCCTCTTGGCAAAATCCACAACCGAAAAATTATTCAAGAGTGGGGTAAAATGGACAGACGAAAAAGTTGGTCCTATTCAACTTTTAATCGAGAAAATTTTCAACAGTTTCCAACAGAATCGTGTCGGTATCTTTTTATAGAGAGAAATTAGAGTTGGAAGAGGTATTAACAAATAAAGTTCAACTCTTAAATTTTGCATTGAAGTTTGAAAAATAGAGTAGCTTTGGATTTTCTGTTTTACTATTGAAATAACTTTGAAATCTGTAGTGAAGTGGTAAAACGAGGTAAGTTAACTAACTCTTCGGTGGGTTTTTCAGAAATATCTCCGAAAATAAGGGAGATAGCATAATTTTTGTAATCACCTTTTTCGTAGCTCTCAATTACCTCTACAAAAAAGATTTTGACAAAAATTTCGCTATCTCCCTTAATTTTAGAGATATTTCCGAAAAACTCCATGAAAAGGTAAGTTAACTTACCTCGTTTTACCATTTCACTACAGAAATTATTAATTTTTTTCAAAGAAGAATTGCAAATTTGTAAGATGGCTACTTTTCTACTTACAAAGGAAATCACCATAAAACAATGGGAGGAGGGGAGGACAAATGAGCAAAGAAAAATTTGGTTTACCACCCCCCACGACAAAACTCAAAAACAAGTTTTTTTTTCAATTTGAAAATCGCAGTCATGACTAGTGTTTCTGAAATTGAATAAAACTGTTGAAACAAAAAATTCAGGAAGAAATCGAAGTGTCCATTGTACCCCGTTTTCGCTTTACCTTACAACTCCTGCGACGCAGTCTCATGACAATGCGTTCGTTTTTATAAACTTCAGATGAAGGCGGAACAGTCGATTTGATCCAATTCATCATTTAAATTATTTAAATCTGCTGTCCATATCGCCTCACCCTCCCCTAATCATTTATTATGGACAAATCGTTGAATGAAAGTCTTCTTATTCAGTCGTTAAAATTTTTGCGCAGCACAGATGCACATAAATCGTCACCTAAAACATCAGGACATCATGTACATCGATATGATGTTAAAAATGGAAAGATCGCTAATACGACAAATCCATTTATCATATTTTTCTTGAGACTAAGGAGTAAAAAACCGAAAGAACCAGTGACATTGATTGCGCGGGTCGCTGGAAAGAGGTGGACAAAAATGTCATCGGATGAGAAACAGAAATATATCAATCTCGCCAATGCTGAGAAGAAGAGGAGAGAAGATAAAAAGCGAAGACGCAAAATAAAAATCACACAGTAGAACGTTATTTATATTGAATTATTTAGGAAAAAAGAGTCAATAAATTGCAAGAAATTTTGTGTGAAAATCTAATTATGTAATTATTTCACGTATTTAAAGAATAGGGAACTTGCGTGAATTTTTTTCAATCTCCTAATCTCAAGTTTGTGACCTGAATAATTTATTTTTCATTCACAAACGTTTGAAGTATTGCTCATTAATTAATAATTAATTGTTAAAAGTTGAAGATTTCAAACGCTTTGAAATCGCTAATGACGTCAGACGGACGGTCGAGTGCTGGACCAATCACAGAATGGCTCGAGCCGACCTAACCCGATCTTGAGGTGCGCCTCCGCCAATGGAGGACGACAACTCCCCACTCTCTTCTTTTTCGACCAATGAAGCGTTACCTGAGCGTCTTCGTGACGTCATGACCGAAAAATAGGCCTCGAAAACGACTGACTTTCAAGGAATTATCATAAGACATCTACGCAATATTTCTTCTCCGTAATTTTTACCGTTTAGCTAGCCATATGTTATGAGAAATCTGGGAATAAGGGAATTAGAAAAAATTGGGCTTCATGCAAGTTTCCTATTGAATTAATAGGAAAAATTACCAAAATTTCGAAAATTTTGAAAATTTTTGATTTGGACAAATTGAAAAAAAATTGAGAACCCCCCCAATTTTTCAGTAAAAATTCGCTATCTCCCTTAGATATCCTTGAAAAACCGACGAAGTCCGTCGTCCCGGTCATACGTCTTAATAAAATCCCCCCGTACAACAAAAACTTACTAGATTTTAGAAAATATTTCTTCTAAACTTAAGTATATTTTGGTTTAAAATGAAGAGATATCCTTGAAAAACTCACCGACGAAGAACGTCGTCTAGGTCATACGTCTTCATAAAATCCCCCCGTACAAAAATAATTTACTAGATTTTAGAAAATATTTCTTCTAAAATTAATTATATTTTGATTTAAAATTGATCCTACTTTTGATCATTATTTTCAAAGGACTTTTTCCTAAAACTTCGAAACAAGTTTTCGCGAATACGTGAGGATTTCAGAAAATTTTTCCACCAGATGGCAGCACTCGCAGTTTTTTCCCACTTTTTCCAAGTATTTCCTGATGTTTACTGCTGTCAACGTAACGGAGTCGGCCGCAAGGCATTTCAGTCAGTGCCATAAAAATAGAAGAAGAAGAAGAAGAAGAAGAAGAAGAAGAAGAAGAAGAAGAAGAACGTAAAGGAGTCTGAAACAATTTATTGATAATAATGGCCGATCAAGGATCATCTGGTGAGAAAACATTTGCCGAAAAACAGGCGGAGAGAATGCAACGTTTGAAGGAGCTGCACAACAAAAGGGTACGTAGAGGAATCGCAAGAATACTGTATTAACCTCCAAATTTATGACAAATATACCCATAACCATAAACAAATGCATGAATATTAACCGCATATTTCACTGTGGACGTGATTTTATGCTTCAGAATGAAGCTAGAACTCAAAATCACAAGGAAGTGGTTGAAGAAGACAAGAGAATGAAACTACCAGCTAATTGGGAAGCTCGGAAACGTCAGGCTGAGTGGATTTTGAGTGATGAGACTGCTAGAAAAGAAGCAGAAGAGAAAGTAAGTGACGAAGTGAGAGGATGTTCACAAGAATTTAATTATTCTTTTATTCATTTCTTCGATGTATAGGGGAGGGCAGGGTAAAATGCAGCATTCTGTTACCCCTTGACCATTGTTTCCTTTCAGGGATTGGACTATGACCGACAAAAACTTCTTCACATTGATGCGATAGAGGCAGCCAGACTTGAACGGAAGAAGAAAAGAAAGAATCCAGATTCAGGTTTTGCTGACTACGAGCAGGCGACGATAAGACAGTATAACCGTTTAGTAAAAGGAATGAAGCCAAATATGGAGTCATATGAAACGGCCAAAGAGAAGCTTGGACCAGCATTTTACGGAGATAGGAACACGATACTTCAAGGGCTACATGAGGATAAGAAGGAAGCTGTGGACAAGATGGTGGATGATTTGGAAAAACAGTAAGAGAGTTTTTTTTACAGGATATCCACTTTGGCTATTTTTTCTCCGGTGAAATGCTAATCTACTTGTGAAGTCGAACATCAGAGTTTTCATTTGGGCCCCATTTGACCCTAAGTTTCCGGACATTTTACAATTTTTTTGATTTTATTATCGGAACTTTGCATGTTTGAATTTTAATCTCGATATTGAACCGTTAGAAAACATTTTTTAAATATGGAAAAAATGAGAAAGTTTACTTTTAGAGGAAAATTGATGAAAGGATTAAAAAATTGAAATTTTTGAACATTACGAGCATTTCTATAAATAATTTACAAACAATCAACAGTTTAAACAATGTCAATGACTTATTTATAAACAACGAATGTTGTAAAAAATAATAATTCTGTGCAAAATGAAATCTGAATGACGCTGAATATTCATGATTTTTTTCAAATTTCTCTCACGCAATTCAATTGACAAATTTGATGATTGAAAATAGCTGAATCTGTAGTCTGGCCTCTACCAAACTGTAAAAAATGCTAGGATATCCTTAAATGAAGGATTGAACCAAAAATGTAAAATTTTTCCGTGAATTGATAACTGTATTTTTTACGAATGTGGAATGATTTCAGGATTGCCAAGCGAGAGAAGTACAGTAGACGACGAACCCACAATGACGACGCGGATATTGATTATATCAACGAACGAAATGCCAAATTTAATAATAAATTGGAGCGGTTTTATGGTGAGCACACGAGAGAAACGAAGCTCAATCTGGAGAGGGGCACAGCGATATAATTTCTTCTGGGAATTCGGTTTAATTACTTACTCAACACTTATGATTTATATCTGTCGTTAAATTTAATAATGAGTTTTTGTGGGCTCATTTCGTTTGTCATTGATGGCAATACAATGTAGAATGGATAAGAAAAGATGATAAAGGTAAGATTTTCCAATTATTTTTCATACTCCCCTCTTGCATTCCTCGAATTCTAATTAAGATAGACATGCTAATTGATTGATGCTCGGAAAAATATTGAATAATGAAATGTATGCGGATTTAATGCCCGAGTGTACTATCTTTCGAACATTATCTCGATGTNTTTTTTTTTCGTCTTTCGTCATCTGAAATTGTCAATTAAGTCCTGCATCATGCAGAAGTTTTGCAAAATTATGAATGAATAATAAAAAAAAGTAGAAAAAATCCTTAATTTTTTCAAAGAGCATTTTTAATTTATATTCAGAATAAGTTGAATAACAAGAAATTGAAAAATGTAGCTGATTTACGGTGACAAATGGCGGCCTGTCACCCAATATCATGCAGGGGGAAGACTGATTTCGTCAATCTGTTCCCACACTGCACAGAGACATTTATTACGGAAAAAGCTCTTTGAAAAAAGTTGTAATATTTTGGAGAATTTTTTAATCACACTTTTATCACATAAAAATGGCAGATGACTACATACCACTGTTTTGAAAATTGAGATACCTAGCTGTCACTTCCCATGAGGAGTTAGTGTCGTGTTATCCAGCATGGAAAATGACGGCTAATAGATAATTTGCCACAGCCAATCAGATATTTGTAATTTCCACTTTTTTCAACTCATTCTGAATCTCAATTAAAAACGCTCTTTGAAAAAGTTCACAATTTTTTCCATTTTTTTTATCATTCTATCATAATTTTTGGGAATTTCTACATGATGTACCACTCAATTGACAATTTTGGATTACGAAAGATAGAAAAAATCCAGATAACATTCGAAAGATAGTACACCCGGGCCTTAAGATGAACGCAAATATGAAAAATGAGAAAAAAATATTTTCAGTGAATGAATAAATCTTTTATTCTCATTATGCGCCATACAAATCAATGGTCAGGTAAGCATCGACAGGGGGAACAACCTCCCGGATACTCTGGTGGAGCCATACCACCCGGACAAGCAATCCCACAAGCCGGACAGCCACGTTGAGCTGAAAGAAAAACAACAGTCACATATTTTTCAACTACTCTAATCAATGAACAGTGGTCTCCAAGTTAATTAACAACATTTTCCTTTACATAACAATACACTCACCTTTGATAACTAAAATAGTGGCGAAGATAATTGCGGAGAGAAAGAAGATTCTGAACCGACCTGCCATTCTGCAGAAAACGTGTCGTGTTATTTCTACAGAGATTTCTGTTATATACCGTGCGTGCCCCCATCGACTCGAATACAAAGTTATAAATATTATTTTTCCTTTACAATTTCCTCATTACTTTGCGTTTCATATCTTATGCAAAACAATCAGGATAATATGCCAGACGGTAATCTCGCCGTGATAATACGAATATTTAATTCTTTTTCCAATTACGAAATTAGTGACGTAGACCGTTTACCGCTAGAAGACAAGAAATTTCCCAATTTTGGAATTTCATTTTTAAAAATAAAAATCATCAGAAAATCGCTGAGGAAGGGGTAATGACGTGATTAATTTTGTTATCCACCATGGAAAATTACAGCTAATAAATAATTTACCACAGCGAATCAGATATTTGTAATTTCCACCTTTTTCAACTCATTCTGAATCTCAATTAAAAACGCTCTTCGGAAAAGTTCAGAATTTTTTCTATTTTTTTTTATCATTCTATCATAATTTCTCGGAATTTCTACATGATGAACTCAATTGACAATTTTGGATTACGAAAGATAAAAAAATGAAATACTTGGCAATGTGGGATATTTTCAGTCGATGTGCAGTTTAATCGCAGTTTCACGATCCTAGGGACATAAAATGATATTTTATGCCTCAAGTACCGAGAACCGCGTTCTAACCAAACAAAGTGAAATTAAAATTCGCTGTTTATCTGTCCTCGGGCCATAATATACTATTTCATCACGCTGTGACGAAAAGTGAACTTTCCGGCACGCTCCGCGTGCCTAAAAGTCCAATTTCCGCCACATTGTGATGAAAAATATTGTTCGTAACTCGTGAAAAAATGTTTTTTAGCTCGTGGGATTATATCACGAGCCGGAGGCGAAACCTCCCACTCGCCAAAAACCACTTTTTTGCACTCGTTACGAAGTATACTATTTTTTATATGTCCAATACTGCGTCTTCGTCACTCGGAATAAAATAAAACATTCTAGTAATCAAAAATTGCAAGCTTTTGAAGGAATGTAAAAAATGTAAAAAATCCGTCGAGGTAATTTACATAATTATTATGTATTATTATAATTTACCCCCCGATAAGGCGGATAATAAGAAAACTACTAGCGCCTTCTTTAGGGCAGAACAAGAACTCTCCTCGGAGGAGTAATGGTGCTTGCCTCTCTTTCTTTGAGTGGCGGATATAACCATAACGAACAGAAGAAGAAAGAAGTCTAAATAACAATTTGTTTGCAAGACATTCGTGCATTTTCTGTCGTGAAAATCTACCGAGAGAGTTTGAAAACATCAGCGTCCGTTGGAATCAAATGTTTCCTCTGGGATTATCACTTGCTGTAGTGAACCAGGTAAGTGCTAGGAAAAATTATTAGATTGCCCACATCCGAATCGCTCATTGTGGAAATTAACCTACACGCTCGGCGATTATGTCGTTTTACAGGGGTGACGAGCTCTCTGCTGTTTAACATTGAAGGAAACACTGAAAGATGTCGACGAGAAAAAGCATTGAAAATCCTGAAGTCCCGGGTGAGCAATTGTGAAAATGATCTATTGTATTGACTTGGACTGTCGACCGGTAGAACCGCGGAGATTTCCCAGAATTTCGAAAAATTATGGAGATTATTGAACACTTTCTATTTTTTGTAGTGAAGCTGAAACTACACGGACAAAAAAATTTAATAGAAAAACCTATCGAATTCGTTCGAAAATTCTATTGAATTTCTATTGAAATATTCTATTAGCTTTTGACGATTCTATTGAAATGTTCAATAGAAAATATTCAGTGGAAAAAGTCAATGGAATTCAATTTTTCTGTGTAACTTATTCTATTGAGATATTTTCTACAGAATTTCCTCCGCTCAAATTTTCCAAGTTTTTTCGTTTGATTTATAAGAAGGAAGCTGTGGACAAGATGGTGGATGATTTGGAAAAACAGTAAGAGAGTTTTTTTTAAAGGATATCCACTTTGGCTATTTTTTTCTCCGGTGACATGCTAATCTACTTGTGAAGTCGAACATCAGAGTTTTCATTTGGGCTCCATTTGACCCTAAGTTTCCGGACATTTTACAATTTTTTTGATTTTATTATCTGAACTTTGCATGTTTGAATTTTAATCTCGATATTGAACCGTTAGAAAACATTTTTTAAATATGGAAAAAATGAGAAAGTTTACTTTTAGAGGAAAATTGATGAAAGGATTAAAAAATTGAAATTTTTGAACATTACGAGCATTTCTATAAATAATTTACAAACAATCAACAGTTTAAACAATGTCAATGACTTATTTATAAACAACGAATGTTGTAAAAAATAATAATTCTGTGCAAAATGAAATCTGAATGACGCTGAATATTCATGATTTTTTCAAATTTCTCTCACGCAATTCAATTGACAAATTTGATGATTGAAAATAGCTGAATCTGTAGTCTGGCCTCTACCAAACTGTAAAAAATGCTAGGATATCCTTAAATGAAGGATTGAACCAAAAATGTAAAATTTTCAATAATGTTCAATAGAAAATATTCAGTGGAAAAAGTCAATGGAGTTCAATTTTTCTGTGTAACTTATTCTATTGAGATATTTTCTGTAGAATTTCCTCGCCTCAAATTTTCCAAGTTTTTTCGTTTGATTTTCTTGATGAGAAAGAAAGAAAAAAAAAGTGAAAAAAACTTGGAAAATTTGAGTCGAGCAAATTCTATAGAAAATATATGAAATGAATAAGTTGTATAGAAAAATCGAATTCTGTTGACTTTTTCTATTGAATGGTTAATTTAATATGTGAATTTTTAAGATTTATGTTGAAAAATTGGCAACTTCACAATTTAAGGATAATTATGATTGATGAATATGACTATCGCTAAGCTCGAGACACTGACATTTCTTTCATTGATCCATTATAAATGATTAATTTTAATTTTCAGGATTGGAAGAGAATCTGCCACCTCCATTGCCGCCCCTACCGCCTGAAAAAATTGCTGAGCCCCCGATACCAGCAGGACTCCCATCAGAAAATAAAGCAATTGTGCCACAAGTGAATCCTCCCATAATCCCCAATATTCCCCCACAGATGAATCCCCATGACCTCCCAAGTTCTCATGTCATGCCACCTCTACCCTACATGCCACCCCCGGTTCCACAGCCACCGGTGGGGCAAATGGTGCCCTGGTGGGTGCCAATAGACGCCGACAGCACTGGCATATATTCACAATGGTCAGAGAATCAAACTGAAACTTTCGCTCCAGAAATAAATAATGAGAGTGGTGCTACCAATTTCAAGAGGAAGGCTGAGCAGGTCGATCCTGCCAAAGACGCAGGTAAAGCTTTGAGAAAATTAATGGCTTTCCGTTAACTTTTGCTTCCGAGTGGAAGCTATGTGATTGGGATTTCCTTCCATTTCATAATTTTGGGTGGAAGTGCCTAGAAATGTCATGAAACATGAAAAAATAATTCTGTATTATTCCCTATCTAGGCGGTTAACCCTTAGATGATTAATCTTTTTTGTTAAAAAATCAGGAATGCGAAGCACGAGTTTTCGACAATTAGGGGAGGTTGGGGTAAAACGGACACTTGACTTTTTTTAAATGTTAATGAGGGGTTGAAATGTTGATGAAATTCAATTTTTTTTTTCAATGCAAAGAACAATTCTTTCCCTTTGAGACGAGCCTAAAGTGAGCTCAACTGATAAATTTGTTGCTGAGTTATGAATAATTGAAAAAAAGTCGAAAGTGTCCATTTTAGCCCAGCCTCCCCTATTCACATGGTGTACCTTCAAAAATTTAATTTTGCTGACGCTTCTTATATGATTTTCTTATCATTCACATTCAAAAGTCCTAAATTTTTTTTTTCAATTTTTTTCAGATTCTATTACGTCCACAACGTTAATTTTTGAGTTTGTGAATTTTTGACGAAATTTCGTATTTCAGCACAGGTCAATTTAAAAAAAATTTTCAACAAATATTTCCGGTGGAAATTTTCCGTTTCTCTCGATTAATAATTATTTTTGGATAGCACGGATCAGAGTGCCAGTCTAACTTTTTTCTATGTTTCGTAAAAATAGTCACAATGGTCACATGTAACATGTCAAATGGCTTCTGTCACACTGCGTGTTTTCTACTCCGATCTCTCTTTATTTACAGAAAAAGTCGCGAGTGCCCAGTCGGAGCTCTCAGCCCTCATGAAGCCTCTGCGGTGTGATCTTTGCAATGCAGTTGTATGAATCAAAGAGAAGATTTTTCATTATCGTTTATGTATATTTTGAATTATGCACTGTCACGGTGGGACTCACTTAGAGTATTTCTCTTTTCCCAGTATAAAACATTGCAACAGTGAATTCAGATTAATTTGACCAGAAACTCAATTTGGAGTAATCATTTCAGATGAATTCAACACTGCAAGCCAAATTGCATTACGAGGGCAAACCGCACCAGAAAAAGGTCTCCATGTTCCTTAATCAGAGTGTGAAAAAATTGAAGACTGACGAGGGCCCCATTACGACCACCTCGAGCGATTGGAGTTCTTACTGTGATGTATGTATTCCTCAATTTTTTACCCCAAAAAATCTGGGGATTAATTCGTAAGCATTAAGAGTTGAATATCATGTTAAATGAACTATTTATTGCGAGAGACAAATGTGGAAGTCAAACACAAGATTAAATATTTATACAAAAAACCACAAGGACTATAAAATCTCATGTTCATAGAAGTTGTAAGCTACAAAAACGAGGTTAATAATTCAGAAATAAAATAGTGAATAATATTAAATATCCTCCTGCCCAGTGGATTTAGTATTTTATTGACATTGCTCTCTGTTTGTATTTTTGGAATTTCCTACACTGAGAGAAAAACAAACACGTCAAACACGTCAAATTGCCAAAAAAGAATTTGTTTGGTTCGAATTTGAAAGTCTCAAACATGAATAATTGTTCTGCTTTCGACAGCAACGAAATATTTGGCTCAAGAGGCGGATAATTCACACCAGACGGTGCCTTTTCAGGATGAAAACATCGTACAGAGGAAAATTTATCAACAAATATTTTATCCCTAATTTACAAGATTGCTGTCATATCATTATTATTGTTTCATTTAAGGGTTCATTTGTTGTCTGTGATTATTAGACAGTCGAAACGAAAAACTACTATCCCTTGTTTCGCATAAAACAAAGATTTTTCGGGAGCAAAATACGTATGGGAGTGTCGAATAACGAAGGAGTAGTGCTAGAAATGACATTTCTTGCCTCTACAGAGAATGCAATTTTTTTTCAACTACTAAATCTATTTTTTCGACAAAAATTTTTCGTTCCGGCGCACTCTCTGCATGTTTGGCCCAAAAAAATCGTTTTGATAATTTTCAAAAAACTATTTTCTTGGCACAAGTAAGACTTGTTTGAGAACTTTGTCGTTTTTCTCTCAGTGTAGTAGTAGTAGGTGATTTGTCAATTTCAAAGTGAATCCCCTTGTGTGAAATCGCTTACAATTAGTTATTTCTAATGAAAATAAAGTTGATTTCTCTTGTCTCTACATCATAAAAAGAAATAAACAGAATTATTCTCGAATATGGAAAAACTTGATTTTCAGTGCCGAAGAAATGATAAAAAAATGGTTTCATTTTCGATAACATTTAGGTCTGCAAGACGTGGTTTACGTCTCAGGCTGATGCATCCCAGCATTACGCTGGAAAAAAGCATCTCCGAGCTACGACTGGTGCTCCAAAGAAGAAGTAATGTTTGCGCAATTTCACATTGCACCGCTAAACGCTTTCCGCAATTTGAAAGTATCTTGTTTTCCAGAAGTCCAAAGAAAGGGTCAGTTCCACCAGTGCCAGTAGACCCAACAGGGAGATTCGGTATCGGTGCAGGTTTTCAATTAGAGGCTCAGGGTCCTTCAATCGTCCCCGAAGCCGTTGAATCCGTTGTACCGCTCATTCCGAATCTACCGAATTCCCAAATGTACAACCCCGCAGCTACAACTTACTCAGGCGCTTTGAGGTGCGATCTCTGTGGAGTAACTGCTAATCGTTTGGAGCAATTGGAGACCCACAAGAGGGGGATAAGGCATCAGAAAATGTTGCGGTTGAATGGGGTGATTCCTACAGAAACTGGTGAGCGTTTAAAAAAATTGAGAAAAATTGTCATTCTTTAATTTTTGAAAATAGTGTTTTTTCCTCGTCTAATTTATATTTTTCATAATTTTTCTTCACTAGTAGTCACTCCGACTGAACATGTGGTTACTGCAACGACGATTGACTACTCCATCTGCAGAACACCTTCAGGTATATTATTAAATATAAGTTGACAGTCGTTGTTTGAGGGAACATGCGACTATAACAACAGTCTACTATATGTTGAGCACATTTCACTATACTGAGAGAAAAACGACCAAGTTCTCAAACAAGTCTCACTGTGCCACGAAAATAGTTTTTTGAAAATGATCAAAAAAGGATTTTTTGTGCCAAACATGCAGAGAGTGCGCCAGAATGAAAAATTTTTGTCGCAAAAATAGATTTAGTAGTTAAAAAAAATTGCATTCTCTGTAGACGCAAGAAATGTCATTTCTAGCACTAGTCCTTCGTTATTCGATACTCCCATACGCATTTTGCTCCCGAAAAATCTTCGTTTTATGCGAAACAAGGGATAGTAGTTTTTCGTTTCGACTGTCTAATAATCACAGACAACAAATGAACCCTTAAATGAAACAATAATAATGATATGACAGCAATCTTGTAAATTAGGGATAAAATATTTGTTGATAAATTTTCCTCTGTACGATATTTTCATCCTGAAAAGGCACCGTCTGGTGTGAATTATCCGCCTCTTGAGCCAAATATTTCGTCGCTGTCGAAAGCAGAACAATGATTCATGTTTGAGACTTTCAAATTCGAACCAAACAAATTCTTTTTTGGCAATTTTCAACTAGCGATTTTGTCGGCCCAAACAAGACTTGTTTGACAACGCGTTTGTTTTTCTCTCGGTGTACTCAATGCTCTTCAGGGGGCGAAATATGATATTTAATATTAATTGTTCAGGCTCTTACTACTGCGCTCCGTGTGATAAGTCTTTCACATCTGAGAACAGCTTCGCTCAACACGTGGAGAGTAAAAAGCACAAAAACCAAGTGAATCCAAAACCCGCTGGGACTCAAGCCCAGAAATTATCAAGTCAAGATAAACATAAGAAGCATAAATGATAAAGCGAACTATATTCCTATAGTTCTATATTTTTTATTTGAACAAAGTGATGATATTCTTATGAACATGTTGTGTTGTCTGGATGTTAAAACGATAATAAAACGATGTTCTGTAAATATTCTTTTCCCGAATATTCGTTAGACTTCCCATAATACGTCAGTCCTCAATGTATTTGCTTTTGATCACTAGACTATGGAGGAATTGTCAATGAAGGTTTCTCGAGACGAAGAGCCAAGTAAAAATTATTGAAGATTAATGAGTCAACAATATTGTTAGGACTATTCCTCAAAATACTGTTTTTGAAGTTCTTAGGAATAATTCAAGTTCATTCACATATTCACATATTCACAACATCCTTTCATTATTTCATATTTTTGGAATGCATGAGGAGTTTGGGTGAGAAAAATAGCACCAGGTCAATTTTTTAAAATGTAATTCGTTTCAATCATTTATAATTGCTGATGGTGAAGAAACATTTTTCGATGTTTCACTGGATGACTCGATTACTTCGTACTCCTCTGACGTTGACGGTTCGTTAGAGCTGGAACCACCGGATTTGGTGTCCTCTCTTTCCCTAGTAAGTTCTTGTTGCTCGGGCTCGTGGGAAGTTATTGCTTCTACATCCACGTTTGAAGATGAGGATTCATCCTGCAGCGGGTCGGTAGCTGCAACAATAAATGGAGGGATTTTTGGCCGATTCTTTTGGAGAATTTCGCAGCTTTACTGTGTTTTCTTTTAAAAAATGTCCAATAGAAATTATTATATACAGAAAATCAGTAGAATTCCGTCTTTCTATACAACTTTTTTTAGTCAGAGATGTTCCGCAGAAATTTTTCGACATGAATTTTCCAAGATTTGCTCGTTCTATTTTTCTCCTTTCACTGGAAGGATTAAAGAAAAAAAAACGAGAAAATTTCAACCGAGGAATTTTGATAGAAAATATCTCAATAGAATAAGTACAGGAAAATCGAGTTCCATTGATTTTTTACATAGAGAATATTTTTCGTTGAATACTTCTTTTAAAAACCATCAAGAGGCTGCCAAATTTTTCAATATAATTTTAATTGTCCAATTTTTTTTCAATACAATGTCAATTTCAACATGTAGAACTCAATTTCAAGAGAATTTCCTGGCGAAATTGTATTCAAATTGCATTCACTAGGTTTTTCTATCAAATTTTGTTGTATGTATTTTTCAGTCGATAATTTATGTCGAATTAAATTCAACGTAAACCAGTCCAGTTTACTTTTTAATTGACAAAGTGACTTGAAAATGATGAATCCGAAATCCCCAGATGACCTTGAAGGACGTGACACCTCCGGTCAATTAATGTGGTCAAGATCAATCAAATTACGTAATTTTTGTATCAATGGGAACATTTTCTCAAGAGACAATGGAACTTACCATCGGAGTATAAACTGGATTTCAAGTTTTTTCGGCGTCAGACCACTACTTAGCAAAACTCAAATTCTTACATCATCAATAACATTGGTATCTATAGTGTAAGAATTTGGGTAGAAAATACCTCAATATAAAAATCAAATTCTATTGATTTTTTATAGAAGAGAATATTTTTCGTTGAATACTTCTATAAAAAAAACATCAAAAGACTGCGCAATTTTTCAATAGAACACAATTTCAATAGAATTTCCTGGCGAAATTGTATTCAAATTGCATTCACTAGGTTTTTCTATCAAATTTTGTTGTATGTATTTTTCAGTCGATAATTTATGTCGAATTAAGTTCAACGTAAACCAGTCCAGTTTGCTTTTTAATTGACAAAGTGACTTGAAAATGATGAATCCGAAATGCCCAGATGACCTTGAATGACGTGACACCTCCGGTCAATTAATGTGGTCAAGATCAATCAAATTACGTAATTTTTGTATCAATGGGAACATTTTCTCAAGAGGCAATGGAACTTACCATCGAAGTATAAACTGGATTTCAAGTTTTTTCGTCGTCAGACCACTACTTAGCAAAACTCAAATTCTTACATCATCAATAACATTGGTATCTATAGTATAAGAATTTGGGTAGAAAATACCTCAATAGGAAAATCAAATTCTATTGATTTTTTATAGAAGAGAATATTTTTCGTTGAATACTTCTATAAAAAAAAACATCAAGAGCAATTTTTCGATAGAATACAATTTCAATAGAATTTCCTGCAATTTTTCTTACATCATCAATAATCAATGATGATGATCATATGGTGATATTGTTATGATGATTTTTCTTATCATCATCATAATAATATTGATATCTATGTGTAAGAATTTGAGTTTTGCTAAATAGTCGTCTGACGACGAATAAACTTAGAATCAAATTTTTACTTCGATGATGAGTTCCAGTGCCTCTTAATAATGCCATAAATAAATGGGCAAAACGCTGAATATTAACTATATATACTACTATATTACTTTATATTATGACGCTGAATATTAATGGGCAAATGTTAATCATCCCCGATGACAAACCTCACAATATCTCTATTTACAACGAAAAATGGCTGGACACAAAAATTTAATTTTAACAAACCTTGATTTTCCAACTCTTCCGATATCGTTGGGACATTACTACTCGTTGAAGGTGTATTGGTGGGCTGCACCGAGGCCTCTGGATTATCAGAGTCAAGATCCAGTTGTGAAAGTTCACTGATGTAGTTCTGTTGAGTCTGTTCATTGGTAGGAGTCGATGGGCTTCCTGATGGTGTAGACGTTGGCGTGGGCCCAGGTGTGGTCGGAGCGGTACTGGGGGTTGGCGGCTGTGCTGGAGCCGGCGTATGATTGCGCAGCAGTATTTGTTGAAGTTGTGCTTGCTGTAGAATCACCGGCAGTTCGTAATGATGGAAAAAATACAGCATCGAGTGCTATAAGCAAATGGAGAAGGCGTGTCAATGATCACACAAGCTTTCATTTGAGTCCTATTTGACCCTGTTTCCGGACGCCTCAGAAAGTTTACGTTTGGAGGAAGATTGATGGAATAATAATTTAAAAAGTGCATTTTTTGAAAATCACGAGCAGCTTCTATAAATAATTTATAACCGATCAATTTTTCACAATAAAAATCATTTATTTATCATTTATTGATTATTTATTTATCATTCATCTATTTTATTCGTATTCAGAATTTTAGCAGAGATCGATTTCATGCCTTAAAAAATAAGGTTTCCGAAAGTTTAAATAATTTCAATTATTTATTTATAAAGAACGAATGTTGAAAAAAAAATTCTGCATAAAATGTAATTTGAATGACGCTGAATATTCATGATTTTTATTCAAAATTTTCTCGCTGGGTGAAAATACCAGAGAATACAGAATACGAACAAATGTGGCTCAATTCAAATATAATCCTCTCGATATTTTAGGCAAAATTTTCCTACAATAAGAAGACATTTGATGACTTTCCCGAATTTTCAAAAATTTGTAATCCTGAAATGAAGCGCCATCGAAATGACTCGTCTGCGGATCGTGGAATTAATGAACAATTGAGTTTAACTTAATGTAAGAATTTACCTGTATGAACAACCACGACGTAACAAGGGCGAGACTGCTGTATTGGCCGTTGAATCGGTAATGGTACGCGTAGAACGAAAAGTGGTAGAGATAGAAAAATCTGAAAACACGAGAAAAAAGTCATATTCACGATGCGTTTCGTCAAGAGCAAAAAAATGTAATTTAGATGGCGTTCATACATTCATAGAGGATATCGTATTAAGTCATGTTTGGAAGAATGCAAAGAATTCATTTGAAATGGCGATAAATTTAGATTTTTACCTGAACTTCATCTGTCAGATGTCTCAGGATGACTATCCAATGGGTAAATCATCCTGAATTTCATGTCAGATGTCTCAGGATGATTATCCAATGGGTAAATCATCCTGAATTTCATGTCAAATGTCTCAGAATGATTATCCAATGAGTAAATCATCCTGAATTTCATGTCAGATGTCTCAGGATGATTATCCAATGAGTAAATCATCCTGAATTTCATGTCAGATGTCTCAGAATGATTATGCAATGGGTAAATCATCCTGAATTTCATGTCAGATGTCTCAGGATGATTATGCAATGGGTAAATCATCCTGAATTTCATGTCAAATGTCTCAAGATGATTATCCAACGACAAAATCATCCTGATTTTTTGAAAAATCCAATAAATGGACAGATGAATGGATGAAAAAGAAAAAATGCTAGATCTGGAAACACTCTACGACATTTTACTCACCTCAGCCAGTGCCTCTTCGTAATCGGGGTATGACAGCAAATAACATCATACTGATCCGCAATCCAAACAATCAAAATGATATAGAAAGCGGTTGTGGTATCATTGAAGAATTCCGACATTATAGTTTCCATCCCTGAAACATGAAAAATACTTTTTTGCATTCAATTCCGATTAGTCTTCAGCGAATACATGCAAAGATTACTTGATTCTGGAAACTAGAAACTTGTTCTAAATTTTTACTTAAACAGAACAATTTTTTTTATAGTCTGTATTGAATTCCGTTCCTTCTGCACAATCACTCTTAAAGTTTTCATTGTTTATACATTTTTCATATGCAAATTATCGAGACTCGTGAATACTCATTGACACTTACCGACAAGTGCTAGTATAACTACCAGTAGTGAAGCCGCTGGAAAGGAGGCTGTCACATTAAATTCCAACATCTGGAATAAGTCAACTGCAAAGAATGGAAAAACAAATGTAAAAGCCGAAATAATCTGTGAATTTTCTGTAGATTCTAGTTTTACAAACTCCTAATGAATGAAATTTGAGGGGAATCCCAACATTTTTTTGACCAAAACTCTCTTTCGTTCCATCACAAACGAATTCAGTAGTGAATTGGTAAAACGGTTCAAGTCAACTCATCTCCCAGTTGAGTTTTTGAGGAATATTTCCCAATCTAGGGGAGATAGCGAAATTTTCGTAATCACCTTTGTTGTAGCTCTCAATCGGCTCTACAAAAAAGGTTATAGCAAAAATTTTGCTATCTCATTTAGATTCCGAGATATTCATTGAAAACTGGATCGGGCATTTCATGTGCGGAACTAAGTTCCCCCAATTTCGACGATTCAGAAAATCATGAACTTCAGAAAGTTCAAGTGATGCTCTCGTTCTCGTGAAAAGTTCTCTTCAGCGAGATTTATGCTGTGATGGCTCTTATACATACCGATGAATACGAAGATCTGATGGTGAGAGTAGCGAAGGAGCATTGAGATTGACACCGTCTGAAATTTGATGAAGAGATCGCGATTAAATGAGAAAAAATCCCGTCTGGGGATGGTGAAAAAATGAAGACAATAAAAAAATGCTAATCCAAAATATTTGACTTACAAATACGAGCATGATGAAGAATGCAGCCACGTAGGAGGTTCTAGCCATCCACATGCTGACGAAACGATAGTGTTCACCGGTGACAACATTTCTAGAGAAATAGATGAAAATGAAAATAATTAATGTGATAGTTAATGGATACGATGAGGGAGAGCGAGGGAGAGTGAACCATTTTTAAATAACTAGAGATGGGCAGAGTGAAAAATAAATTATTCAGATCCCAAATTTGATACTAGACTATTGAAAAAAAATTCATGCAAATCCCTATTTCCACTTTTATTAAGGGGAGACTACTATGAGTTTTAAAAGTCGTGCAACAATTGTTTTTATTGTTCGTTTGCCCGAAAACGCTTAAAATGCCAAAAACAGTCCACGGCCTCCAATTTTTGAGCTACGAAGGATTTTTTTTCTTCAAAATTTTCGGAAAAATATGTAAAACAACAATTACTAGCGATTTTTTTAAATTCACCTCTTACATGGCTAAATTTGCTTTTTTTTGTATTTTTTTACACAAATCGTGAATTTTTTAATATAAAAAAAACCGAAATCAGCTGTGTAGGAGTCGGATTCCAAAAAACTGGCTCGTAATTGTTGTTCCACACATTTTTCTGAAAATTTTGAAAAAAAAAATCTTTTGTAGCTCAAAATTGGAGGCCCTGGACTGTTTTTAGCATTTTAAGCGTTGTCGGGCAAACGAAAAATAACAAAAAAATTTTTTGCACTAATTATTCGTTTTCAGATCTATATACTCGATCTTTAACGTATGAAAAGTCTCACTCCAATAACACAGGACTTTTAAAACTCATAGTAGACTCCCCTCAAGTCATATTATCAAGCCAATTTAAAAATGATCTATTAGAAAATTCTCTCTTTGCAAAAAAATTAAAATCCCGTCCACTCACCGTAAAAAACCTTTATTATCTTCATGTTCGGCTAAAGTTTTGATGCTCGCCATGAGAAGATCATCGTAGCCAAGTAGTTCATCAAGAATCAATCTGGAGAATGCATCCCCGAAGCATTTGTCATTCAGTGGATCCAATGTAACTATTTTCACAGGTATGTTGAGTCTCTGACGGACGGCAGGGGATAACCGAAGGAAACCATACTCAAGGGAGTACTCAACAATGTACTCGTCCTCCGGAAAAACTAATTCATAACACAGATAGCACTAATGAAATGATATCTGATGAGCCGAAGATATTGCTCAGTGAAAGATGCAAAAATATAATTTGGAATTTTGTAAGTAACTCTAGAAATAGGGAAATAGGGAAAGTGAGGCAAAATGAAGCAATCGAAAAACGACGGTTTGACGAAATTCAAGCAAAAAAAATTTTTTATCAACAATTTTTTTTATCAACTTTTGTTTTTTAACTTTTTCAAATTTATTTGTTTTCTGGCAAAACAAAGTGGATAAAAAATTTTTTTTGCTCTCTCCCCTAGGTAAAATTATAGTTTTCGTTGGAAATCAGAGGGTAATTACCTGCTGTTAACAGCTTCTCAACCTCTGGCACTTCGGATTTAAGAGTCTGGGCGACACTCTCCTCGTTATCCATGTCTGCACTGGAATTTTTCTCCGTAGCATTCGGATTTTGCGACATGGCAGCATCAGATGCCTGCACATCACAATTGGAAAATATAAATCATACGGTTACGAATTCCACGTTTATTCTTTTATACTATTGCTTTTATTTAGAAGCGTTTGAAGTTTTGTTTATCTCGAATGCTTTTTCGATTTTTGTTCGACCATGTGATTATTTCGAGTCAGAAAAAGTTCTTTTTGTCATTTTCCATCAGGGCTGACTCAATTTTTTTATTCTCGAGACTATCTTTCCTTATTCAATCAATTGAAAATTATCTCGATTCTTAAATGGCAGATCTTGTCTCCAAGAAAGGAGTGGCGGTGAATTGCATTCACGTTTGTCGTCTTTTCTCTCGTCTTTTCTTATTCTGCATTATTTTAGAATTTTCTTTTATTTTTATTTTTTATTTTTTTCAATATTTAGGATTTTTATTGAACATCTTTTCTCTCTTCTTTCAAATCACGATAACCATAAAAATATATGAATATTACGCAAAGTTTTGCAGTTTTTGAAAGCTGACCTTCATTTGAGTATTAAATTTTTACTTCTCAACTGGTTCTACCAGAGATTTTCAATTTTATCTCAGTGGCAAAGGTCTTAGTGGCAAATATTACCGTTAAAAATGAATTATCCAAGACGGAAAACGAAAGTCATGTATAATTCAGTAGCGAAGTGGTAAAACGGTTCAAGTCGATTGTGACTACTGGCCACTTTTCAGTGAATATCTCGGAATCTAAGGGAGATAGCTAAATTTTCGGTAAAACCTTTTTTGTAGCACTCAATGTGCTCTAGAAAAAAGGTTATCACGAAAATTTCGTTATCTTCTTTAGATTCGGAGATATTCTCTAAAAACTCAGCAACGTCAGTGTCATGAATTTCAATTTGACCCTTGACAATTCCCTCACTTGACCCTCAATACATTTTTCACGATATTCGACTCGTTTCTACTCTTCGCGGGGTCAATTGTCGAGTTCATCCCAATCCCCACGATAAATCGGCAAGAATGTCCCCCAAGGAAATGGATTAATATTCAAATACTGCATCGCACTCACGTCAGAAGTTTCTGTGACCAGCCCCTCCCACAAATTCGTCGACAGCGGTCGGTTTATACTCGCATTAGTCATTTCAAGATTCGGACTTGGTATGGTTTCCGAGAGAGTAGCTTCTTGAACGGTTTCACCCCCAAACGAAAAATTCTGTCGACCACTGTCATTTTCCGCAATCACGCGTTCCTCGTCAACAGCTGATGGCTCAATATTAATGAATCTGGCAAAAGCGAAGAAATTGGAAACATTAGCACTGGCATGATGAAAGATCAAGAAGAGGACTCACCCATCTCTAGCTAATATACCGAGTACACTGCTCAAATCATCGCCTTTTTCTTGACGCAATTTTTCCTCTTTCGCGTAACTTTTTTCTATACTATAATCCTCACCGGCATTCCTCAGTATTTCTACTCTTAAGATTCCATCTCTCGGCCACTCGTCCCTCACATGCTCCAAACAATTCGCTGGCGCACGGGAGAATACTATGTGTATGTACGCCATGACAAAAAATGCCATTATTGCCTGGAAACAAATAGAAATTTATTTTTGAATTTGTCCAAAAACATTATAGCTGATTAACAATATAGAAAGCATCATCCAGGTGATCTTCTCTTTAATATATCAACAATGCAGGTATTGATGTTTTTATGAGAATTTGATAATCAGAGTCGTCTGGAAAAATTGAGGCAATCATTTTTCAAAGAAACTATTGAAAAGTATTCTTTAGGAAAAAATCGAGTGTAACGTTTTTTGAAGCCAATCTATTCTGCGGATTGTGTCATTAGGTTTTTTATAAATGATGATAACATACATTAATGATATTACGATAATACTATGTTATATTATATTCTACACTGTACTGTACTATATTATAATACATTAGGGATCTACAATGGTATATGTAATATAACATAATATCGTATACTCACTGTATGTTATTATTGTTATCAGTTTGTTATCTAAGGCCCGGGTGTACTCTCTCTCGAATGTTATCTGGATTTTTTTTATCTCTCGTAATCCAAAATTGTCAATTGAGTGGTACATCATGTAGAAATTCCCAAATATTATGACAGAATGATAAAAAAAAAGGAAAAATTCTGAACTTTTTCGACGAGCGTTTTTAATTGAGATTCAGAATGAGTTGAAAAAAGTGGAAATTACAAATATCTGATTCGCTGTGGCAAATTATCTATTAGCTGTCATTTTCCATGGTGGATAACAAAACACTAACTCCTCATAGGAAGTGACAGCTAGGTATCTCAATTTTCAAAACAGTGGTATGTAGTCATCTGCCATTTTTATGTGATAAAAGTGTGATTAAAAAATTCTCCAAAATATTACAACTTTTTTCAAAGAGCCTTTTCCGTAATAAATGTCTCTGTGCAGTGTGGGAAAAGATTTACGAAATCAGTCTTCCCCCTGCATGATATTGGGTGACAGGCCGCCATTTGTCACCGTAAATCAGCTACATTTTTCAATTTCTTGTTATTCAACTTATTCTGAATATAAATTAAAAATGCTCTTTGAAAAAATTAAGAATTTCTTCTACTTTTTTTTTATTATTCATTCATAATTTTTCAAAACTTCTGCATGATGCAGGACTCAATTGACAATTTCAAATGACGAAAGATGAAAAAAAACATCGAGATAACGTTCGAAAGATAGTCCACCCGAGCCTTAATTTTTCAAAAAATTGAGAATGTTATACGACAAATACGGAGCATAAAGAATAGAATGCATAAAACAATTTCTTTTCAAAATTACGTTATTTTTTTATTTGAAACTCTTCCAAAAGTTACGGATGCATCAAATCTTCACAAACAACTATGAGTCCCAAAAAATAAAAATAAAAATTCTTACAAAATAAATCGAGGTAAAAAAACGATAGGAACAGATTCAAAGTGAATATTACCTTTAACAAAACTATGAATTCTATAAACCTCCTCACAGGCTTTGGAAATGTCCTAGCATAGGCCAACGCTGCTTTGATGAAGAGCGCATGGAACAATCTATCCCTCATGTGATAAAGTGCATTTTGATTATTGTTATTACGCGCACGGTTTATTAGTCCTGGCGCAATGGCTCCTGCCAGACTATGATTATTATCCGCTCCACCATTCTGATTATTATTATTATTATTATTATTATTATTAATATTATTATTGTTATTATTTATGTTATTATTATTTATATTATTATTATTATTATTATTGTTGTTGATATTGTTATTATTATTATTATTATTGATAGATGGTAGAACGAGGGGAACATCCACTTGCGACATGATTTTTTAAACTGAATTTTCGCCTTATTTTCCTCTGGCGATTAAATTATTCTAGTTTAATTAGGTTTATTATTCAGCAATGATATTCAGTGGTTGAGATCCAGAAGTTACTTTTCAGTATTCCATTCAGTACATGGTTGGACATTTCTGAAAGCGAAAACAGAATTAAATCAATATCTTTTAGGCAGTCGTGAAAATTTTGTTTTTTGTAGAAAATGAATTTTACTAAGAAATTCTATGCATTTTCTGGACTGGTTGGATAGTTGATTTTAAAAAGTCAACAGATTTTAATTTTTCTGTATTGATTGTTCTCTTGGATTTTTTTAAATGGGAATTTTTTGAATTCGTAATAATTCGGACATAAGAATTGAGGTCTATTGTTGAATTTCAATTAGTTTTCTCATTAAAAAATTGTTTAGAGAAATTTAATGAAATTTTCAATGGAATTTAAAGAATGATTGAATTATTCCGTGAAAGCTCATTCCCGATGAATGAAAAATTGAGTAAGTGGAATGCTCGTTTGTCTGCTGCTCGAAAAATTGGCATTTCGTTGACTTTTCAATGAAATTTGAAAAAATCGTATAGAAATTTGATTCGAACAAACGAAGATAATGATCCTCTCCATTATTTTCGTTACTTCGTATTTTTTTAAATGAGAATTTTCTGAATTCGTAATAATTCGGACATAAGAATTGAGGTCTATTGTTGAATTTCAATTAGTTTTCTCATTGAAAAATTGTTTAGAGAAATTTAATGAAATTTTCAATGGAATTTAAAGAATGATTGAATTATTCCGTGAAAGCTCATTCCCGATGAATGAAAAATTGAGTAAGTGGAATGCTCGTTTGTCTGCTGCTCAAAAAATTGGCATTTCGTTGACTTTTCAATGAAATTTGAAAAAATCGTATAGAAATTTAATTCGAACAAACGAAGATAATGATCCTCTCCATTATTTTCGTTTGTTCTAATCCATTCCAATAATGATCAGGTGATAACAGACGGTATCAACGACGATCAACGACCACTCGGTGCTCAATCTTAACCTCAAAATGGCTGCTGTCACCAGCTCCCGAGTTAATTAACACCTCTCCCCCTCGGGGTAATCACCTAAATTTTCGCCATCGACAGAAAAATAATCGAAACCTAATTGAGGAGCCCCTCCAGAAGTACTTGAGACACTAGAATGAAGCAATAATTACGTAATAATAATAGGAAAGAACAACACGTCAATTGAAAACTGTTTTTTTCTGTCTCTCAAGAATATGCTGGAGAACAAATATTTAAGGCTTAATGTTCTGCATTCGTCTATCGACTCTCGTCCTCTCTCTTTCTATATTCTTCTGTCGTCGCTGAAGACGTGTTTTCCTATACCGAAGGGTCCTGTCAGTTGCAGTACTTCAATAATAAACATAACACACCTTTTATTGTTTTCACTCGTGGATTCATTATATAGAACAATTCACAAGTTCACTGCAGTCACTGGGGTATGTGGAACTTTCACTGTTCAGTTACGGTTACGGTATGGAATGTTTATTTATTCATTTATTTATTATTTCTGGAAAGGAGGGTAAGAAACCCTCACTGCGAAACTCGATGGAAAAGTCTATTCTGCGATAAGAAAAAAAAGGTTGGAACTGCCATCAGCGCCCTCTAGATATCCAAGTGACCCGCCAAATGACACAGTTTTTGAATAGTGTCGTGACAATAGACATTTCAGTGGCAAACAGGTAAAATGGTGCGAGTTAATTTTTACTGCTGGACAGTTTTCAATGAATATCTCGGAATCTAAGGGAGATGACACNAGCTCATTCCCGATGAATGAAAAATTGATGAGTAAGTGGAATGCTCGTTTTTCTGTTGACTTTTCAATGAAATTTGAAAAAATCGTATAGAAATTNATTCGAACAAACGAAGATAATGATCCTCTCCATTATTTTCGTTTGTTCTAATCCATTCCAATAATGATCAGGTGATAACAGACGGTATCAACGACGATCAACGACCACTCGGTGCTCAATCTTAACCTCAAAATGGCTGCTGTCACCAGCTCCCGAGTTAATTAACACCTCTCCCCCTCGGGGTAATCACCTAAATTTTCGCCATCGACAGAAAAATAATCGAAACCTAATTGAGGAGCCCCTCCAGAAGTACTTGAGACACTAGAATGAAGCAATAATTACGTAATAATAATAGGAAAGAACAACACGTCAATTGAAAACTGTTTTTTTCTGTCTCTCAAGAATATGCTGGAGAACAAATATTTAAGGCTTAATGTTCTGCATTCGTCTATCGACTCTCGTCCTCTCTCTTTCTATATTCTTCTGTCGTCGCTGAAGACGTGTTTTCCTATACCGAAGGGTCCTGTCAGTTGCAGTACTTCAATAATAAACATAACACACCTTTTATTGTTTTCACTCGTGGATTCATTATATAGAACAATTCACAAGTTCACTGCAGTCACTGGGGTATGTGGAACTTTCACTGTTCAGTTACGGTTACGGTATGGAATGTTTATTTATTCATTTATTTATTATTTCTGGAAAGGAGGGTAAGAAACCCTCACTGCGAAACTCGATGGAAAAGTCTATTCTGCGATAAGAAAAAAAAGGTTGGAACTGCCATCAGCGCCCTCTAGATATCCAAGTGACCCGCCAAATGACACAGTTTTTGAATAGTGTCGTGACAATAGACATTTCAGTGGCAAACAGGTAAAATGGTGCGAGTTAATTTTTACTGCTGGACAGTTTTCAATGAATATCTCGGAATCTAAGGGAGATGACACAATTTTTGTTATAACCTTTTTTGTAGAGCCGATTGAGAGCTACAATAAATGTGATTACGAAAATTTCGCTATTTCGCTTAGATTCGGAAATAGAGGAGGTTGGAGTAAGACGGACATTTTTGACTTTTTAAAAAATTGTAATGAGGGGTTGAAATGTTGATAGAATTTAATAATTTTCTTTTTCAATACGAAGAACAATTCTTTCCCTTTGTGACGAGCCTAAACTGAGCTCAATTGATCAATTTGTTTCTGAGTTATGAATAATTTTACAAAAGTCTAAAGTGTCCGTTTTACCACTTCGCTACTGATTTGTGTCTTTGAGTTAGTATCATGGGGTATACTAAGAAAAAAATCGACGTAATATCACAAAAATCAGTTCTTGAGCGAAAAACATCGCATAGGGGAGGTTGGGGGAAAACGGACACTTTTGACTTTTTTAAAAATTTTAATGAGGGGTTGAAATGTTGATAGAATTTAATAATTTTTTTTTTCAATACGAAGAACAATTCTTTCCCTTTGTGACGAGCCTAAACTGAGCTCAATTGATCAATTTGTTTCTGAGTTATGAATAATTTTAAAAAAGTCTAAAGTGTCCGTTTTACCACTTCGCTACTGATTTGTGTCTTTGAGTTAGTATCATGGGGTATACTAAGAAAAAAATCGACGTAATATCACAAAAATCAGTTCTTGAGCGAAAAACATCGCATAGGGGAGGTTGGGGGAAAACGGACACTTTTGACTTTTTTAAAAATTTTAATGAGGGGTTGAAATGTTGATAGAATTTAATAATTTTCTTTTTCAATACGAAGAACAATTCTTTCCCTTTGTGACGAGCCTAAACTGAGCTCAATTGATCAATTTGTTTCTGAGTTATGAATAATTTTAAAAAAGTCTAAAGTGTCCGTTTTACCACTTCGCTACTGATTTGTGTCTTTGAGTTAGTATCATGGGGTATACTAAGAAAAAAATCGACGTAATATCACAAAAATCAGTTCTTGAGCGAAAAACATCGCATAGGGGAGGTTGGGGGAAAACGGACACTTTTGACTTTTTTAAAAATGTTAACGACAGATTGAAATGGTGATGAAATTTAAAAAATTTTTTTTTTCAATGCAAAGAACAATTCTTGCCCTTTGTGATGAGCCTAAACTGAGCTTCATTGATAAATTTGTTTCGGAGTTATGAGTAATTAAAAAAAAGTCCAGTGTCCATTTTACCCCACCCTCCCCTACATATTTGAGAATTTATGGTAGGTTTCAGACAAGAAGTCGGTGCTCTTCGGGCTAAGGAGGAAGTTACTGAATGAAAAGATATGTATTTTTTCGAGATGAGATAATATTCCTCAAAAGACAACAATAGTTTGACAGAAGGAAAAGAAGATATTGCTTCCCTTCTAACTCAAAGCGATTGAGCGTAAGCGACGGTCATATTTTTTTAATATCTGGAGGTTGTTTTCCTCTGCATAAACTCTCTATTCATTCAATATATGGGGGCGATATGGACATCCGGGGCAAACTGGACAATTCAATTCCCCATTTATTCAGAAAGAATCAACATCCTGACAATTGATAATTAAATCAATAATTTTATTTATATCTGAATCACTTGAATAAACTGCCCATCGTTACTCCGGCATGATGGACTGTAGAAACGAAGACCCTTTCAGAGTTATACAAGAGATCCAAGTGTACATCAATGTTACATACGAAGACTAATAATCTTTAAAGAGCACAATTTTTTGCAGTATTTTCTCGTTTAAGTCATCCATATCCATCTGGCGTTGAACCTCGCAGGTGGTGTTGGTGCATCTTTAGGTAGTTTAGGAACTCTGTCTTCGTACTCAGGAAGATCTTCAACTGGTTTGGGTCTTTTTGAATCGTGTACTTTGACTTCACAGAAGTAGCCGTATGATGGGCGTTCCACGTTCAATTTGTCCAGGACACACTTATCCAAAACCGCCTGAGTTTTGCGACATCTGAAAAGAAAATTGTTGATGGATTGATTGATGAATTTTATATATATCTATCGTTGTTTATTATCGCCTTTGATAGACTTTCATATTACGATTCGGTTGAATGAAGTGTAATTTTTCAATTACACTCAAAAATTACTCAAGAGTGGGGTAAAATGGGCACCCGAAGAAGTTGGTCCTATTCAACTTTTAATCAAGAACATTTTCAACAGACATTTTCCACCAGAGTCGTGTCGGTATCATTTTATAGAGAGAAATTAGAGTTGGAAGAGTTTTATTGACAAATAAACTTCAACTCTATTAGTTTAGTTTATTCGTCTTTTGTATACCCTCTCGGGTGTTTACGTTTTTTGCTCCCCAACCCCTTAAGATCTATAAATGTTGATAGTAGAGCCATATTGGTTACCTCAAGTTTTACAAAATATTTGAACATTACATGTCATAATACATATTACATATTGATATATTGATATTACTAGAATACATTGTTCATCTTTTACATAAGTAATCACATTTGAACTGCAGGACTAGCCAGTCATATGCACAGTAACTTCAACTCTATTAAATTTTTAAATTAAAAAACTGACCAATAGTCTAAATCGACTTAAACCGGTTTACCACTTCGCTACTGAAATTAGTCTGAATAGTAGATTTGATCCAATTCAATTCATTATTGAAATCTGGTGTCTGTATTGCCCCACCCATCCCTAAAATCAAAATTTGTCTGAATTTCAAACATGAATCAAGATGCCTGGGTACCTCTTCATCTGAAAGTCAGACAAATTTTCAGTTTATTCCGACGTTTTTAGTGTCTGAAAAATGTCTACAAAAGGCGTGTGAAAATCAGACATTCGTTGCTGCTGTGTATGATTTAATCTTTATGATGCCACTCACGGTGCAAATAAAGATTCTCCACTGGACTTGTCCAAGCAATTGTAGTACTGCTCAAATTCAGCGCGACAATTTTTCTTCAACTTTTGGAAAAATTGTAATGCACATGCAGTAACAGCTTTTCCCTCGTTCACGCATTTAACTGGATTCCCTTCTTCACGGCGACATAAAACAAATTCCTGAAATTAATACTAAAAATGTAAACACGCTATCCGTACGGTTATAAAATTCAAGACAGACATTGTAATCAATTTTATCGGCTCATTCGTCCGTCATCAACAATTACGAAAAAAAATGTGGGGGAGGTTGGGGTAAAACGGACACTTTTGACTTTTTTTAAAGTGTTAATGAGGGGTTGAAATGTTGATAAAATTTAATAATTTTTTTTTCATCACGCTGTGACGAAAAGTGAACATTTCCGCCACATTGTGATGAGAAATATTGTTCGTAACTCGTGAAAAAATGTTTTTTAGCTCGTGGGATTATATCACTCGGCTTCGGCTCGTGATATAAACCTCCCACTCGCCGAAAAACACTTTTTTGCACTCGTTACGAAATATACTATTTTCAATACAAAGCACAATTCTTTCCCTTTGTGACGAGCCTAAACTGAGCTCAATTGATCAATTTGTTCCTGAGTTAAGAATAATTAAAAACAGTCTAAAGTGTGCGTTTTGCCCCGCCCTCCCGTAATTTAAAAAAAATGTAAAAATGTAATTGAGAAATTACGGAAAATTTGAAGTTTAGCATAAAGGTTATGTTTTGCCAGTAATCTTACGTAACATCAGAGATGGATTTTTTTTCGTACGACTTTGTTGTTAATTACCAGTCATTGATAACATTCTAGTGAGAATTAATGTCATTACGCATTGGAATGAAGTAAATATGCTCTGTACTAACGTTATTGTGATGTTCGCAGGCCTTTCCAACGTAGAATGAAGCTGCCTGCAGGACAGGGTAAGAAATATTGAGTTCCTGAACTGTCAATTCCTCGTCAGAAGGAATATAGGTTTTGTCAGTTATGACCATTGTTTCACACTCGAATCAACAGATGTTGGAAAATTTGATTTACAGTTTTGTGTGAGCAGACAGCTGAACCAAACTCAATTTAGGTTTTGGTTCTCATGTGTGCACTCACTCCATCCACAATGGACTGCAACTCAAAAGCAGCCGGCGTGATAGGATGAACCAACCAGCGTTCGAACCAGACCAGTAATCGAACTAATTGGGACTTTTTCTATAAAATCAATTAGTAGAAGGTATAGATTCCTCACATTATACACGAAAAATAAAATTATAACATTTCCAAATGATATTGTAATGATTGAAAATGTCTTAAGTTACATTATTAGCAGCGGAAAAAACAGTTTTCGATGACACGCCGCCAATCCTTCCTATTTACTAATGATGAACGAAACGTGAAGTTGTTTTATATCGAAATACCTCGAAACTGCCTGACCACTAATCCTTAATTCTGATTGGTCAATATGTCAGAGATTATAATCTCTAATGTGACACGAGTTATTCACAAAAAAAACACGCGGCATTTTCAAATCCTTCAGTGACATAATTTCAAATTCTTCAGAGGTAAATTTTTTTTTCACGTCATATAGGGGAAGTTGGGGTAAAACGAACACTTTTGACTTTTTTAAAAATATTAATGAGGGGTTGAAATGTTGATGAAATTCAATAATTTTTTTTTCAATACAAAAAACAATTCTTTCCCTTTGGGACGAGCCTTAACTGCGCTCAACTGATAAATTTGTTTCCGAGTTATGAACAATTAAAAAAAGTTTCAAGTGTCCATTTTACCCCACCCTCCCTTATGTCTATAATATATATCAGTAGCGAAGCGGTAAACCGGGTTAAGTCGATTTTGACTATTGACCAGTTTTTGACGAATATAAAAAATGTTATGAGAAAAATTTTGCTGTGTCTTTTAGATTCCGAGATATTCGTCAAAAATTGACCAAAAGTCAAAATCGACTTCACCCGGTTTACCGCTTCGCTACTGATATATTTCACATGTATATATATTATCGGTGAAATTAATAAATCCTGTTCTTTTATGGAGACCGATTATTTTAAAAAATTGAAGATAATTAATTGAAAATGAAAAATTCTTTATAGATTCTTTTACTCTACTTCGCTATTCACTTCAATCATCAGTCGAATTCTCTTTGATTCATTATCAATATTTATAAGGTATTCATGAGAAAATGAAATTCAATTAATTCCATTTCTTCATTTCAACAAATGAGTAGATCAGCGCGCGCGAGAGCGCGCGCATAGATCTTGTAGTATATTAAGTCCGATGGATAACTCGGACCTCTCTGTCTAACTAGTGCGCGCGTAATGCGCCAGAGATTCTCTTGCGGCGCGAGTAAAGGTTCTCGGTGAAATGGCGCGAGTGCTGACGGGTTAAAAATTGAAAATAAAAATTATTTGAACATTTTTAGAATGACTGAGACGTTTTATTTTTTCAGAGTCTTCAAAATTACGAGTCAAGTGGTGTTGGGGTGACCCTATCACACCGTTCTGAAAATAATCGTCATTTACACATTTCTAGGGAGTGTCAAGTTAACCTCAAGTCTATATGAAGTCTTCGTGAATTTGTGATTGTTGCGTTGTGCATGGGAAATATAACTTGGCAATTTGAACGTTATATGCATCATGTGTAATGTCAACAAGCTTTCCAGCGCTCTAAAGCTATACTTTTTTTCTCTACTCATAAATGAAATCCTGTGTCTCAATTCAGAATTCTGCGGAATTCCACAAAATTCTGCGGAGCATGTGAATTGTGGAGGACAGAAATATTTATCAAATAAAAGGTGCGCATTTTGAGAACTAGGTATACAGATCATCACTCTAGGGAAATGGAATGTAATTGCCATCTCTTCCTAGCGACTTTGGGTTTTCAATGTTAAAAGGATAGATTTTTTTCTTCTTCAAAACGATCCTATGCCGGAGAATTATACGTAGGAACTTAAAAAAAGTCCTGATGTACAATTTCATGGCTCGAGAAAAAACAGGAATTTTTTTTATTAATAATATTAGAGTGCATTAGTCGGGCAATATGAACACCAGATTTAAATAACGAATTGAATTGGATCAAATCTACTGGTCCGACTTCATTTGAAATTTATAAAAACGAACACATTGTCATAAGACTGCGGCGTAGGAGTTGTAAGGTAAAGCAAAAACGGGGTAAAATGGACACTTCGATTTCTTCCTCAATTTTTCATGTTTCAACAGTGTTATTCAATTTCTAGTCAAACACTAGTCATGACTGCGATTTTCAAATTGAAAAAAAAACTCATTTTTGACTTTTGTCGTGAGGGGTGGAGCGTCCATTTGGATTTATCAGGTGTCCTATTGCCCAATGAAACAATTTTCAAAAATTGGAATTTTGAACAAAAAAATTTTCAAGTGTTATGTCACAAATTAATTCAATTACGCTTGTAAAAAGCTTTTCTGAAGGACTTTCTAAGCTGTACCTTCAAGGATAGAAAATCGAAATTATCTCAAAAGATATTTTGCGCTCACTTCGTCCTTCTTCTCTGTTTTGCAAAGTCTACAGTCAAGAGTTGTCATAATCTGCAATTTCTTGTATTGTCAGGTATATATTATACGATGTCAATCCACCGGAGGGATTTAACTTGAGGAGAGACGTATACGTCAGGATGGCAGTTTTCATCCACAACTTGAATCAAGCGGATAAGATATATCAATGGAATTTAGTGTTACCACCGTGGGGTAATTCATTCAATTATTTCACTGTTGTTCAATTAATATTGCAACACGCCAATTTTTTAAAAATACAAATGAAGAATCGATAACAAATTTTCCTTTTTTCTGATTTAATTTCAATGAGTAGGCGATGTGAAACATTTACTATAGTTGATCACGAAGACATGAACAAATTGATTTTCTCATCTTTAAACGGGAGTTTTGAAACACCCTCTACCAATCGACTCTTCTTCCTCATTAATAATCTGTTCATAGACCACTTATACCATTGGAGGAGCCGAGATATTGGCGAACAGTCTCAAATTCCCTGGGGGACGTTCTTCGACATTCCTAGTCTCATGAGGTTCATCCCTGTAATTGAAATGCATCAATTTTTCAAAGGTGATTTTTCCTAACAGTTAACGACTATATTTTTCTTATAATTTGTAAAAGGATGTTAACGAGTGGCTATTCACTCCCTGATCAAGTGATAGATAAGCATTTATTGTGAACCTTTCCGTATACAATCTCATTTTTACATATATATGCATAGTATGACGAATTATGAAGTTATTATTATTATTATTATTATTATTATTATTATTATTATTATTATTATTATTATTATGTATATTATGAAGAATTATCTCTTGTAATATATACATGCATTACAACAGATAATTCTTCACAATATACATAACAAAACACAATGAAGTCAAGTTCACATGTTTGCAGGGTTGATTTCAGTGATTTCGAGAAGAAAAGGAATCAATGATTTCAAGTGGATCGCGAAGTGATTTTGTAACTGCAATTGAGTTCGAACGGTTTCATAGATTCGACATCAGTGATTTCAGAGGCAATGAAATAACTGATATCGCGATGAATAAAGTTCGTCGCATTCTCTTTCAAAAAATTAATTAATTTATTTCATTAAATTCAGTTAATTAAGTTTAAATAACTTTGGCGTGATTTTAGGACTTCAGCGTGTCTTCAGAAATGAGAGGTGGTTGGGGTAAAACGGACACTTTTTTTAAAATGTTAATGCGGGGTTGAAGTGTTGATAAAATTTAATAATTTTTTTTTCACGTCATATATGTATATAATATATATATATATTTCACATGTATATATATTATCGGTGAAATTAATAAATCCTGTCCTTTTATGGCAATGAAATAACTGATATCGCGATGACTGAAGTTCGTCGCATTCTCTTTCAAAAAATTAATTAATTAATTTCATTAAATTCATTTAATTAAGTTTAAATGACTTTGGCGTGATTTTAGGACTTCAGTGTGTCTTCAGAAATTAGAGGTGGTTGGGGTAAAACGGACACTTTTGACTTTTTTTAAAATGTTAATGCGGGGTTGAAGTGTTGATAAAATTTAATAATTTTTTCTTTCAATGCAAAGAACAATTCTTTTCCTTTGTGATGAGCCTGAACTGAGCTTAATTGATAAATTTGTTTCTGAGTTATGAATAATTTTTAAACAGTCTAAAGTGTTGACTGCAACATTGCAAATTTCATCTGCATTTTTTTCAGATTATGAATCAACAAATGGAGTCTTAATGCTAGATCGCGTATTCGTGCTTCGAACGGATCCAAAAATGTTTGAAAATAATGATTTTCGAGATAGGAATGAGATCACAACGTGCAATGAATATGAGATTAGGTTCAAAAAAATATCGGATGACAAAGTCAAGGGTTATTTTTGGGGATATAACAATATCACTGCCAAGGATGTTCAGTGTTTATTATTCCACGGAGCTGCATCCAATTTAGTACAAAATTTGGAACCCACATTACACAAGTGAGTGATTATAACACTATACTAACCATCATTTGAAAAATAAGTATTACAAAAATACTAAGACTGTTCCTTAATTGAGTACTAAGGTACCTGAAATTATGAAAGTGATATTATTATGATTCATAAACTACTCTATTGAATCACTCTATGCAATTGAACAAAAATTACAATCTTTATTTTATAACTTTCCCGCAAATATTGTTGTGCCTTTTTTTTACACATAAGCAAAAAATCTTCTTTTTTTTAAGCGCCATAAATGAATGAAAAAATGCTAAATGCAAAAAATAACGCATCAGTCGCAAAGAGAAATACATTATTGCCAAAGCTATCAAAAATAAATTTAAGATATTTAGATATTTAAGATATTTAATGAACTCGAGGCCATAGTTTATACGTTCTGCAAAATAATCTTCATAGAACTTTTTTTGGATATTAGTTTTTAAGGTTTGTAAATATTGTATATAATATTGACTGTTTTGTTTGAATAAAAACTTGGTTAAACAAAGAAAAAGTGATTATAACACGAACTTCTTTGAAAATTTTGTTGAAGTTTTTGCAATTGCAAGAGAAATTTTAATTCAAATTAAAATTGAGGGGGAGGGGGAGGGGGAGGGGTAGTTTCCCACGTAATTTTGTCTCGCATATTCTATAGCTGAAAACATTGAATTGTAGGACTTATATGTTTGACCACATGGAAATTCCTATTCACGATTCCTACGGCTCCCGCGACTTTTGGAGAGCGAGACGTAGTATGAGATTTAATTCAGAATTGTATGAAATTGCGGGGCTGTTCAGACAGAGGCACTTGAGTTCTATTGATGATGATGATAAAACTGTACGACCACGAAATTGGCTTGACGAAAAGGTGATAATCGTCATTTTGGGTTGAAACCTCGATTCTGAGAATTATTATGGTCTCGCATGAAAAAATTCCTTAGAATATTGAGAAATTTTCTGTGGAAATTCCTCGACATGAATTTTTTAAGTTTTAGGCGAGGAATTTCTGCAGAATATTTCAACAATATATTTCAATAAAAGTTATAGAAATGAAAAGTTGTATGAAATTATGAGTTATATGAAAATAAGTTGTGTAGAAAAATCAAATTTTATTGGTTTTCTCTGTCGAATATATTCTGCTGAACATTTCTATCAGAAAAAGATACAGAAAATGTGCGGAATTTTTTAGTAAAATCGACGAAAAATTTAAAAAATTAATAAAAGTCTAATAAAATTCCAAAAGAATTTTCTAGAGGATTCACTGGGTTTTTTAAATTTTTTTTTCTGGCGTGACCACAATATCATTTATAACATTCTTAAAATTTCCATTTTTCAATATAAAATTAACGTTTGAATATTCAGGAACACAGAACGGCGATCGGTGGTCCTTACTTGGCAGTGCATTGGAGGAGAAAAGACTTTCTCATCGGAAGAAGTGCCTACGTACCATCCATTGCAAAAGCTGCACGGCAATTGAGAAAAATAATGGAAAACTTAGGACTGGAAGTAGTTTTCATCGCAACGGATGGAGAGGATCATGGTGAGAACATTTTTTTACAACACATGATCAACAACTTGAAATAAAAGAAAACGTGAATCATCATTTCTATTCATTCTCAGAATTCGAGGAATTGAGAGAACAAATGGGCAACTATAATGTTGTGAGATATATTCCGTCTGATAATGTGAGGCAAAAGTTTAAAGATGGAGGAGTCGCCATCATCGATCAAATAATTTGCTCTTATGCCAGGTAATTTTGATTTTCTCACTTCTACTTTTAGCAGCATTCGTTATATTTATAAACAGTAAACAATTAAAAAAATTTACGATCTCTTTCTTAATCAGTAATCGTTTGGAAAAGAATTGCAATTATTTTTGCAATTAGTAATCATTTTACAAAATGCTAATTACTTGTGAAATATACTACGAAAAAAAATTATTTTTGTCAAATATTCATTTACTTGAGAGAAGTATTTATTTTTTCCATTCTGTATTTGGATTACATTGGATTTCAATTATGACAATTATATTGCTCTAGAAGACGATCATGTTAGTTATGATCGTGAGTGAACTTCCTCAATAATTACCAATATCAAAAAATTAATCAAAATTCTTTCCTCCAGAAAATCAGAAATTTCGAAAAAATGAGTAATCATTGGAGGAGTTCACCCAAGGCCCTGTGCAACATAGTCTTCCTCTAGAACAACACGATTGTCACAATTGACACCTAATCAGGCTCGCCTGGGAATCCCAATTTGAAAAGTACGATTTTGAAAAAATGAATGCTTCTCTCAAGTAAATGAATATTTAGCAAAAATAATTTTTTTTCACAGTGTAACTGATTATCTTGTCAGTCACTTCGTCTCTCAATCAATTCGTTTCAATCAATTCGTCTCCCAATAATAAATTACCGAACACAATCGTTTCTATCAAAAAAATTTTGATGAATGCATTTGATTAAATCTGATCCTCCAATGAAACGAATACTATCACTCGCTAAGCTTTTGATACTCGACAGACACTTCATAGGAACTTACGAATCAACCTTTACATTCCGCATCCAAGAGGAACGCGAGATCATTGGCTTCCGGGCTGAGACAACCTTCAACAATATCTGCTGGAAAGACGAAGAATGCTCTCCTCAAAGTCAATGGAAAATCACTTGGTAACAGAACCAAGGCGACTAAAATGCATTTGTACAGATCTCATTATTTCCATTTATTGTAACTAAATACATTATCTTTCAGTACGAATAGAATAGAATTTATTTGCATTGCGAATCCATTCACATTAGTTTCTTCAAAGGTTTCATGGAAATGAAAGGGTTCAAGTCTTTCTCAAGAAGGTATTTTTCACAGCTGTCTTTGATGGCATTTCCGACTATGTCGACGGAGACTCTCTTATGGATTCTTGTTCACGACGCGATACTTCTTCATGTCTCTGTTCTACTGTCGATGCTCCCTTTTGTTTAATTTGTTGCAGACGCACAGCGCGTTTCTGAATTTAAAAATAATATTAGGGGAGAGGCAACTGATGGACATATTTGCCCTGAAGGGCATAAAAAATGGAAAGTTCTAATGTCATTTGGTTTGAAGCTATCGAGAATGATGAATATTATCATTTCCATAACTCGAAACGGTTCTTATATTATGGAATTCCTTTGGGAAAGAGTTTATTTGGAAAGAAAATTCGTATAGCATTATACCTAATACTTAATTAGTTTATTATTATTTACCTTCAATTTCATAGTTCTGTCATGAATACTCCCCATTTCTTTCTTGATGTGAAACAACTTGTCTTGATAAGTTTTAATCGTGGCGTACTGTCATACATCAGAAATGGAATAATTATTACGACAAAATACTGAAAAAAATTTGACTGAGGCCCGGTTGCACCGAGCCCTGTTAGCCATTTTCACCCCAGGATAAATTTATCCATGTTTAATCCTTATGGACTGACAGACCGTTATCTGGCGGTTTAGTTAACAGACGATGGTGCAACCGGGCCTAAGGCCCAGACAGTGCTAGGCTAACAGACAGTTAAAATTTACAAGTCTTGGAACTTTATTCAGTTGCACCAAACATCTTATTACTTCTGTTATCTGCAAGTAAACCGCCTGTTATGTTAACTTTCTGTTAAAATAACGAGTAGTGTTACGAAACCAGTCAATTTTTTCCATTTTACTAAACATCAAATTATCTTGATAACGATTGATTTCACGACAAAACGACAAAAGATCTTCTCCATTTGAAATTCAGGCCTAAGTGTCCAAATTTCTCAAGAAATTCGTGGATACAATTATCGCACACGCAAATTTCGATATGACTCTTGCACACGAAATCCTTCGTTATTTACTTCCATCAACGCACTCCACTGTTTCAGCAACAAGTGAACAACAAATTGTTTAATTTGTAAACATTGGAAATTTATTTACCATTGCGCAGCACTGTCCGTCCTCAGCAGTCTCTACCAATTGTTTATTTTCAAATTGCATTTTTCCAATGAGGTTGTCTTGTTTTTTCCTTCAACAGTAAACTTCATGTTACTTTGTGTTACTAAATTATTTTAGTTGCTTTAGTTGCACTCACAATAGTTCTTCCAATTCGTTCTTTATCTGTTCTAGGGGAGGTTGATATGCTTGTAATATTCCCTCTGCAAGGGCACCTCCGTTAGCAGCTATGGTGACAAGTGGTTCGCTATATCAGAATCAGTAGAACCGTAATTAACATTGAGAGATTTTTCATTTGGCAATTATCTTTTATCATTCAGTGACTAATAGAGTTTTTGGCTGATTCTATTGACATGTTCAGTAGAAAACATTAATAGAAAAAGTAAACAGAATTCGATTTTTCTATATAAATTATTCTTTTCATACTTAACTACTAGGTTAATACCGTAATTAACATTGAGAGATTTTTCATTTGGCAATTATTTTTTATCATTCAGTGACTATTTCGTGGGGTCGATCACTCTCACTTCTAAGGGCTTAGGGATTTCCACCATGATTGGGATATTCAACCTGGATATTTGTCTGGAATAGGAATAGGCGCACGAAAAAATTTAATAGAAAAACCTATCGAATTCGTTAGAAAATTCTGTTGAATTTCTATCAAACTTTCTATTAGTTTTTGGCTGATTCTATTGACATGTTCAGTAGAAAACATTAATAGAAAAAGTAAACAGAATTCGATTTTTCTATATAACTTATTCTTTTCATACTTAACTACTAGGTTAATACCGTAATTAACATTGAGAGATTTTTCATTTGGCAATTATCTTTTATCATTCAGTGACTATTTCGTGGAGTCGATCACTCTCACTTCTAAGGGCTTAGGGATTTCCGACATGATTGGGATATTCAACCTGGATATTTGTCTGGAATAGGAATAGGCGCACGAAAAAATTTAATAGAAAAACCTATCGAATTCGTTAGAAAATTCTGTTGAATTTCTATCAAACTTTCTATTAGTTTTTGGCCGATTCTATTGACATGTTCAGTAGAAACATTAATAGAAAAAGTAGACAGAATTCGATTTTTCTATATAACTTATTCTTTTCATGCTTAACTACTAGGTTAATACCGTAATTAACATTGAGAGATTTTTCATTTGGCAATTATTTTTTATCATTCAGTGACTATTTCGTGGGGTCGATCACTCTCACTTCTAAGGGCTTAGGGATTTCCGACATGATTGGGATATTCAACCTGGATATTTGTCTGGAATAGGAATAGGCGCACGAAAAAATTTAATAGAAAAACCTATCGAATTCGTTAGAAAATTCTGTTGAATTTCTATCAAACTTTCTATTAGTTTTTGGCCGATTCTATTGACATGTTCAGTAGAAAACATTAATAGAAAAAGTAAACAGAATTCGATTTTTCTATATAACTTATTCTTTTCATGCTTAACTACTAGGTTTGGCTATTTTTGAGACTAATTTGACTGCACTGTGAACTTACATTTCTGACAAATTAGGCTGAACCTCTGCGGCAGCCGCCTCTCCGATTTCCATCATCATTATGACCCTGAAGCGAAGAAATTTCCTGTTTCACCCGCATAATAGTCGTACTATAGCCAGAAAACTATTTCGGCTTTAGGTATTGATAATCGTGAGCAACAATTCAGTAGCGAGTTTTTGAGGAATATTTCCGAATCTAAGGGAGATAGCGAAATTTTCGTGATTGCGATTGTTGTAGCTCTCAATCGGCTCTATAAAAAAGGTTATAACAAAGATTTTGCTGTGTCCCTTACATTTCGAGATATTCATTGAAAACTGGGCAATAGTCAAAATTGACTTGTACCGTTTTACCGCTTCGCTACTGAATTAGAACTTATCGTCACCGTATTTTCAGAATATCCTGTTATTAAAATCTCTCTCGAAAAATTGCATTTTTATTCCAAACACCTGGTGAATTCGACAGGAAATTCGATTATTTTTAGGGTCATTCTATATTGAAGAATTCCGCAGCTCTTCTGTGCGTTTTTCAATAGAAAATGTCCGACGGAAACTATTCTATAGAAAAAATCGGTAGAATTTCATTTCTCTATTCAACTTTGAGCGTCATTACAGATATTTTCAAATTTTTCAATTTGCGACCGATGACAGGTTGACAGTTATGATTTAAAACTAGAAATCAGGGGTTGTTTGTAAACATATAGTTATATGTATACTTATTCACCTGAGGCACTCTGTCTTTGGTCAATAGAATCAAGCGCCGATGTAGTTGCGTCAGCAATATCTGCGCGAACAATTCGCCTTCCGCAGGCTTTCGATCCCTCAAATTGATACTGAACAAGAATTTATTTATTAAGATATCTGCGCATAAATCTCTAGTTGACTTGTCGAGACTCGAGTCTTATAGTTATAGTTGAGTCAGTCCTGCGTTCAATCACGATTACCACAGCTATAGGAAACCTAGCAAGATTGGCATTCTGAGATTATCCCCACGCCACGTACTTCCCATTTACGCCCGTGTCTCCCACTCTTCAAATTCCCGTGTAGTCTTTCGAAAAAGACAGCTTGGCAGACCCGAAGGGCAGTATGACCAACTGTCCAATTTCGGGGAATGTTTAAATCCAGTAGAGGTAGCTCGCGGATCTAGCACACATTTAAAACAGCGTAACTTTATTTCTATTGAGAATAAAAGTCCGGCTGGTGGCCGATCTGAATGATTTAAAGTAGCTCTACCCTTACGGTAGATTCAAAGATTATTGAAAACTGCAAAAAATGGCAGAAAACTCGATTAGATTCGGAATTCTAATCTTTTTCTCAATTTAATTGTCGATTTGGTTTTTCAAAGAAGAAATGCTTGAAAATCAGGGTATAACCCAGTGTATCGAATAATTCATGACACCATTGAATCAGACCACAGAAATGGCACGTACGAAAAAATTTAATAGAAAAACTTGACGAATTCGCTAGAACTTCTATTGGAATTCTCTAGAAATTCGAGTGGGATTCGATTAAAATTCTAGAAAATTCTCGTTAACATTCTATTTGTTTTTTGGGGTGATTCTATGAGATATTCGATAGGAAAAAGTCAATAGATTTCGATTTTTCTATATGCATATTCTCTTGGAATTTTCTCTGTAAAAATACTTAGCCCTGAATTTTCCAATTTTTTCACTCGGGTCCTATAATGCAAAGCAAAACAAAATATAGCGGAAAAAACTTGGAAAATCCGTGCCCAATAATTTTAATAGAAAATATCGCCAGAGAAAAATTCAAACAAAATTCGAAATCTATTGAATTTTGAAAAGATTCCATTTACATTTTTTGCGAGAAATTCAAACAGAAAGATCGAAATCTATTGAATTTTTCCTAATAGAATCTGTGCAAAAAACAAATCAAATTTTATCGAGGATTCCCTAGAATGTTAACAGAATCCCCATAGAATGTCTCGAGAATTTCAATGGAAATTTCTAGGGAAATCGCCAACGTTCTCTGTTAAATTCCAGAATAGCAAAAAAGCTCGAAAAATTAGACGAAAAGTTGTAAAAAACCATCAGTCGCACGATCGTCGAGTTTTAAAAATTTCTAACGAATTCGCCAATGTTCTCAGTTAAATTTTTCCTGCGCGAGCACAAAAATTAATTTTCTCCTGAGGAACATACGCACCCACCAAAAATGTCAAATTTGACGTACATCCTACCACTTCACCGCGGAATTATAAATAAAAACGACATTAGCGATTCAGAAGTTGCAATTCTCCCACGCATTTTTTTACATCCACTCAGTTCTCATTCTCCAATCGACTTCACCCCCAAAAGCAGTATTTGATTGCATAATTTGAAGACGAATAATCATTACGCGATAGAAGATTCACTCATTCACGCATTCAAATTCCTCTCTTCCAGAATAGCAAAAAAGCTCGAAAAATTAGAAGAAAAGTTGTAAAAAACCATCAGTCGCACGATCGTCGAGTTTTAAAATAGAGCTGCCCCCTCCAAAGTGTTGCTCTTCGGTGATTACGATACGCTCCTTTCCTCCATTCGTAAATAGGAAGTTATGACGTCGTGAAAACACCATTTCCACAACTCAAACAGGAGAAAAATCTTCCCCACGATTTCTCTCGAATGAAATAATGATTGCGATTTTTTTCCCTTCATTTATGTTTTGAAATTGAAAAAAATAATTTTTTTTAGTTGATATATTGAATGATTATGGGGTTACCTCAGTTTACTTGGACGTCCAACTGGCATGCGTAGTCTTGTCCTCAGTGAACAGCTGATCTGTTATCAGCAACGGACGGTAGAATATTTCCCACTGCATCATTCACTTCGAAAGTTGAGAAAAGTTATTCACGAAGTTACTGTGCTCTTGCTAAACAGAAAATGAGATGAAATTGATGAAATCCACTTGTCAGCTGATCTCTACGTAAAAGGAAATTGTCACGTGGACCTTCTACATTCGACCGAAACGTGAATTTCTGTAGTTATACATTTTTGTGTACGTTCAAGTTTCTCCTCGGGCCTCTCGATGATTGTTGTCCGGTAAGTTGGTGTTTTTCATGTGAAATTCGTAGTTCTCAAACGCATTCTTTACTTATTTCTTCATACGTTCGTGGCATCCGATCATTTTTCCTGTAATTCTATCAAATAATTTTGCAATGCTTATGCTCCGAGAGATAACACGGACGAAAAAATTTAGGGGTGGTTGAGGTAAAACGGACACTTGACTTTTTTTAAACGTTAATGAGGAGTTGAAATGTTGATAAAATTTAAGAATTTTTTTTTAATACAAAGAACAAGTCGTTCTCTTTGTGACGAGCCTAAACTGAGCTCAATTGATAAATTTGTCTCTGAGCTATGAATAATTTTTAAAAAGTCTAAAGTGCCCATTTTACCCCATCCTCCCCTAATGGAAAAACCCATCGAATTCGTTAGAAAATTCTATTGAATTTCTACTGAACTGTTCTATTAGTTTTTGGCCGATTCTGTTGAAATGTTCAATAGAAAATATTCAGTAGAAAAAGTCAATAGAATTCAATTTTTCTGTATAATTATTCTATTGAGATATTTTCTGTAGAATTTCTTCGACTCAAATTTTCCAAGTTTTTTCGTTTGATTTTCTTGATGAGAAGAAAAGAAAAATAGAATGAAAAAACTTGGATAATTTGAGTCGAGCAAATTCTCTAGAAAATATATGAAAAGAATAAGTTACGTAAAAAATCGAAACGATTTCAACGATTCGACGATTCAACGAGTTCTCATTGGAAAATGTGCGGTGGAGGGCTGTAAAAATGGTTTTCGAGATTGTTACAACATCTAGATTCAGATAAAAGAATAAAAAATAGATGCGTACGTTCCCTAAAACGACTCAATAATTCCCAAATATTGACAGACTCTCTCTATCTCATTATCAACAATTGAACAAGAATTGACGAATTCCGAATTTAAATTGAAGAGCTTCTCCGACGTTTGCACACAAATCTGGAGAATAGTTGTTCTCCGAAATACACCTGGCATATAAGATGTTTCGATTTAGGAATACATGCAAGTAGCCTTCGTCAAAAGAATGGCGTCTTACAATGGAGGAGTGCCATTGCTCTAACATCGTGATCATGCAGCTATTCCATGAACTGAAGCAACAGTTTCCAGCATTGCCGGATTACATCGTGTCTCAGTGCATCGCCCAGGTACACGAAGAAATCGACCTACGAGCAAACATCGTGGAAGCAAATGAAAATTACCTACATGAATTAAAATCATCTAATGCTATGTGTGCGAATTTACATCGTCCAACTAATGTTCGTAACACCGCGTACGAAAAAATTGAATAGAAAAACTTTGCGAATTTGGTAGAAAATTCTATTGGAATTCTCTAGAAGTTCTATAGAGGTTTTGTTAAAATTTAGGGAATTCTCGTTAAAATTCCCTTAAAATGGTTTTTTGCGCTGATTCTGTGAGATGCAACTTTGATTTATCAACTTTTTTTTATTATTGAGAGTACTGAGAATAACAATTTTCCATGCAGTAGAATGGAAAATTATTGAGAAGTTTTGACGGGAGAAGATTTTGTCAATGGATTAATTAGAAAGAAAATGAAACAGCAAAATCCAAAGTCTAGAGGAAGGCCAGGGGAGACCCAGAGGGGGAAAAAGGCAAATTGATGCTGAATTTCAATCGAATGAAAAAAGAAAAGTGTAATTTCCCTGATCTAATCAATTGAATTATAGATGAAATATTTCATATTACTTGACAAGCGAACGGTGAAAATTATTATTCTCGTCAGTACTAACTGAATTGCTCTTCCAACCGCCTGTATTAATCTCATAATTTCTCCTTCTCCAGGCCATTTCTCCTCATCGGGGCAATTAATGTATTTCCATCTATCAAAACAATCAAGAAAATATAAATCAATACCAAAAAATATTTCATCGAGTACTTATCAGTACTGCCAATAATAAAAAAAAGTTAAACAATTTTTTTTGCTTGAATTGCGTCAAATTCATTTTGCCCCGCTGTTTCATTTTGCCCCACTCTCCCCTGTATAAGTACTCTCTTGGAATTTTTTCTATAAGAATACTTGGCCATGAATTTCTAATTTTTTTCATTGGGATCCTGCAATGTAAAACAATAATTTCAATAATAAAAAAACAATTTTAATAGAAAACTGGAGAGAAAAATCCAGACAGAAAAATCGAAATCTGTTGACTTGTTCCCACCAAATATCAAATAGAATTTGCGCAAAAAAAACAGAATTTTAACGAGAATGCGCTGGAATTTTAATAGAATCCCAATAGAATTTCTATGGTTTTCTATTAAATTTTTTCACACGTGACTTCATTCACTCCACACTTCATTTTTGGATTACTAACACGACGTGTATTCAGTACCAAGTCCTAAAATTCTTTGTTACAAACCACAGCCCTTCATTAGTGACAATGAAATGTGTTGCAGAATAGTCACGACAGGGAGATATGTACAAGAAGTCTACGCGCAGCACAGGATTCACGATCGTCCCCTGGTGCCTTTCCACCACCAGCGCCTGAGCCGCTACCATCGCTGTATGACATAAACAACGAAAGAAACAATGACGACAAGATAGCTCAAAACCCATATCGAAATCATCAAAGACCCCATCGACCGAATTCTTTGCACATTGGTAAATCACGCCAGTGCATCAGTCCCAATAATTCAAGGGTACAATTTTCCCCGGTGACTCCCTTCCCCTCAAGTTCTACGGCTTCAGCAGCTGTTACCAACTACTCCTCGAGGGGTTTATTTGAAGACTTACCGAATACAACAGTTGCGAGTTCGATCAATGTTGTCGATAATTCGGTGAATAGCGGTGGTGGAGATAAACCGACCAGGGGATTTGAACTCAATGTTAACGTCGCTTGCAGTCCTGCTGGTAACACTGGTTTTTTTTTTTCTTATTACATGGAATCGTGTACAATTTAAGGGGAGACTACTGTGAGATTTAAAAGTCCTGGGATGTTAGAATGAGATTTCAGGCATTGAAGATCGATTATATGTCTAAAAACGAATAATTAGTGCAAAATAGTATATTGTGCATCATGTTATTTTTTAACACGCCTTCAAAGGAAAATTCTGTTTTTTTTTACGTACCTTGGAGGGCTGTAAAAATGATTTCCTGCAAATCATTTTTAAAAATTGTACACGATTCCATAAATTAACATTGAATTATTTTCTGATCTTCGATACCAACAGAACATTTTCATGAATTTCGATAGACTCTCGATAGAAATTGCCATTTATTTTCTTGAAAAAAAGTCATGGAGTTTCGAAAGAAGTTTTTATCATTTCCACTTACAATAATGACGTGATGAATCATATAAAATTAATCATATTGATATTCGATTTTAAATAGAAAACACTAGCGCGTTCTCTAGGAATTCTTTTGGGATTCTAATTCCAATTTTATTCGAGTTCCAATTTTATTTGCACTGTCAGATCGAGATCTCTGGAAATTCATGTTTTTCTTATTTTGCAATGAAGCATGAAAATATTGTACTCTACATTTTCCCACAGGCCAGGTGCCCCGTTTAGACCGAAGTAATCCGATCGGCGAGCAACTATCGCACTACAAGGAGCTGAGACTGACGGCGAATCATGAATGCGAAACTGTAGATCATACGAGGGGCTACACTTCTGTCAGTCTCATTCTCAGACCCCCGTCCTCTGAACCACAGCCACCCATCGATATTCGGTCTCAAGGGTCGAGCTTGACTTATTCAACTTCTTCGTCAGACGCGAGGGGCTTCCAGAGTCGTTTGCTGATCAGCATCGGTCCCGGTAAAGTTGGCAGTGTGGCGGCGGCGAGGATAAAGTCGCGAATGGGCCATACAAGGCCCAATTCGTTGGTATCAGCGATGCAGAGTACGTCGAATCAATCAACAGGTGAGTTCACACGGATAAAATCGTTAATTGGTACACTGAGAGAAAAACAAACACGTTGTCACACAAGTCTTGTTTGGGCCAGCAAAATCGCTAGTTGAAAATTGCCGAAAAAGAATTTGTTTGNTCGAATTTGAAAGTCTCAAACATGAATAATTGTTCTGCTTTCGACAGCAACGAAATATTTGGCTCAAGAGGCGGATAATTCACACCAGACGGTGCCTTTTCAGGATGAAAACATCTCATATAGAGGAAAATTAATCAACAAATATTTTATCCCTAAGTTACAAGATTGCTATCATATCATTATTATTGTTTCATTTAAGGGTTGTTGTCTGTGATTATTGGACAGCCGAAACGAAAAACTACTTCCCTTGTTTCGCATAAAACAACGATTTTTCGGGAGCAAAATACGTATGGGAGTATCGAATAACGAAGGACTAGTGCTAGAAATGACATTTCTTGCGTGCACAGAGAATGGAATTTTTTTTCAACTACTAAATCTATTTTTGCGACAAAAAGTTTTCATTCCGGCGCACTCTCTGCATGTTTGGCACAAAAAAATCCTTTTTGATAATTTTCAAAAAAATATTTTCTTGGCACAAGTAAAACTTGTTTGAGAACTTTGTCGTTTTTCTTTTAGTATACATCTTGCTTCGTTGGACGCCGAATTAATGAGCATTTCTCTAGACTGTAAAAATTCAAATCGACTTCGGTTGATTTTCATTATATTATCATGATTATTAGCATTATTATTTTTCAGTAAATTATTTGTACTGAATGTGAGGGTCAGAAGTGTGGATAAGCAAAATATTAAAATCGTTTTGTAGGATCTGTTGTGGGACCCTCAAGTCAACTTCCAAGACCAACAATGAGTTCCTCGACGACTGGATCATTAGCTGTGGCTGCTACAACCCCTAATACCATTCAAAATTGCCCTAACTTGTCGTCAACGATGGCCTCGTCCGCGACAACTAGTTGCATGACTACTAATCACATTGCAACACAGTTGAACCAAGGTAAGTAGTGCATGTGAACAACTAGTCTTGTGAAGTTCTTGATTTCGTTCATTTGACAACGTTCATTTTCTGAATGTTGATGCCAGACGAATTTTATACACTCCATTAAATAACGTTCATAGAACTTTTTGATACTAGTTTTTAAGGTTTCCAAATATTGCAAATACTGACGGTTATTCTTGAATAAAAACATGATTAAAAAAAGAATTCATATACTTTCAGTCACTGAGCATCAGAAAAAATTGGTTACTGAGCAGTTGAAAAGAAAGGAAAGACTGGCCCACGAATTGAGGATAGAAAAAATGAGATTGGAAACAATGAAGAAGGATCTACAGATTCTCTTGAGGCCTGTGGATCCTACGGTGCCTCCTCAGGTATACGAATATACTAATTAATATGCAGTGATAAATTAATATTTATTAATATACTAATATGTACTAATTAATATTAATTAATATAGTCACTTATTTCTGGATGTTTTTTCTCAGGGATTGAAGAAGAAACTCCGAAGTGAAATCTACCAACTCCAAGTGGAATGTGATAGACTGGCTGATGAAGTTGATCAAAGATCTGATCCAAGAGGTACAGAACTGTCGAATATGTTCCTCCATAGTTGTATTTGATTGCATTTGAAATGATGAGGAAATTGGGGAGGAGAAATGCAATGTCACGTATAAACAAATTCAATGGAAAACCTAGCGAATTCGCTAGAAAATTCTATTGGAATTCTATGGGAATTCTAGGATAGGATTTTTATTGAAATTCCGTTGAAAAATTCTATTTGTTTTTGCGCTGATTCTATTGGATACTGGATTTCGAATTTCTGTTTGAATTTTTCTCAAAGAGACAAAAATGTCAAAATGAAGAAATGTTTTTTTTTCTATAAGAAAAAATCTCGGATTCTGTAATGCAAAACAAAACAAAATCCAGCGGAAAAAACGTAGAAAATTTGTGCCCAATAATTCTACTAGAAAAAATCTCAAGGGAAAAATTCGAACAGAAATTGAAAATATATTGACTTTTTTAATCAGAATTTTTCAATAGAATTTTCTATCAATTCTCTATGTTGTCTATTGAATTTTTTCATGCGTGGTTTTCTGAAATATTTTTCAGTTCCATTTGGAGAAACAAACGAAGAATTTTATCAGGGAATCTACACAGGGCAGTGTCTCAACATCCCATCATTCGCATTGAGACCACGACCCCCGTTACCAGCAATCCCACCAGCCTGGGAGCCCCAAAGTCCACGAATCCATCCGTCAAATCACGACAGAGATGACAGGGACGGTCCATCGTGGGTCTGCCGTATGTGCACTTTCGATAATCATCCGTTAATGGACAAATGTGAACAGTGTGACATGCCAAAGTTTCGAGTTCCCGATACAGGTACAACGAGTGGCTTACGAACTATTGCTAGAGTAGAATCCCAACAGTCCACCGCTGACAATAATTAAATAATCAATTTCTTCTTTGCAATAATTGCCCACGACACTAAAACGAAAAATATGTAATGCATTTGTTACTCTTTCGCATGACTGCGTCAGTGATTTTGTTCGTTTGGTTTTCATTTTTTGGCAAATGTGTGATACGTATCCTTATGACGATTTTATTTGGGCGAATGAAGATTGAAGTTGATAAGAATGTCACTTAATCCCTCCGTCCTTGAGCTGATAATTGAGGCAATTAATCTTAAGTTTTCTTTCAATAGAATACATAACTGTGATTGTACGATTAAAAGTCAAATGTGTGTTTTAGTACAAAGTGTGACGAATGGTTTTATTACCAGTTTCGTTTAGAATTTATAGGTGATATCGTTTGCAGGAGAGACACAAGATATTCACATAAGAGTCACACGTCATCATAATTTTTCTCCCAGGCGTGAGTAGAATTTTTTGATTTATCGGTGTTGTTCAGTAAGGATTTTCAATATTTGGAATCTTCACCAGTATTCCATTGAGTGAAAAGTGATTGGAAGAGTATGAAAGAAAATAAATTGAGCAGTAATTTTAATCTTTAAGGCCCGGTTGGATTATCTTTCGAATATTATCTAGAATGTTTTTTGTCGATTTTTTGTCTGGAAATTTCCATTCGGTTTTGGATCTAGATCACATTTGAATGCTAATCCAACCGGGCCCTAATTTCACATATTTTTCTTGTAGGAACAGTTCACAGTTGGGTTGTCTGACACATTGTGCATCTAATCTTCAACTGCAAAGGTGTAAATAAAAAATTATTCATAACTCATTACTTGGTATTTAACAATGACACAATTTAATCTTGTTTAGCGTGTAAATTATTACGTGCGGAACGAAAAAGGAAAAATTCATTCCCGCAGAGTGGAATTAATTGAAAATTTGTGGATATTTAATAATGTTTAGTTTTTCAATTCAATAAACAGGAATAAAATAAAAAGAGACAAATGATCACTTGAAAGTGGATTTATATTATTTATCATTTGTACAACATTGTTAATTTACTATCATTGCACATTAAAAATACTGTTCCTTAATTTTCGACGCTAATCGATTAATCCATGAATACAAAAGCGCTGAAATTTTTTACTTCGAAGGAATGCCCCAACAGATGAACAATATGCATTTTTTTATTGAGTAGTGCATTTTTATGTACTACATAGAATACTCTATCATTTTCTCATATCTCGACTGGAATTCCATCAGCGTTAGCGTCTCTATGAATATTCTTTTCGCGATTTAGAATTGGGAGGTAGTATTTTCTCATCACGACAGAGTAACAATTTTCTTTCACTCACGATCTACCCGAAAAAAAATGTATACCAGGTACTAATAATATACTGACTGAAGGGAATTTCTCAATTCCCTTTCAAACTTCACTATTATTTTATGCTTAATTTCAACTGAGGTCTACACCTTTTATTTTAAACTCCTCTAGTCAGTTCAATAAAATCATAACAGTCTTTAGGCGGTGAAAAGGAAATCAATGCACAGCATACGAATCACTTCTTTCTTATTTAAAACATTTTCTCTATTGCGCCATTCTCCATATCGACAATTATACATAATCAACTATCTATTAAAAAATCGATCAATAGAATGATTTCAAGGTTTGGTCAACAAACTTAAATTTGATTAAATGGTTTCAATCAACTACATTATCCTTCCCTATTCAAATCTTGGTAGACTTTTTATTTTGGCCTTCGATAAGTCTCATCAGGTGGTAATTAAAATAAACCAGACACTCAAAAATTTACTACAAAAAACTTAGAAAAAACGTATTTTATATGTTAGCTCCATGTTATGTCGTACCCATTCCAGTCTTTATTGGGTGCTAGATGAACACGTCGATTATTGTAGAAAAATGTTACAACTCCACGATAACCAGTTCTTGGGACACCACTCTGTAATACAAAAATTGCATGTGTTGAAATTACATAATAATCCGCTAAAAATTTTAGTCGCCCATTCTCAGTTTCTGTCATTTACTCTATTTATTCTGTCGAACGACGTGAATGGATATCAAATTTATGGGGATTCTTCCATTATTCGAAAAAATATGTCGATTTTAAAACTTTCCAGAGACATTGAGAAATTAATTTTTTTATTTTTTCATTTCTTCTCGTTAAAATTACACTATAAAATTCCAAAATATTCATATCCCGCTCATACTCAAAGGAAAAAACAGTGATTCCAAGTTTCCACCGACAGAAATGAAGAAAAACAAATTTTATCCATTTTCTAGCCAATCACTTCTTTTTAAAAATTCTCAGTCTCCAATTCGTGATTTTTGCAATTCATTACCATTTATGTAATTTTATTCATTCTATCAAAAAACAAGGAAAGGAATCGAATTGTTGGTATTCTTTCATTATTCGAAAAAAAAAATCGATTTTAAAACTTTCTGCAGACATTGAAAAATTATTTTTTTAGTTCTTCTCGCCTACGTTTTTTTTGCATTTTTCATTCCTTCTCGTTAAAATTACACTATAAAATTCCAAAATATTCATATCCCGCTCATACTCAAAGGAAAAAACAGTGATTCCAAGTTTCCACCGACAGAAATGAAGAAAAACAAATTTTATCCATTTTCTAGCCAATCACTTCTTTTTAAAAATTCTCAGTCTCCAATTCGTGATTTTTGCAATTCATTGCCATTTTCAGTATTCGAAAAAAAATTGATTTTAAAACTTTCCGGAGACATTGAAAAATTATTTTCTTTAGTTCTTTCCGCTCGCTTTTTTGTATTTTTTGAGTTCCTTTTCGCTGGAATATTGATTTCCCTCTAATAGTTGGGGAAAAAAAAGTGATTCGGGGTTGAATAAACATTTTGATTCATGATATTTTACCTCGATCCACTTATAACAATTGATATTTTTAAGAGGCTCAAACATTTCCATTTCTCACTAGGTATTCTGTACCACTTACTCGGAAATCATCCATAAGACCAAGCATCTTGGCAGTAGTCTTGTAGGATATACGATTAAAATAAGGAATTCTCACTGGACCGGAAGCAATAATGTTACCGCCCTTCAGCTCTGGAAAACTCACTACTGTCGTTTGATAAACGCCATTCATAAAATCGATGTCATAATTGCTCTGGAATTAATGTTTCTTGTCAATAATAAATATGATTGAGCTTCAAAGATGGTATTGAAGGTCTTCACTCACCTTTAATAAATATGTTAAATTCATTTTAGTAAAAGGCACACTTTGATCATTCAGTTTTATGAACTTGAGATGTTTTTCATAAAACAATCCACTGAAAAAAAACAGTATTCGACGAGATTAGCACTAAAACTGTTTTTAAAGGTAAAATTAGCGATTCGTCTGAAAATTTGAGTTTACACTATTGAATTTAAATGATAAACTCTTCTTTTTTGAAGTTTTATTTTAAATGCGAAGAATATTTTAGTGAGAATAAATCAATAATGAAAAGGGGTAACTTTAAGAAGTTTAAAATATTACAAAAAATAGTTAAGTTTATAGGGAAATCGGAGAAGAAAACATGAAAAACATACTTGCTAACGCCGATTTTTCCAAATGTTCTGGTTCTCGATAATTCAGGTCTGATGCAAGCCCTGTCTTTACGTTGCTCAGGTTGGCGAATCCAATCATCCCAATACCTGAGAAAAAAATGCAAAAATAATTACAAACTTTAATGGATTCAAGGAACTTAATGGCTATATAAGGAAAATGATGAAAAATTTTGACTCTCATGAGAGAAGATGAGGAATAGGGTTTAATGCCTTCAACAGTTAGTGGACAAACAGCAAGAAGCCATCTTGTGCACATTGCTTATTATTTACATACACGAATGATTTTTTAAATCAGAAACTTTTCACAGAAAAATGGGAATGGAAGAATTGGTTCCAAGTGTCAAATTTCGGAGTAAAATTTTCTTAAAGTCGAATATTGTGAGTTACCAATGAAGGGTCAGGCGTTGAGTTACGAATATTATGAGCATCACGTGCATCGAAAATTAAATTAGCATTCAATTCCTGTGTTTGGCACTTTTATATTTGATTGACTCGTGGCATTTAACTCGCGACATAAGTTTCACGATATTACTTTCACCATTTGACCTAATATTTAATTCATGATATTTTTCAATCAGCAATGTAAATAACGCATTTTCTTACGCTTTCGGCCATTTCGGTGACAATTCCAACCACAATTCTCTAGTGAGCATCCATCCCAAACCCGGGAAGAAATCGGTTCGGTATAACAAATGGGGTGCATGAGTGTCAACTAAACTCAACTTTCCATTATCGTTCCAGGCTGAGATACACCACAGTGATTTATCAGCAATCAGTAGTGGATAAGTGCCTAAGAAGTACTCAAAAAAATCGGGTGCTATGTCCAAATCATCTAGAAAAGAAAATCAAATCATGTTTTCAATCATTTGCACCGTATTGTCCATTGAATAGAATTTAACTTCCACAAGAAAATCTCTAATCATGCACAAAAGTCTTGTACCCTGAGAGAAAAACGACAGAGTTCTCAAACAAGTCTTACTTGTGCCAGAAAATAATTTTTTGAAAATTATCGAAAAAGATTTTTTTTGTGCCAAACATGCAGAGAGTGCGCCGGAATGAAAAATTTTTGCCGCAAAAATAGATTTAGTAGTTGAAAAAAAATTGCATTCTCTGTACACGCAAGAAATGTCATTTCTAGCACTACTCCTTCGTTATTCGATACTCCCATACGTATTTTGCTCCCGAAAAATCTTTGTTTTATGCGAAACAAGGGATAGTAGTTTTTCGTTTCGGCTGTCTAATAATCACAGACAACAAATGAACCCTTAAATGAAACAATAATAATGATACGATAGCAATCTTGTAACTTAGGGATAAAATATTTGTTGATAAATTTTCCTCTGTATGAGATATTTTCATCCTGAAAAGGCACCGTCGGTGTGAATTATCCGCCTCTTGAGCCAAATATTTCGTTGCTGTCAAAAGCAGAACAATTATTCATGTTTGAGACTTTCAAATTCGAACCAAACAAATTCTTTTTTGGCAATTTTCAACTAGCGATTTTGCTGGCCCAAACAAGACTTGTTTGACAACGTGTTTGTTTTTCTCTCAGTCTAGAGTATGAAATAAAGAGCAATTCTGAAGTAATCAGGGGACTGAAGAATGAAATTGATAAGACGAGGAGAATGTTGAAATTACCCTCTACGATTATTGCAGTTTCGAAACCAAACTCAAGAAAAACTTGATTTAAGGCCCATCCATAGTGACGTGCTATTTTAAAGTATCCTTTGAATTTCTTCTCTCGGGGTGGAATGTCTATGTCGGATTGATCAGGTTGCTAAACATGAAGAATTAGAATTAATGAAGAATTGATTGACTTTGCAGTCCCATAATTTTACAATATCCATTTGCATAATTGAATGCAAAATCTAAAAAAATTGTTGCATCTCTTTCACTACTTCATCTTGACGAATACATATGTAATGTCCTCTGATAATTAAACAAAGTTTTAAATTGATCTCACTAAATGATTAGATTTATTTATATTTCTTTGAATTCACATAGAACAATTTCGTGATGTCTTGCGATGAATTACGAAATTGAATTATAGTCTCAATCTCATTTAGAAATAGTGAATTATGTGCAAATAATCTGTTGTTTCACCTGAATATGCACGACTTTTTCTCCGAAAGATCTAATAACATCCGACGTCTGCTGATGATTACAATCCTGTGAAACAATTATTGGAAATTGTTCTGCACTTGGGCGTAACTTTATCAGCTGGTCCAGACACCTCCGGACGGTTACCCGGTTGCATGAGAACACAATAACTGGAATTACTGGGGCTCCATTCAATGGTTTTGACGTTGCAAGACCTCGTAATTTCTCCAGTTGTGATGTGCCCTAGATTTACAAAAGATAATTCTACTTTGAGTAGAGGTTGGAGAATTATATAGTGCGGAGAATTGAGGAGACAGTAAGGAGAATACATTCGAAGAATTTGAGTCTCGATTTTTCGTCCCAATTATTGGTCTTAAATCTTCATATGAATTTCCTAATGCCAGAAGTTAATTTCGATTTTTACGAAAGAGATTCGAAATCCATTGACTTTTCTTATAAAAAATCTAATAGAATCGGCGCAAAAAGCAAATAGAATGTTCACAAGAATTCCCTAGAATCTTAATAAAATCTAAAACCTTTTCTATTGAGTAATTTTATACGTGATAATTAAACAAAGTTTTAAATTGATCTAATTAAATGATTAATTTCTTTATATTTCTCTGAATTCACATAGAATAGTTTCGTGATGTCTTGCGATGAATTATCGAACTGAAATATTTTATACGAGACAAGTATAGATTGAATTCCATGGTTTGACTATTGGAGTTTGATGTACGATTTTGATCCCATTCTGTAATTTCAAAAATAAGAATTTATAGACCCCGAGGAGAGTTTGGATTGTGATGACAGCTATCCCGAGTAAACGGTTGAATTTAGTTTTCTTTGGAGTTTACTGCCGAGACCTTTTTTCTCCGAAGTAATTTCGCCTAAAAGTTGCAGTAAGCTACGGTATTCGCTTCAATTTGGCAAATTCATATCGAATTATTATGAATGAAAACATTTTGATTCACGAAAATTATTCTCATCATTTGCATAGATAATTAAATCAATAGTTATTTGCTTTATTTTCTAAATCTTACATTTTGATTCTCATTTTTCAATTCTTATATTCTGACCCTTATTTTTTTGAGTCTCAATTTTTCGTCTCAACTATTGATCTTAATTCCTCATACGAATTTCCTACTGCCAGGAGTCGATTTGGATTTTTGCGATACAGAAGAGACGATAGGATTCTCCCTTCCTTTTTCCTTACCTCATTTTTCAGGTGGTTCTCCGGTGAAACCTGTGTCCCTTCGTCCTTGTTGATTGCATTCTTAACGTATTCATCATCAGAAATTTTAAGGGCATTCCTATCGAAGTCGTGAACGTTGCCCTCCGGCTGAGACTGAATCGAGCCAGTTACCTCATCCTCACTGAGTCCTGAAATTCAACGATTGCGAAGACAAACTCAATTTCCATAAAATTGCATTCGTTAAAAACTCACTTTTTTGTCCTTGTTCGATAATCTTCTCCAGGAGCAGTTGATTGTCTGATATTTGTTGCTTCACTTGTTTCTTCAGTGTATCAATTTGATGAGATAGAGCGTGCTCCTGAAATAAAATACGTTATTCTCTGAGGGGGTAATGAAGTAAAGTGAATTTGTGTACCTTCTGGTCCTCTTTTCCAATCGGCCGGTCGAGAAACAAAAAATATGTGATGAACGCCCACACTAGTACTGATAAGAATATAAAACCAATCGACCTGTTCCGCATTTCAAGAACATTTGTCACCTCATCTGCAAGGATTTGAACATCAATTATGTCAAATTTTTTTTCATTAAAACAATTCGTGGGGAAATAACAAAAAAATCTGATAAGAAATCCACCCGTAGTACTCACCACCATTCCCGCGTTCAAGAACTTATAGAAAATCCAGAATAGTTTTTCAGGAGCTCCATTAATTAACGCTTTTGCAGAAACCTGAGGAGTACTTGAATTGCAGCCACAATAAAACTAATTTTTATGCTTTAGAGGATTAGTTCCTTCATCGAAAGGTCATCAATAGTATCTTAAAAAAAACTGTACTCTATTTTTTAAAGTAGCTCTACCCTTCGACCAGGGTACGCTGTACTTTTGGAAATTTTCATTTTTTAAATTTTTCAACTAAATTGCATGGAAAAAATTTGAAAAAATTCATACCCGGTCAGTATTATCTAAATTAAATTTCGCAAAATACTGATATTTTTTCAAACATTCCCCTCTTATAAATGAATAATAAAACTTGTTTGCAAAATTGTGGATTATTTTTTATGAGGTGTCAAAAAAATTCTTGATTTTTTCACATCTAATGATAAAAAAATTCAGATTTTAATCTTTGATTACAAATATTGATTTTCACATAAGACACTGGGTTAAATCCTGATTTTTAAACATTTCTTCTCTGAAAAACCAAATCGATAATTAAATTGAGGAAAAAATTAGAATTCCGAATCTAATCGAGTTTTCTGCAATTTTTTGCAGTTTTCAATAATCTTTGAATTTACCGTAAGGGTAGAGCTACTTTAAGGAGAAATATTTACATAGTCGCGGCAAGATTGGAATCTTTCTGTACAGGTCCCTTAATATTTCAGGAATTATTAACACTCGAATATTGTGACTTAATATCTACGTATTGTTATCCATATGGATTGGAAACACCAGCGAGTCTTGCTGTGTGGAATGATTTCAAAAATCGCAAATGTCCACGATCACAACTTTCTGGACGAAACCTGAACACGGCACAATTTTCTTCGACATTAAAAATCACTTGTCTCGTTTCACGAACTGATGTATTCTTCTGGGTTGTATGGATGTGCCGCCACAAAATTACGTGAACAGAAATATTGTTTTCAGTGGTTGGAAATGTAAAGTCAGAGTGAAGTACTGGGCAGCCATTCCGTTGTACTTTGCAAATGTTTCGTTGTGCCACGGAGGTTAGGGTTGAGGATTAGGTGAGCATTGAGCTTCGTTTCAAAGAGCCTATTTCCACCGTGGAGATGGATGACCTTGGGGTGAAGTGGGGACGGTGGGAACCGACGTGTCTTGCGATGGAAACGCCACCGAAGCTGAAAAATCGCTGGAGGGCGTTGATTGGCGGAAAAAAGCCGCAGAAAAAAATTGCAAATACAGCTGTAATTGTACGTGGACACGTCAATGGTCTTTCCTTCTTCCTCGAATTTCCTAGAAACCCCTTGCATTCCCTCGAATTTTCTGTAAACTCCGTGAACTCCCTCGAATTTCCTAGAAACTCCTTGCATTTTTTCGAAATTTCAAGAAACTTCACGAATTACCTCGAAATGTCTAGAATTTTCTAGACTTCCGACAGATGGCGCTGCGCATAAGGACCGTTTCCCAAAATGGCTCCCCATATTGAATCCATAGACGTATCCACGTTCAAAAATAACTCGGAATAAATAGCTATTTACATTCACTGTCCTCAAATAATTTTCTAATTTATTTCTCTTCAAGTTATAATTTGGACAGTCTCATAATTTGGATCAGACCTCATGGACATGGTCCCCTACACCTTGTGGTCGTGCTTCTAGTCAATTTTTCTTTTGCAAACCATTGCTTATTATATATAAATTCTTTCACATGTTGTTATTGTGACTATTGGTGCTGACGACGACTGGCACAACTGCTCTAATCAATTCAGAATTTATTTTGCGTACGTTGTTTCTAACCTGAGAAACCACTGTTTATAACGTGAAGGTTTTTCCGGTTGAGAAGAAAATCTCAAGTCAAACAGTCCGGAGAATTATGGAAGAAAAGTCAGAGTTGATGGTGGCTCTCGCCGGGAAAATTTCGAGTGGTCATGAACTGATGAAAAAATTAAAAGCCCAGGAGGATGTCCGTGGGGTCGGCAAACTAATACGGAAAATTAATCAAGAAATACGATTTCTCGAAAAGGTACAGTTGTCATTATTTTCCCGATTATCATTTCTAAAAAATGACACTTGTGATTTTTCTGAAATGTCGATAGCTCATTGAATTTTTAACGAAATGAAATATTTTTTCCATGAAAAGTACCATTCTTCCCCCTCGTGATTGCCCCAGCATAAGCTCAATTCACGAATTTATTCCCGAGTTATAAACATTGAAAGAAAGGTCAAAAGTTATCTTTTTCCCTCACTCCCCTCTACATTAACAACAAGGAAAATTCCTGGCGAATTAACACAGATGCTAAAGGATGAAGACAGCATATTAAGCGAATTGCTGAAAATCAAGAGATCAAAATTTAGGGAACAACAAGTGTACCAATTTTTTTCAGTCGATAAGAAGCCATTACATCTTAGTAATGTGACTTGAAAATAAGCACTTTTAATTTTTTTTCGCAATGTTAATGACTCATCGAATTGTAAGTGCAATGGGGTAATTTTTCCCTACGGAAAGAACGACTTTCCCCACTGTAATAAGCCTAGACTGAATTGATAATTTTTTTTCTGAGCGATAAACATTGAAAAAAGACAGGTGTTCATTTTGCCCCACTCTTCCCTATTTTTTTCATAATTTTACTACCCAAATTACACCTCCTGATACTTTGAACGAGTTTTTTTGAATCAAGCAATTTCCTGACGTTTTGTATCAGTATTTTAATAAAAATATACATGTTTTTATTAAAATAATGAAACAAAACAAATATTTCTCTTTTTCTTTCTCGTTTTTCTGCATCACAATTTGTATAACTATAGTTCTGATAAACCTAGTTGTAGATGTGACTTAAAAAAATCGTAGAGGCGAGTGATCATTTTGCCCCACCCTTCCCTATTTTTTTCATAATTTTACTACCCAAATTACACCTCCTGATACTTTGAACGAGTTTTTTTGAATCAAGCAATTTCCTGACGTTTTGTATCAGTATTTTAATAAAAATATACATGTTTTTATTAAAATAATGAAACAAAACAAATATTTCTCTTTTTCTTTCTCGTTTTTCTGCATCACAATTTGTATAACTATAATTCTGATAAATCTAGATGTGACTTGAAAAAATCGTAGAGGCAAGCGGATCAAAATGAAGACTTCACTCTTTTTAATGTGAATGACTCATTGAATTAAAAAAAAAATGGTGCAAAGCTCTAGATAACTAATCATTTTGCCACGCAAATCCTCAATTCCCTGATAATTAAAAGTATTTTTTGAACGAAGCAAAAAGGTTTTCAGAGGTTCTTCACATTTTTTTCCTTAAAATATTACTCTTATGAAGACAGGAAACGATTAGTGATTGAAATAATGGAACAAAACGTAAAAAATTCCCTTTTTTCTCGTCTTTCCGCACTAAAATTTGTATAACTGTATGATTCTGATGAAGGTTCGTTCTACAGACAGTGTAAAAAGGGAGCACCTCCAAAGTACCAATTTAATTCACCTGAATGCCCTAGTGGAGCGATTATTATCTTCGAAAAATCCGACTGAGGTCCTGAAACCGTTCAAACTCCCCGACTCAGACTCTCGTTTAACTGTTGACATTATTTGCAATGGTGGAGCGGCTTGGATCAAAGTCATTGCCAGGAACGCTCGGGCGTTGACTCTGATATCCCTCGGAAATGGAGAATATGGACAGAAATCGGTGTTGGATCAAGCTGAGATTTACTTAAAATGCGCAACTATGTATCCCCATCATTATAAATCACCGGAGATAATTTTTCATTTTGCCTACGGGATAGAGACATCACTGTCTTCGCAATTGGAGGAACTGGGAGTTTCCGTTGAGGGAGAGAAAATTGAATGTGGAGAGAGTTCTTCAGAGGCTCCAAGACTAGGTAAGCATTGAGCATTCAGAAAATTCGACAGTATTACTGAATTTGGCACAGAGTGATGAAATCGAAATCACTGAAATCACGTGAATTCAACTCTCTGAAATCAATTTTGAAATCACGCTGAAGTCTTGAAATCATCCCGAAGTCATTTGAAATCAATGAAATCAATCGAAGTTTATGTCCGTGGTAATAATTTTTTTTTTATCGTTATTTTACATCGCTTCGACTTCGAAATCATTCGAAGTCAATTGCAGTCACAAAATCATGTCGCGATCCACTTGAAGTTATCGACTTCATTTCTTCCGGAAATTATTTCGCCCCAGAAGGTGAGGTCTAGGTGGTTTTAAAGAAGTAAAAAAAAATGTTAAAAATTGAAAAATCAGCAAAAATTAACAACTTGATAGATCAATCCAAAGATGAATTCTTAAGTAATTTCTGGTTTCATTTTTTGAGACAGAAGAATCCGAAGATGGAATAAACTCACTGGATCTAACCAGAGAAAGCGATCAGTCAGAAAATTCTGCTGTTACATTACAGTTACCAACAGAATTAAAAATTCTACGTCCTTCTCCGAGCAATGTGCCATCAAATGCAGCTGAAACTTTGAATCTGGACGTCTCCACACTCCTCGCATACGTCAGTAATATGACCAATGGATATGCCAATTTCGTATATTTGGAATCTTTGTTGACTCTTCAGGCGGAGTGGGAGAGAGAGAGACCACTGAAGCCTTTTTTAGATGAACTATTCCACGGGAAATCACTGAAAGTTTGCAGAACGGCGTACAAAAATTTCATGGATATCATCAATATAATCGGTGGACGCCAAGAGACCGCGAGGACCCATGAGCTAATGAAAAATGTCGATATAGTTGAGGATGCGACTGAAGGGAGGATTTTGAAGCTGGCTATTGGGGGAAAGATAAAACTACGATCAAGATTGGTTTTTGCTAGTGGTGAGAGCACCAAGAGTGTCACGGTTTCCGCCAATGAGGGCTTCGTGAGGGCTGCCAGAATGCAGGTAATCTTAAATAAAATAATTCTGTTGTCCATTCTTTGGCCGGAACTCACGCAAAAACGACTGAATGGGTTTCAATGGTATTTTTAATATTACACTAAGAGAAAAATCGACGTAATATCACAGAAATCATTTCTTGAGCGAAAAACATGGGATACAGGGTCAATTATGGGTCAATTTATGGTAGGTTTCAGACAAGGAATGATGATGTATTTTTTCCAAATGAGATAATATTCCTTAAGAGACGAGAATAGTTTGACAGAAGGGAAAGATATTGCTTCCCTTCGAACTCAAAGCGATTGAGCGGAAGCGACTGTTATATTTTTTTAATATCTGGAGGTTGTTTTCCTCTCCATAAACTCTCTATTCATTCGATATGAAAGTCTCTGATTCATGATTCACTGAATCGAAGCTTTTAATATTTTTAGTCACTTTCTCATCTTCTGAGACGAAAAAAGCGATTTCTTGGAGCAAGAAATTCTCACTTTATCATGAAATGTTCATGTTCAAGTCACATTATCCGGAATTCTTATCCCAATAAATTTATCCTCAAGAGATGAGATATTTGACGCAAGAAATTAGTTTCATGATATTATGATGATATTTCTCTCAGTGTAGTATAAAGTATATTTAGTCCATGAAATTTGTACATCATCATTTGTACTTCAGTTAACGTCCTGTTATTTTTCTTGTTTTCAGGGAATTGAATGCACAGCAATACTCCATGAACCTAGATCGCTGTCTGAACTGAAAGAGAAATATGCAACACGAATCGATTCTTGATTCAGGTGTAAAAATGTGTTACTTAGATTGATAAGTTATGTCTTTATTCTCAAACTACTGAGTGTAAATACTGATTGTAAATACAAATATTTATAATTTATGATTTTCTATTTCATTGCTAAACGATCGATTCCTCGTCCTGTATGACATCATTTGGATTTTCTTTCAATGCTTTTTCGAAATCTGAAAAAATTGAATGTCATTTTTTATTGTTATCTGCTGAGTTGATATTTAAAATTAATTAAATATCAACTCAATTTAATTAAAAAAAAACGAATTAATTTAATTTAACTATTTTTAATTTCATTAAAAGCAATTTAAGAAAATTAAATTATTAAATTATTTAATAATAATTATTATAAAATAATAATTATTAAATTATTATAATTTTTTTCTTTAATTTCATTTTTTTCTATTTTAAAAATCCGAATTAAGACAAAAAATTAAGACAAGTGTCGAACATCACCAGTTCCAAATTAACACTCGACTCTAAATACTTATAAATGTTATTTACCTTCGATATACTTGGAAAATCTTGGAATCCTCTCCTTGGAAAGTCTTATAAACTCATCCCTCTTCTGATGATTCCCCAAATACGCATAACACTTGGCGCTATTCAAAAGTGCCTTAATATTCGAATCATTGACTTTGAGGGCCCACTCACAGTCCTGCAGTGCCTTCTCATAGAGCCCCAGCCTCATGAAGGATAGTGCCCGATTATTCCAAATAACAGTGGAATCTTTCCTCTGCTCAATAGCCTTTCCATAATAAGTCACAGCTTTCTCATAATCCCCGCTATCAAACGCTCCATTACCGATTCTTTTAAACGTATCAGCCCTCTCATTCCTCCTCTTTCTGTCCTCTGCCCGCTCACGGGCATCTTTCTCCATTGTTTTCATAAAAACCTCTGAATTTGTGGAAAAACAAATTGTTAATCGTCGATTAAATTTCCATCCTGTTTCGTTACCTCTCGACATTTTATTCGGATCAGTCTCCTCACTCGTTGGATATTTATTTATCAGCGTGCGCTCCGTCTTCACTTTCAATTCTTCATCCCCTGACAATTTGCATTCTACTGCATTGTTCGATTTGAGGATATTATCAGCCAGTAATTCTCCCCTCTTCTGTTCGTTCACATCAGAGGACGCCAATTTTTTCACGATTTTCTCTTCATTTTTTGGAAAATATTAAATACTATTGTCAGACTGTCCAAGTTCTCGCATTTTTTTTTCTCAACTCACCCACTTCCGTCACTCGCTGCATGAAATTTTGAAATTCCTCCTCTGTGATGTGCCGCTGAGTACAGAAATTTTGTACATTTTGCTTTTCGTTCATCGGAAGCTCCATTTTCCTTCAGCTTCGGAATCTCAACTGCTATCAGTGGCCAAATGTACCAATAAATGTCAGTTTAATCAATTTCAATAATCTCCATGGTAACGCAAGAGAATTCCCCTCCTCCGTATTTTTATTGATCAAAATATTCATAAAAAATATTCAAAAAACGTGGAAATTCATATTTTCTAGTTTTTATATTTAAAAGGAATCCACGGAATTCCTAGATCGCGGGCTCAGGACTCGCTCCTGCTGGGCCCGGGCATTGAGTCGATGAATCCCTTCGGTTGTGCCTTAAAAATTTCAATGCCGGACGAAGAGTCCAATTTTTTTTTTAATTATCCTCTTGACATCCTCCACCCATTTCCATCACCCGCTGCATGACATTGTGAAATGCTTCCTCTGCGCAGAAATTTTGTACATTTTGCTTTTCGTTCATCAGAAGCTCCATTTTCCTTCAGCTTCGGAATCTCAACTGCTATCAGTGGCCAAATGTGCCAATAAATGTCAGTTTAATCAATTTCAATAATCTCCATGGTAACGCAAGAGAATTCCCCTCCTCCGTATTTTTATTGATCAAAATATTCATAAAAAATATTCAAAAAACGTGGAAATTCATATTTTCTAGTTTTTATATTTAAAAGGAATCCACGGAATTCCTAGATCGCGGGCTCAGGACTCGCTCCTGCTGGGCCCGGGCATTGAGTCGATGAATCCCTTCGGTTGTGCCTTAAAAATTTCAATGCCGGACGAAGAGTCCAATTTTTTTTTAAATTATCCTCTCGACATCCTCCACCCATTTCCATCACTCGCTGCATGACATTTTGAAATTCTTCCTCTGCGCAGAAATTTTGTACATTTTGCTTTTCGTTCATCAGAAGCTCCATTTTCCTTCAGCTTCGGAATCTCAACTGCTATCAGTGGCCAAATGTGCCAATAAATGTCAGTTTAATCAATTTCAATAATCTCCATGGTAACGCAAGAGAATTCCCCTCCTCCGTATTTTTATTGATCAAAATATTCATAAAAAATATTCAAAAAACGTGGAAATTCATATTTTCTAGTTTTTATATTTAAAAGGAATCCACGGAATTCCTAGATCGCGGGCTCAGGACTCGCTCCTGCTGGGCCCGGGCATTGAGTCGATGAATCCCTTCGGTTGTGCCTTAAAAATTTCAATGCCGGACGAAGAGTCCAATTTTTTTTTAAATTATCCTCTCGACATCCTCCACCCATTTCCATCACTCGCTGCATGACATTTTGAAATTCTTCCTCTGCGCAGAAATTTTGTACATTTTGCTTTTCGTTCATCAGAAGCTCCATTTTCCTTCAGCTTCGGAATCTCGACTGCTATCAGTGGCCAAATGTACCAATAAATGTCAGTTTAATCAATTTCAATAATCTCCATGGTAACGCAAGAGAATTCCCCTCCTCCGTATTTTTATTGATCAAAATATTCATAAAAAATATTCAAAAAACGTGGAAATTCGTATTTTCTAGTTTTTATATTTAAAAGGAATCCACGGAATTCCTAGATCGCGGGCTCAGAGACTCGCTCCTGCTGGGGCATTGAGTCGATGAATCCCTTCGGCTGCGCCTTAAAAATTTCAATGCCGGACGAAGAGTCCAATTTTTTTTTTAATTATCCTCTCTGCATGACATTTTGAAATTCTTCCTCTGCGCAGAAATTTTGTACATTTTGCTTTTCGTTCATCGGAAGCTCCATTTTCCTTCAGCTTTGGAATCTCGACTGCTATCAGTGGCCAAATGTGCCAATAAATGTCAGTTTAATCAATTTCAATAATCTCCATGGTAACGCAAGAGAATTCCCCTCCTCCGTATTTTTATTGATCAAAATATTCATAAAAAATATTCAAAAAACGTGGAAATTCATATTTTCTAGTTTTTATATTTAAAAGGAATCCACGGAATTCCTAGATCGCGGGCTCAGAGACTCGCTCCTGCTGGGCCCGGGCATTGAGTCGATGAATCCCTTCGGCTGCGCCTTGAAAATTTCAATGCCGGACGAAGAGCCCAATTTCTTTTTAACTATCCTCTCGACATTTCCAACATTCGCTAAATTCCCAACGTCAAACGGAATGTCGATTTCATTCTTGATAAAAACTCCGTAATTTTCCGGCTGATCGAGAACAGCAGAGGCCTCTAAATCCCCCGTCTGCTGCGTCGGGGAAGTCTCGTCCGATTCTGAACACCGAATGATATCGATTTCCCCTAGAAGACGCAATTTTTTGAGGTATTGACAGTTTTCACTCGACGCACGCTTTTGACTATTTTTATCAGACATTTGCGACTCTCTCGAGTCCCCTCTGCTGCTGGCCCTGTTATTCCCATCATTAGAATCCGGCGATGTCTCCTTGAGGCTCAGTGTCGTTGTTATTTGTTTGCTATTTACTCTCGGAAGAAAGTTAACTTTTTCCGCTGTCTCGGCATTTCTCGGAATTTCGTGACACCTCCGTCGAAAATAATACGGTTTGCAGGAGGTGGCGGGTGGAGTCTCAATATTCCTGGAAATTTTCGACTCTGACAAATTTTCCGGCAAAAATGGGGCCAATTCGGCCGCATAGGTCTTTTGAAACTGTGCGGACGATCGGATATCCTTGAGCCCCGAAATCTCGAGGATTTCCGCTATTTTCAGCAATCTTCTAACCTCGCTCTTCACCACCTCAATCTCCCCGCAATACATGAAATTGACGATTGTCTTTAAATCATCGGCCTCGATATCGTGGAGTACAATCATCGGATGGGGATGATCATTTTTCACTAAAATCCGACGAAAGAATGTACTTGAGTTGGCTAACACCATCTTATGGCATTTTATTATTGTACCGTCCCTGCATACCAGTGACGAATCAACGAAGTATTGTTTCTCGTAGCAAGTGTCGAGGGTTGTGGCTAGTTGAGACGAGAAGAGATCCCAGCGAAGGTTCAACATTGCTTCTTCTTGCATTCTATTTATTTAGCAACTTGTTTGGATAGGTCGCGGATTGATTGTAACTGACAACTTCGCGATTGTATTGGAAGTGTGTTTCGGCCCAGTTCAGGGGAGAGATTTTGCGCGTTTTGTCCTGCCGGGAATTTTACTTTCTCAACCAATGATGCTGCTCGATTCGCAGCGGCTGACTGGGATTCGCTGGATAAAAAGCGAGGCTTTAGGTGCCGAAACGCGGAAAATCTCGCCGGTGGACCGTTTTCGGGTTTGAATATTTTGAACTGTTTCAAAGAGTTTAAAATATTCAAACCCGAAATTTTGAACTGTTTCAAAGAGTTCAAAATATTCAAACCCGAAATTTTGAACTGTTTCAAACAGTACAACGAGTGATTTAAAAATATGAGAGGTGGATGTACTAAAAATGCATATTTCGCTTTTTCAGTAGGGGAGGGTGGGGCAATATGGACACCAGATTTAAGTAATGAGTTGAATTTGAGCAAATCTACAGTTTCGAGTTCATTGAATGATTATAAAAACAAACACATTGTCATAAGACTGCGTCGTAGGAGTTGCAAAGTAAAATAAAAAGGGGTAAAATGGACACTTTGATTTCTTCCTCAATTTCTTATGTTTCAACAATATTTAATGTTAGATTTTTAGTTGAAAAATACTTAACAAAAATTAATCTTTGGTTGGTTTGAATACGTCTTTGTACGTTTTATATTTCTTTCATCTCTTGTGTTTCCACTTCACATCGAAGAACATTTTTAAGTGTGAAAATTCCGAGAAATTTGAGGCATGATGTTTATGCTCTGTTTTTCTAGCTCAAGCACAATGCATGAGTGGGACCTTTTGAATGTGAGTCATCAGGCCCAGGGTGTTGGATCCCTTTTGTCAATATAGTTAGTTCCTCTGAGGAAATGGTACTGAGCGGATGTGTCTTCCGAGCGTATAAAATAAAGGAAAATTCTGTTCACTTATTTACCAGTATAGTTATTTAAAATTCCGCCATTTCCAATATTTAATTTCAGAAACACTAGTCATGACGACGATTTTCAAATTGAAAAAAAAAAAAAATTTATTTTCGTCGTGGGGGGTGGTAAACAAAATTTACAAAAAAGGTATTTGTATACTTAAATTGGAATGAGTTAGCACCTAATGTCCATTCAGAGGCAAAATAGTATATTTCGTTACGAGTGCGGAAAAGAGTTTTCTGGCACGTGGGATTGTATCACTCCCCTTCGGCTCGTGCTATAAATCTCCCACAAGCCAAAAAACACTTTTTCTGTACTGCTTCTCACGATTTCTCGTCTGGGAATTGGTATTACATACTTCCCAAACTCAAAAACTTGAAAATCACTACAGAAAAATATTGTTCCTGGGCTGTTGCGATGGGGTTTTTTTACTCGTGTGGTTGGCCAGTCTTCGTCTACGGCTCGGAGGCTACAGCCACGCGAGTAAAAAACCCCATCGCAACAGGCCGGAAAAATACTATTCCCACGAGTATCGAACGATATTTTTCATCACAATGTGTGGAAAAGGGACGTAAATTTCACCGACGTGTCCCGTAAAAAATTATTAACCTGTGCACCGAACTCACCGTTCAAACTTGGCGCCAATTTTCCACTGGTGCCACCATCCTCCTAGTGCATTCTGATTCCTCGCATTACTCACACTGATGTCTGATCACGCACACACCCACTCACACAAGCACTATTTCGTGCTGCGTCCCACCGTCTCGAGTCCCCCCAGTCGCCCCAGTAATTCGTGAGCTTCTATCACGTTCTGTTCAGTTATCTGAACGTTAAGTACTCGATTTTTAATTTTAATACCACCAAGTGCCTTCTACCCCTTCCCCTAACCAGTCCATCTGCTCCCCTCAATCCTCAAAATCTCCAATTGCGTGAGCACAACAATTCACCGGAAAAAAGTTGATTTATCATTTATTTCGTTAAAAAATCGTTGAGATGGCGGATGAGGCACACGAGAACGGCACGAGTAATGGGGACGTTCCAGAAATTGAACTGATAATCAAGGTGAGTTATCAGCAGTCTTTAAACTCCGATCATGAGGTGTCCGTTCCGTCAGCTCGAGCGAAATGGGCGTGGATGGATTACCCAAACTTTTCGCAAATTCCTGCGCTCCGCAAATTCCTAGGCATTAGATTAATAGTGTTTACATTTCTGTAACCATACTCTCCATAAATTGTCTTCGTCAGGAGGACGATCATGCCCTCCTGATTCTCCGAGTGAGGAATACGATACGAACGTTTTTTTTTTATCTCCCTTCCTCCTTCGTGTGACTATTTATTTATTTTTTCATTTCCTGAAGCCGCGTTCGCATTTCTGCGACTTTCCCTATCTCGTCACCGAATTTCCGTTCAATTACAACACCCGGATCTCTCTCGAGTGAGGCATTATTTCGTGCTTTTTGTGGTTTTATTAGTCACTTGGGGATTTAGACTCCACTGGAACTAATATCCGCAGATATTCTCCTGCCGTGACATCATTTTTTTGTTGACTACGAATGATTGAGATCATCGCTGATTCTCTTCGTAAGGTGCGATGTACCTCGCTCCGAAATTTTCCGTTAGACTTAGAATGACAAAGAGATTGAGCACTGCGTGGTTATTCATATGCACCAAGGGGCACATCTGATATCATCGACATTAGTGCCATTCTGAGATTAAAAATGCAGGTTTCATGCCGCAGAAGCTATCACTCTTGGATTCTTGAGTGTACAAGGAAGACTGCATTGTTGACCATAATGTCAATTTTTATTGTTCATTAGGATAATTAATCGGGAACTCCTTCCCAGCTATCGATTGCCGGCGAATTTCCGGAGATTTACCGGTCTTTCCGAGGATTTTTAAATGCCATCCGTAAAAATTCAGTAACCAAGTCGTCAAACGGTTCAAGTCGATTTTTTCTATTAGCCAGTTTTCAATGAATATCCCGAAATCTAAGGGAGATAGCGAAATTTTTCTCATGACCTTTTTTGTAGCACTCAACTTGCTCTATAAAAAAGGTCATTACGACAATTTCGCTATCTCCCTTAAATTCGGGAATATTTCTGGAAAACTCAACTAAAGACTAAATTGACTTGAACCGTTTGACCACTTCGCTACTGAATTTTTATTGTTCATTACGAAAATTGATTAAGAACTCCTTCCCAGCTAACAGTTACCGGTAAATTTCCGGATATTTACCGGTCTTTCCGAGGATTTTTAAATGCTATCCGTAAAAATTCATTAGCCAAGTGGTCAAACGGTTCAAGTCGATTTTTTCTATTAGCCAGTTTTCAATGAATATCCCGAAATCTAAGGGAGATAGCGAAATTTTTCTCATGACCTTTTTAGTAGCACTCAATTTGCTCTATAAAAAAGGTCATTACGAAAATTTCGCTATCTCCCTTAAATTCGGAAATATTTCTGGAAAACTCAACTAAAGACTAAATTTGACTTAAAATAGCTCTACCCTTCGGTCGGGCTACGCTGTACTTTTGGATATTTTCAGTTTTTAAATCTTTCAACTAAATTGCATGGAAAAAATTTGAGAAAATTCATACCCAGTCAGTATTATCCAAATTAAATTTCGGAAAATATTGACATTTTTCAAAAATTTCCTCCTTATAAATAAATAATAAAAATTCTTTGCAAAACGATGGATTATTTTTGATGAGGTATCAAAAGAATTCTTGATTTTTCCACATCTAATGAAAAAAAATTGAGATTTTAATCTTTGATTACAACGGAAATGTTGATTTTACATAAGACACTGGGTTAAATCCTGATTTTTAAACATTTCTTCTTTGGAAAACCAGAACGATAATTAAATTCAGAAAAAACTAGAATTCCAAATCTAATCGGGTTTTCCGCAATTTTTTGCAGTTTTCAATAATCTTTGAATTTACCGTAAGGGTAGAGCTACTTTAAACCGTTTGACCACTTCGCTACTGAATTGTTTCCAGGGTTGAATAATGTGAGGGTCATTAATGAGAAGTATCGGCTTACTCTCGATTCGTGACATTGTGCTACCCTACAAAGGCGCATATCAATTATAATTTGACGTTGCTCGTAAAGATATCAATGTGACCTTGGATAGAGAAAACGAGCGACCAAGGTACACTATACCTTTTCGATAATGAATGCCTAATTGATAGATGTGGGTATGTGTATATATCTAGATTCGCTACTCATTAGCGTCTTGGTACTCTAATGATTGAATATTGTAACGAAAATATGGTGGATATTAGGGGGCTACGGCCCCTGCTCGCTCCGCTCGCCAACCACCATATGGCCCTTACGACCCTTATTGTGACCCTCATTTGGAACCTTGGGGTCTGGCCCTTAATTTTGGAGTCTTAATTTCGAGTGCCAAATTTTCGTTATCAGAAGTAGATCTGGATTTTGATAATGTAGAGAGAGCCCCATATGAACCCCATGGCCCTTATTCTGACCCTCATGAACCTTATTCTGACCCTTGTGGCCCTCACTTGGACCGTCGGGTTCTGACCCTTAATTTTGGAGTCTTAATTTCGACTACCAAATTTTCACCATTAGAAGTAAAACTGGATTTTGATAATATAGAGAGAACTCCATATGAACCCCATGGCCCTTATTCTGACCCTCTGAACTTTATTGAGACCCTTATTTGGGCCCTTGATTTGGAGTCTTAATTTCGAGTACCAAATTTTCATCACCAGAAGTCGATTCGGATTTCGATAATATAGAGAGAGCCCTATATGAAGCCCATGGCCCTTATCCTGACCCTTGTGACCCTCATTTGGACCCTTGGATTCTGACTTAATTTTGGAGTCTTAAATTCGAGTACCAAATTTTCATCATCAGAAGTAGATCTGGATTTTGATAATATAGAGAGAACTCGTATGAACCCCATGGCCCTTATTCTGAACCTCATGAACTTTATTGAGACCCTTATTTGGGCCCTTGATTTGGAGTCTTAATTTCGAGTACCAAATTTTCATCACCAGAAGTCGATTCGGATTTTGATAATATAGAGAGAGCTCCGTATGAACCCCATGGCCCTTATTCTGACCCTCATGAACCTTATTAGGACCCTTATCCTGACCCTTGTGACCCTCATTTGGACCCTCGAGTTCTGACTTAATTTTGGTGTCTTAATTTCGAGTACCAAATTTTCATCATCAGAAGTAGAGCTGACCCCCATGAACCTCATTCTGACCCTTGTTCCCCTCATCTGGACCCTTGGGTTCTGACCCTTAATTTTGGAGTCTTCAATTCGAGTACCAAATTTTCATCACCAGAAGTCTATTTGGATTTTTATAACATGAAAAGATAACTGAAAGCCCGCGATTTTTACACGAAACTGAAACTAGCGGAAGATTCCATTCAGGCGAATTTCCGGAGACCTTGGGTTCTCTTGTAAGAAAACAAGTGGGAAATTCCTCTTGCATTGCACACAGTATAGTTATTTTCCCTAATAAATTAGCAATATGCTTTCGACATAATTTCCTTCAATCATTCTCAAGTCGTCAGGTCAATGAGAAATGAAGGGAGAATTAAACTTCAGACGCATCATTTTGTTAAAAGCTTGACTCAGGTGATGACACACATGTGTACTGAGGTACAGTTATAAACGAAGGAATACGCTTGAATTCTGATAGCCAGTGACCCGGTACATTACGCCGGCATGTAATGAGGCCTGTATGACGCGAGGATTGAATCTCTGAGTCTATCCAGCTACGTATGACTCGCAGGTGAAAACACGCTCACTTGCTGGGTCATTGTAGCGCCGCTGCCAAGATTTTAATCATTGAATCGGTGACTAACTCCGAGGTGAGGTCGGGAGAGGAGTATTGAAGGAATCCTTGCGCCTGGCCATGATGAAATGAGACTGGTTTATATAGGATAAGGCACGAGAGATGGCAATTGCTTGGCATTCAGCTGTATGGGCTTGAACTTTCCCCATGTGTTCCTTATATAGAGGCATAAGGTGCACGTACACTTCAAATAGAACTGGAACTCTAACGCTTATCCATTATTGTACACGCTTGCTTTCCCCTTTAGTCCCTTTTTTCACCGATTTTGTTTTCCTCTTGCAAGTAGGTCGATCCAACTCTCCAAGAACAGTTACTTGCATAGAATGTTGTAGGCCAAGTTCATCTTTACAATACCAATCATGGAATCAGGGACCTAAATTGTGTTGAGAGAGCAGTCAGTTTTACTTCGACTTTTTTTGGTGGAGGGATATTCGAGTGAAGGTGAAACTATCGGAAAATTCGGTACTGGAAGGTCGTTTTCAAGTTATGTGAGAACTCGTTGGCAGTTGAGAAACAGTTGTAGATATGACTTGGTGACCCCTACGTCATTGGCGATTTTAAAGTGTTTGAAATCTTCAACTTTTAACAACTAATTATTAATCGATGAGCAATATTTCAAACGTTTGTGAATGATCAATGAATCATTGAGGTCGCAAACTTGAGGTTAGAAAATTGGAGAATATTTCGATAGGTTGGGCTTCACGTTATCTGATCTGTTATGTATCATTCTCGTTTTTATTTCGTGTAAGTTGTGGGACATTTGGAGACGGATAAATAGCAGAACATTCGTCTTTGTTGTAAATTCACATCATTCAAAAGAGATATGTCGTGTACATCAATTTTTGATGATGAATGAAGTGTGAAAAAATATTGAGGACATTTTTCTCGAAGTTGGAAGAAGGGAAGGAAACGGATAAAAAAATATAAAAAAATTTAAAAATTTAAAAATTAAAAAAAATATTATTTAAAAAAGCATTTAAAATAAAACTGGACAAAACTACTGGATAAAATATTTCCAGTGTGACAATTCTATCAGGTGATAATTGCAAGATCTGGCGAACGACAGCTAATCAAATATGTGGGAATCACATTATAAGACTCATCACTCTTCCCCATTGTTTGTAATAAAACCAATACATTATTTCGAGATATATCGACGACTGTAAGAGAGTGCAAGTGACGTAAGAGTTTGACCTTCACTTGTGTGAGGGGTTTTCTAAAAATAAAATATATTCCATATGTTTGCGAATTTTTGAACAATCAACTCGCACGACCTCCTGTTTCATAATGTATGGAATTGGGCTGTGAGAAGTTATTTGAAATTATGTGCTCATTACTCGCTGGGAGGGAACTATCGGGGTGACATTAGCGGTTTCACAATACCTCAAATCCTTAAATATCTGAGTTATAAGAGTCGTTTCTATTTTTCATCTTCCGCGGAGAAAAACTGTTCATGCCTATTTTTTACCACAGCGCATCGTCATTTATTGATTTTTTATTTTCGGTGTCTAGAACAGGGGTAGAAGTCGCAAAGGGGAAATCAAGATGTACTTTCTCGCGTAATAGTTTTTCATTATTTTTAGAGACGTTTAGATTATTTTTAGAGGCGTCAGAAAAAATCTTCGAATTTAGAGTGCGGTAACCTGGGTCTTAGGAGAGGATACAACAATTTTGAGAATTCATAATTAAAAAAAAAATTGTTGAGACAATTTTGAGGAAGTTCCCAGCGATGCAACTGTCAGATAGTTCTTCCCTGAATTTTTCAATTTTGTTTCCTTATTTTGACTTTTGAGATGAAACACCTTAACTGAGAATTCATGACGCAAAGTTTTTCCCACAAGTTTATTCCTTAAGGGGAACCGGAACCCCTGTGTCCATGAGAGCTTTGAGAATTGTGTTTTCAACTAGAATTATTAATTTCTATCTATGAAACAACTTTATCGACTCGATCATTGAATTGTTGAGTCAATGAAGTAGTTTCATAAATAAACAAGTGGGAAATTGCTCTTGTATTGAATATAGTATTGTTATTTTTGCACATCATTTCATTTTATTTCATTTTATTAAATTGAATGAGATTTCCTTTCGCCTAATTTCGTCAAATTTTCAACTTAGTTGAATCTTATCAGCATCATCACGGTTATTATCCTTTTCTTCTGTACAACCCATTGTTTTTTTAATGATTTTATCTCTCCCCTCAGGCCCTCGCTAAAATGTCAGTAGAAAATTTTTATTTACACATATTTAAATGAATTTGAAACATCACATTTGAAGAAATCATCAAAATTTTCAGCAATCATCATAAAAATCAAATCAGCCAATATAGCTCTCTTAATCATTTTTAACTTCGACTTAATGGCATTAAAACAAATATTTTAAGCTATGATTGAATTCATTTGAAGCATGTTATTCAAAAATATCCCCGGAATTCTAATTTTCAAAAAATACAAGTTTTGAAAATTTTTGAATAAATCAAAATCACGATTATTGCTATCACCTTCATCTTCGACCTCGGTCAAAGGGGCATCTAAACAAATTTTTCAATCTATTATTCAATCAATTGAGACCATTTTTTTTAGTTATCGTGGGACGACCGATTTTCTACAAAATCAAAAAATTTAAAAAACCAATCGATGAATTAAATTCATCTGAATTTCTTCATTCTGAAAAATAATAATTGCAGGAGAAAATACAATTCTAAAAGTCCATATTAGTAGTGAAGTGGTAAACGGAGATAAGTCGACCTGTCTTCCAGTTGAGTTTTTGAGGAATATTTCCAAATCTAAGGGAGATAGCGAAATTTTTGTAATGACATTTGTTGTAGCACTCAATCGGCTCCACAAAAAAGGTTATAACAAAAATTTTGCGATCTCCCTTAGATTCCGAGATATTGATTGAAAACTGGTCCATAGTCAAAATGGACTTATCTCCTTTTACCACTTTGATACTGATGTAGACAGAGGGGTTCCGTTCCCCCTTGAGACAGGATGAATAAAACGTAAAAAAACCAAACGTAAAAAAACCAACAGTAAATCACCCCCTATAATTTTTCAGGCTTCAACGATAGATGGCCGACGAAAAGGTGCCTGTCTCTTTTGTCAAGAATACTTCATGGACCTGTACTTGCTCGCCGAATTGAAGACAATTTCCCTGAAAGTTACAACGGTGGATATGCAGAAGCCACCGCCAGATTTTCGCACCAATTTCCAAGCAACTCCCCCGCCCATTTTGATTGACAATGGCGATGCCATTCTTGAGAATGAAAAAATTGAGAGACACATAATGAAGAATATACCAGGTGGACATAATCTCTTCGTTCAAGATAAAGAAGTGGCGACACTGGTCGAGAATCTTTTCACTGTAAGTCAACTGTTCCCAGAAAGTGGTGATGATTAAGATAATTCCGAGAGTTTACTATTTTTATTTCTTTCAGAAATTGAAACTTCTGCTTGTAAATGCTAAAGACAAAGACAAAGACCCAAAATCGTCCTCGTTAATGGCACATCTCCGCAAGATTGACGAGCACTTGGGGCGCAAGGGAACAAGATTTTTAACTGGCGACACAATGTGCTGTTTTGACTGTGAACTGATGCCTCGTTTGCAGCACATCAGAGTTGCTGGCAAATATTTTGCCGACTTTGAGATACCAGAGACACTGGTGAACTTGTGGAGATACATGCACCACATGTATAGACTAGATGCATTCCTGCAGAGCTGCCCAGCCGACCAGGATATCATTAATCATTATAAATTGCAACAGGTGAAGACGATTGAATTTTTAGCCGATTATTTGTCATTTAAGGCTCGGATGGATTAGCTTGCGAACGTTATTCAGATTGTCAATGAACGTCAAGGGATGTTGGAGAAATAATTACAGCGTTGATCAAATTATCATGAGTGCGACGTTTCTAATTATTTTCGCTTCAATCATCGTTCAACTGAATATGTTCATAGAGCGTTTTTAATAAAGATTAGGAAATAAGTCTGACAGAGAGGAAATTGTAAATGGATAATTTATCATTTCAACTATTAATTTGACAAATTATTGATTTGCAATTTCCTCCCTATTGGGTTTATTTTCCAATATTATTCAAAAACACTCTTTGAAAATGTTCAGCTTTTTTCGACGTTTTTTTGATTGTACAGTCGTAATTTTTGGAGACTCCAGGGCTATGCAAAACTGAATGGCAATTGAAGAACATTTCCGATTACAAAAATAAAAAAAACAAGATCATGTTCGAAAGGCAATACACACGGGCCTTTAAAAAAATAACCCATTTTTAGTGAATACTATTTATTTCTATTTGTGAATAGTATTTAATATTCTGTCACGACGAATTGAAGACAAATTATTTCGTCAAAGACCTCATTTCTATCGAATTTTCCCCAACATAATTTTCCTTCCATTCCAATGCCTTGGAGAAGTTACCTTCTATAGAAATTGGAGTGTAATAAAAAATATTATATAATATCTGATGAATTTGTGTGTTTCAGAGCATGAAAATGAAGAAACACGAAGAGCTTGAAACGCCGACATTCACCACCAGTATCCCCATCGAGGTCAACGACGATTAGACTTGAATTAATTTGAGCGAACAAGAAATTATATCAGAGAAGCTGGGTCTTCTTGTAATCCTTGCATCAATATATGTGGCTTGATGAAATAACTTAAAAAGTATGTAATAAGGCAAGATCTTAAAAGTATCATCAAAAGCGAAAATTAAGGGATGATTCAGCTGAGCTATCATTGTTTTGTAATAGCTTCGATGCAGACCAATGCTTCTCATATTTTTAGGCTTTGGAAGAGAAAATTTGATTAACGAATAAGTATGTAACTTTGCCGCGATACTAGAGATCTTTGTAGAGGTTTTTCAATTGTTGGACCTATGACGTATTTTCTAAAGCAACTTTTGTACATTGAAAAGTGTGAGATTTTGAATTTTTACTGATGAAAATTGAGAGGTTGAGAGCTCTCTCAAAATGGGACATAATAAAACGCTGAGGGAGGAGTAATTCACAGACATTTTTGATTGCCAATTGACAATCAGTCGTGAGAAAACCCTGAAACCTTCGAGTTTTCTCTATTTTTCTGCTTTGTTTTTAAAAGAATTATGGTCAGGGCTGGTGGAGCGAGAATGTTTAGGGTGTAATTTGTAAAAAATTGAGACACTCAAATTTTTTAGAGAGTTGAATGTTCAATCAACACGAGTCCCTTGCATTTGGTGCTCGATTTTTCAGAATATGTTCACTTCGCAATTAATTGTAAATTAAATTGACTCAGATTAAATTATTTTTGATGCATCAGTTAATATTTGGCTCTTACCATTTGCTCTGCATGTTAGACCCTTCACATTCGACTCTCAACACTCGAATTATCCATGTTTCATCAGCCTCGATGATGTTTTCTTCATCTTATCCAAAAAACTGCAACTTATTAACAAACTTTTGATTTAACGTCTTCTCGGCATTTAACAATTTTTGTTTCTCTATTATTTTTTTGTTTAATTATTTCATTTATCTAGGAATACGTATCACTGTTCTATTGAAAACTAAATGCATTGATTTGAGATTCATATGAATTTATTTTCATAACATCTCTTCATTTGTTGGAACGAAAAGAAATTTCGTGGAGCAAAACAATGTGCAATTTGAGAATTAAGTTTCAATGAAAGGGGTTGTAGAAATGTTTCTGTGCCAAATTCCAAGGATATCACAACAAACTACCCAAATCCCTCCTTTATTCTTTAGATTGTACTTATGTTAAAAATGAGTGATGGAATTATTTTTCTTAATCATTAATGCAGATTAATCCCTATTTTTCTTTTTGTTTCTATGAACTGAAAGCCCCGGAATTCATAGCGAGTTTATTTTATGAAGATTAATATACTTGACTAGAGCTATTTCTGTATTATTAATGAATATTATTATTGTAATTTTACATAACCACTTGGTTTATACACTTCAATAAAAAATCGGAATTATACGTACTAATGTTTGGAATAAGAGCATTTTTATATTATTTACTAATTTACTATCAAGGAAAATGGAATCTAATGTAATTGTCTTTTATACTAAGAGAAAATCGATATATCACAAAAATCATTGCTTGAGCGAAAAACATGGCATACATATTTGATCAATTTATGGTAGGTTTCAGACAAGAAATCGGTGCTCTTCGGGCTAAGGAGGAAGTTACTGAATGAAAAGATGTCTTTTTCCAAATGAGATAATATTCCTTAAAAGACAAGAATAGTTTGACACAAGGAAAAGAAGATATTGCTTCCCTTCGAACTCAAAGCGATTGAGCGTAAGCGACGGTTATATTTTTTTTATATCTCGAGGTTTTCCTCTGCATAAACTCTCTGTTCATTCGATATGAAAGTCTCTGATTCATGATTCACTGAATCGAAGCTTCTAATATTTTTAGTCATTTTCTCATCTGAGACGAAAAAAGCGATTTCTTGTGGCAAGAAATTCTCACTTTATCATGAAATGTTCATGTTCAAGTCATGAACACTTCACCGAAATCTGACATTGTCTGACACATTATCCGGAATTCTTATCCCAAGAAATTTACCCTCAAGAGATGAGATATTTGGCGCAAGAAATTTGTTTTGTGATAGTATGACGATGTTTCTCTCAGTGTATATTATTCTTCGTGCCTCGCATACCTTAGCCTCGCTGAACCCGAACAGAGCCACCTGTGGCGATTCTAACTCTACTCCCACAAGAAGCCAATGAGAGATTCTCTCATCGCGCGCCGTAAGAACGCTGGTGGAACTGCGCGCCCACTGACGGGTTAAATGGCGGGAAATCAGGTAGTTCTCGAGGGGGCTAAAATTTGAATAATTATGTAAAAAAAGATTGACATTCGACAAAAATAGAAATTTTCCTAAAATCATCATTTCCGCAATCATTATTATTTTTCCAAGATTTTTTCTTTCAACATCTTGTGATGCCCAACTTGATAGAAAAAAAAATCTCGAGACAGTCCTAGACATCAAATTTTTTGGGCTTCGGTTTTGACGTGGAATGCTCATTTAGATAGTGAGCATATGACTCATTACATTAATGATCTCATGTATAACCAGAAGTCCAGGCGAAGGAAAATTCAAAATGAAACATTCCGTCATTAAAATAATAAAATAATAAGTCTCTTCAGTATTTTCACGCAGAAATGCAGAAAAATGAGTGAACATCCGACCTTGTCGCTTTAAAAAGCTTGGAAATGAGCTTTTTCGCGTTTACGATCCTTTGCTTTTAGACACGCGTCATCCTGCTCACAATAAAATTTAAATATAGTCTTTCAATGAAGCGTTCAATAAACATGATAATGAGAAAATATTCGGATGACATTTAGTCTTCGTGATTAGAGTCGAGAACCATTAAAAATAAATGACATTATCATAAATCACGATTAAAGTTATCCGGAAATCTTCGGACACTTCACAAGATAGCTAATGCGTGCGTTTGCGATGCACGCGCACCGTTCCCCGCCTTCTGCCCTCAAAACAAGCCAGACAATCACACATGCGTGATATCTCCATGGGAGGTGTTCACACCTGGACTCGATTGTAACTGGAAGTGGAGTAATTTTTCGTCGGGAACGAAAGTTTAATTATAGTTCCCAAGATTGGGGTAAAACGGACACTTTTGACTGTTTTAAAAATGTTAATGACGGGTTGAAATGTTGATAAAATTTAATAATTTTTTTTTAATACAAAGAACAATTCAGTAGAAAAGTGGTAAACCGGAATTGTTTAAACTTTCGGAAACCTTTTTTTAGGCATGAAATCGATTTATGGTAAAATTCTGAATACGAATAAATTTGTTACGATTCCGAACAAATGATTTTTATGGTAGAAAATTGCTTGTTTATAAATTATTTATAGAAAAGGCTCATAATTTTCGGAAAATTACAACTTTTAAATTATTTCATCAATCTTCCTCCAAAAGTAAACTTTCTAAAATTTCTTCAGATTTTTATAATGTTTTCTAACAGTCATATGACAGTTATGTGACGTCATTGACGGTCACATGACGAGGCGTTCATGACGGCTGTCACATTCCCCCTCCCCTTCTGTGACCGTCCCAACTTGTCAAGAAAAAATGACAGTCATTTTTCCTCTAGATGAAACTTAATTTATCTCGGTCAATTTTCAGTTGAATTTCTTTTGTATTGGCCTAATCCGCATTTTGAAATGGAAATCACGTTTTTTTTCCATCCATGAAACTATTTTGTTTTATTCATGACCGTCACAAATTGGAAATTAGTTATGACCGTCATTATGCAACTTTATAGATGGTTTGACAAAAATTTGGTTACAAATGATTTGTGACAATCATTTGCAGTTGGAAAATTTGTGCGTCACATGACCGTCACAAGACCGTTATTTGTTGTTCATATGACGCGATCTAAAAAATGACGGTCATTTTGCATCTCTAGGTGCAGCACATCCTTAAGAGACCGTTAATTGCGGAAAAATAGAGCGCTCACCAATTCCCCGCGCGTCCTCTAAAATAGACCCCACGAGACTTCTCCCAACGCACGATGACAATCTGTCGTTGCGGCGCTGGTGTGCGCGTGCGCGCGTATTACACTCGAAGTCTGTTGACTCTCCGAAAATCAATGACCCCACGCTGTCACCGACGTTGTGTCTCTCATCACCTTTTTCCCGAAAAAATTCCCGATAAATTGACTCACAATTCTCCCCCCCGACTCCCCCACAAATGCACTGCAATCGTCTCCGGCATCTCCGCACCCTAAATTCCGAAAGATAAAGTAGGAATCTCGGATGTGAATAAACCTCGCGGGGAAATGCTCGTCGGGACAGTGTAAACCGGCCGAAATAGCGGTACGGTGAAAACCAGCCGGGCAACCTCAAGCGCTCGCTCGACTCTCCGAGCCAAAAACCATCTCAGTTGGTGTCCCCACTTGGTGAAGGACGGGTCGCTCGTGCTTGCCGATTCGCATAAACATCAAGTTGTCGTGTGTTAATGTACTTAAACAATGTTCACGTTCACAAAGACTCTAAACAACAATCACCCACTCCACGATCAGAATAAACCACTCTCCGTGTGAATCAGCCCCCTCAATTCCCCGAAAACCGGCGTCGAGCGGACGTAAACAAAAGTTCGACCGTGAATGTCCCAGTGAAGAAGCCCGTCTGTTTGTGATTATTTGTGAGAAATAGTTCCCCTGTTGACTGCCATTTGAGTGAAAATACTTTTCGCCCATTCGCCGATGGATTCAAGACTTTTTCCCCGTTCGCAACAACACATCGTAAATTAATCTCCCCGTCATCAACATCTCCCGCATTTATTCACCTCTGCATTTCCATTGTCAGTGTCCACTGTCTACATTTTTAATTTTTTTACATCTTACATCATTTAATTTTTCACTGATACATATACTATTGTACCGGGTCGCCGTCAGTGAACTACACGCGGGGATAAAATGGCGCTTGGCCTCATCCTACGCGCACCTCTATCGACCGTGACAAATTATTCAACAGCGGTGGATGAGACCGATCGGTGGAATTATTAGAAAAAAAGAATTTTAGTGCCGAGAAAAATTTTGTTGTGGGGCGCCGGGGGGCGGGGGAATGGAAAAAGCATTGTGCTCCGAGGAGAATAGGTGAAACATTTTAGTGGAGTGAATCTTCAGTGGAGGGAGAATCCAAGAGGTGAATCTTTGCTCCGAGTGTGGAGATTCTTGGATTTTTTTTTCATTTGTTTTGGAGTACCGGTTCGGATGGCGAATCATCGTTTGGGGGGATGATCTACTGATCTAAGGTATGTATTCGGGTATGAATGAAAGGGTTGGGAAGATGATTGACGAAGTTTGTGGAGTTTAAACTGGCGAGAGATTCGATCTAGGCGAGTGTAGGGGTGTAGAAGTATTTTTAAGTCCTGTACAAATATGTTTGCACTTGAAGAACATAAGGGGTAGGCAGACTGATAGGTAGACACCGACCGAAAGATAGACGATTTCAAATTTTTTTGGTCTCTCTATGTTGTAAAAATTAAAATGTTGGATAGTCGAAATTAAGACTTTAAAGTTAAAGGTCATGAGGGTCAAATGAGGGTCAAAATAAAGGTCACGAGGGTAAGAGTAAGGGCCACGAGGGTCTGAATAAGGGTTTTAAGGGTTAGGTTAAGGGTCGCAAGGGTCAGAACAAGAGTCATGAGGGTCTAAATAAGATTCACGAGGGTCTGAATAAGGCTCAGAATAAGGGTTACGAGGGTCTGGATAAGGGCGACAAGGGTCTAGGTGAGAACCACGAGGGTCTAAATAACGGGTCGCAAGCGTCAGAATAAGGGTCACGAGAGTTAGATTAAGGGCTACACGAGTCAGATTAAAGGTCATACGGGTCAGATTAACGGTCCAAATGAGGGTAACTAGGGTCAGATTAAGGATATAAATAAGGGCTACAGTGAGGGTCCAAATAAGGGTTATAGGGGTCAGAAAGTAAGGGTCACAAGGGTCAGAATAAGGATCGTGGCGGAGGATCATATAGGGGTTGGCGAGCGAAGCGAATACGGGGCGTAGTATTTTATAAAAAATTAATAGAAATTGTATTACAAATTTAAGGGCCACGAGGGTTAGATTAAGGCTGACAAGAGTCAGATTAAGGGTCATATGGGTCAGATCAAGGGTTACAAGGATCAGATTAAGGATCAGTCGTCTATCTATTGGGTCTTTGGGCCACTTTTTCGTCATTTTGTCATTTATTCCTTTATTGTTTCCACTTAAAATCATTATTTTCCCATAATTCACATTTTTTTCAGTTATAAAACCCCGCGTTGGCGTATTTATGTGATTTATCAATTTTTGATCTCTTGACGGACCTCACATTCTCCGTAACCGTCTATCTATTGGTCTGGCTACCCCATGTGTTTGTTTCACCCTTCCATCCTTAGAAATTTTCAAATTAAATCGTCCGCTGGAGAAAATTCCGTCAGTTTCAGCTCCACTGAACTTTGTGAAC